AATTAAGAAAAAAATGTTAATTTAGTCCCTGGGTTGCCATGTATGCAGTTTTATCTCAGGATTAGAGAACCTTGTGGTTCTACACATTCGGTCTGCATATTGAGATCCTGCTTTTTTTCTTGTTTTGCAGTTTGTCACATTTCTAAAACATTTGTGATGTAATTAACAGGTTTAGTATGATCTTTACATGACTATCTCAAACAACTATTACAGCACATCCTTTTATTTCATATACATCAACAACATCAGCTCTTTCACTCATTCATTGCCCTTTTCCATTAAAAAGAAATTACAGGCACACAGACACTAAAAGCACTGCTGTACACTTCATCCACATATTATCAAGAAAACAAAAGTTAAACAACCAATGTAAAGTCTAGTTTTCTCATGCAGGGTTGCCATGTATTCAGTGCAATGTAGTAGAGTTTACTATTGTTTTGCAGACCAGGCAACTCAGCTGTTACTTTAAAATGAGGAAAATACGTCTTGAGATGTTTCTTTAATACCTTTATGCAGTTAACAGGTACAGTATGATCCATACATTACTAGTTTGAGCTATTATTATTGCACAATATTCAATATTTTTTTAAAAATCAATCAGCAAAATCAGCATTACCTAGTTTAAAAAGAAAATACAGTAACACTTTAAAATACTGGTCCATTACTTAATGTATTTACTAAACCATTAGTAATATATTCATTACACTATTCAGTCATCTTTGTTAACGTTAGCTCATGATATTCAAGTTTAATAACCCGAGTTTACATTAACTTGCAGCACCACTTTGGATTTGAATAATAATGCATTAATTAATGTTGCACCCTGATTAATAAATGCTTTGCAAGATAATGTCAGTAACTAACATTAACTGATGGACTATTATTCTAACGTGTGACCAAAAATACAAACACATGTACTAAAACGAATGCTCTATATTAAGACACTACAACACTTTACCTATATCACAGTCATTTAGTTCTTAAGCCAACGATCTGCTGCTTCCACTGACACTCATTTGACTGGTTAGACATGAAGTGTGACTCATTAGCACTCCCCGAACATGATTCTGAAACTTTCTTCCAAGAAATGTGTAAAAAACAGGATTGATGCAGAAATACAAGCGAGCGATGTTATTGGTGATGTAGACGGCATAGGGGAGAACACTGTTGCAGTCCTCGTGTTCCAGATCCTTATGCTCTGTTATCATCAGTATGATATTATACGGGCTCCAGAACAAGAAAAACATCAGGACTATAACGAAAATCAAGCGTACAGTGCGGTGTTTACCTATCATCCGAGTGCGCATGATGGTTAGTGTTATCCTGGAGTAGCAGTACACAAACACAACCAGCGGGAAGAGGAAGAACAACACAAACTGCTTGTAGAAGCTGAAGGTCCTCCATTGGTTTTCATTCGAGTCTTCACACAGCAGTCCATCCATCTGAGACTCTTCCACTGTGAAACGGATGAGATATTCGAGGCTTTCGAGAAGGCTGATAATCCAGACGGCCACAGATAACGATGCAGCGTAGACGCTTCTGCGGTTTTTATTTGCCACAACACAATGAACTACAGCCAGATACCTATCAAATGTCATAAGCGTGAGGAAGAGGATGGAGCTGTAGAACCCTAGATAGTATGCACTGGTCACCAGCTTACACAGAGGCTCTCCGAAGATCCATTCACTGGAGTGATAAACCGCCTGAAACGGGAGCGTGAGGGTGAAGATGATGTTGGAAGCCACCAGGTTGATGAGGAAGATGTTTGTGACCGTGTTCATCTTCTCAAACTTGTAGACGACCAGCAGAACCACTCCATTACCCAGAATGCTGACGGTAAAGATGATGTAGTAAAACATTGGTAGAAATGCTCTGCCAAACTCATTGATGTCAATGGAGCTGCAAGTCCCGGATTCAGACGTCTCCGGAGAAAAGTTTTCATAGTAGTCTGGTGTTGTACTGGACGTTTCCATCTTAGTGGTGATCTCCACAACCTGCAGGAGTGAGTTAGTTCATTACAATGATTGGATATAGAGTGAATGAACAATCATGAGTAGGTTTAATTGTACACTTACCTGAGAGCAGCTTTGGCAGTGTTTCTGTCCAGCTGATCTGATGTAGTGTGGAGCGGCAGGGTTTGACTCGCGTCTCTAGTTGCAAAAAATCTGACTAACCACTTCTGTCATCCTTAACTTCCTTTTCAAGACATTTTTCCCAGAACTCAACAAGCATAGGCTTCGCTTACACAATGAGATGAATCCTCTGTTGCAATGTGTTTAGGTTTATTTGTAAGGCTATATTATTTAATTTCAGTTTTGTTTTCTTTTTTCCTACAGGCAATGAGACTGATAAATAATCTCAAGAAGAAGTCAGCTGGGCTGTTTATTGTGCTTTATCCTATTTATTTATTATATATTGTTAAATGTGAACATGTTTTTATTTCAATAATTTAATAAGAGCATTCGTTTTAGTGCCTTCATGTGTTTGTATTTTCATCTTAGAATAATTAGTTAATGATAGTCGATATTTACATTAACCATGTATGCAAAAAGCATTTATTAATCGTAGTGCAACATAAACTAATGCATTATTAAAATCTAAAGTTGCACATGATAACATTCGTTAATATTTAACTTGAATAACACAAATTAATGTTAACAAAAATGAATAAATACTGTTTGTTCCCTTAGGGAAAATGATTTTTCCAAAACAAGACGACAAAGACAACATGTTCACATTCAACACTATAAGAAATACAAAATAAATAGGATAAAACACAATGAACAGCTCAGCTGACTTCTTCTGAAGTGTTTTATTGCCTGTGGGACAAAAGAAAACGTAGTCCTGTGCCTATTGTGCTTATGATTGATTACATGCATGCAAGTGCATCTTTAATCAATTTCTGTATCTACATCTTTAATTACACTGTTGAGCAACCCTTATATCTTAAACCTACCCATACCACCAAACCTGTCTCTGTCCTTACCCATATACCATCTCAGGAGTATCAGAAATGTTCTGCAATACATCATGAACACAGTATGTATACTGTATTTATTTATTTGATGCACGTACCTCATAGTTAAAGCCACCCTAATTTAAAGTAAAAGCTGCATTAAAAGACAAAGAGCTCCATCTGATTTGCATTTGTTTAACTTCAATTTTGCAATTCTAAATGGGAAGATATGATGGGACATGAAGCCAGAATGACAAAGCAGGCTCATTGAGATTACGTACCCCTGTATACATTTCTGGAGAGTGTGAATTGTTGCCAGAGCTAAGCATGGCTGCCTTTTGTCTTCAAAACGAATGTTACAGGTGGTATGACGGCGCTGACAGTTTTTATTTCTTTTAGCGTTATCAGCTGATCACTTACCTCCATGTGGATGGCTTGTCTGCTGTTACCAGTTTGCCCAGTGGCTCACCATGTACATCAGTAGATTTGAGACGCAGAGAGGAGTTGAGGTTTATAGCGGCGAGGAACTGTTCAAACAAGTAGGTAAAACAAAAGGCAAGCATAAAACAAACAAGTAAATAACAGGGTAAATAACAGGGTAAGATCTGAAAATGTGGTAAAAACCAGGAGAGGGCTTTTCTTTTTCTGAACTGCTTTAGACAACACTGTCGGTTGGGTTAAGGGAAGGGATATTGGTTGGTCAGTCAGTGGTGGATGTATGTGAGGACAGAAGGCATGAATGACACTTGAGAGAGAAATCTGAGATCTGAAAAAAACGCACACAGTGCCCTCTGGTGGATTCACGAAAACAAAAACTACAAAAAAACCATAGCTCCTGTGACATATTTGGTGATCTCCAGAAATGTATATGGGGTATACTCTCAGAAATAAAGGTACACAAGCTGTCACTGGGGTTGTACCTTAAAAGTATGCATTAGTGCCTAAAAATATTAAGAGGAACACTTTTTTGACTTTTTAGGTACTTTTATGTACCCTTGAGGTATTAATATGGACCTTTAAGGTACAAACTTGTACCTTTTGAAAAGGTGGCACCCCAGTGACAGCTCGCATAGCTTTATTTCTGAGAGAGTACTTACCAATAATGAGCCTGGGTTGCAAGATGACATGCATGAGTTTTGCAGTGATTATGAGAAAATGGCATCAGTTTAATGTGTGTGTCTTGTAGTTTTATTCCAGTAGTAGTAGTTGTCCTTATTCTTCAGATCACAATCTGCATTTTCCTGATCTAATAATCTTCACAATCTGCTGTTTTTGCAATCATGACAAGCCCCTGACCTATGACTGGCCTATTAGTTGGTATTTTATCCACAACCACACAGTTCTGACATTGGAAATACTCAAGGAGGGTGAATTCCCAGATTGGTCAATAATGAAATGAACTTCTACCTCTGAATGCTGTGATTCCTCACTTTTGGTTTCATTTGTTCAGTGTGTTCAAGACACCTGTGAGCTGGAGGAGTGATGGGAAAGAAATGAGTAAGTGTTATCACTATGTAGGCTGATGTATCATGAATTCTGAAGAATTGTTTGTCATTATTTGGTTGTGCAGGTATGTGATACTGTAGTTTATTATTACTGTTGTTATTGATAATATTGTGGATTTATTATATTGTATTATTAGACCAGTTTAAAGAGCTTTGCTTTAGAAAAGAAGTGTGTGTCTGTGTGTTTGTGTGTGTGTGTGTGTGTGTGTGTTGGGGGGGGGTGTAAGAGTTGGGAAGGGTGCTATGGGGTTACAACACCACACAAACAACTCTCAATAAATAAATGAAAATGAGTCAAGTAACGTCAAATTATTTTTATTTAATTTAATTCATGTACATCAATGGATAACAAGCTCTATGTTAACAACTACAACACCAACAATACTGTTAATACGTATTATTAAATAATTATAATTTATTCTTAACTGATGTGTACTTGCAATTTTGTACGCAATATAAAATAATCCTCCATTAAGATGATGACCCGATGCTTCTGCCGCCACAAATCTGCCTCGTTAAACACGAGTCCTGCTTCAAACACATTTCCCGAACGCGATTCTGAAACTTTCTGCCCAGAAAGATGTAAAAAACGGGATTGATGCAGAAATACAGGCGAGCGACGTTGTTAGTGACGTACACTGCATGCGGAAGGTTGCTGTTACAGTCGTTTGGATCTTTATACTCTCTCATAACCAACACAATATTATACGGGCTCCAGAACACAAAGAACATCAGCACTGTGACAAAAATCACCCGTATGGTGTGGTGTTTCTTCACCATCCGAGTGTGCATGACGGTTAGTGTTATCCTGGAGTAGCAGTACACAAACACAACCAGCGGGAAGAGGAAGAACAACACAAACTGCTTGTAGAGGGCAAAGGTTTTCCACTCTCCAACTCTCGGGTCATTGCATGACAGTCCACCCACTTGGGACTCTTCAACCGTGAAATAGATGAGATATTCGAGGCTTGCGAGAAGGCTAATAATCCAGACGGCCACAGATAACGATGCAGCGTAGATGCTTCTGCGTTGACTATTGGCCATTATACAGTGAACTACAGCCAGGTATCTGTCAAATGTCATGAGCGTGAGGAAGAGGATGGAGCTGTAGAACCCTAGATAGTATGCACTGGTCACCAGCTTACACATAGGCTCTCCGAAGATCCATTCACTGGAGTGATAAACCGCATAAAACGGGAGCGTGAGGGTGAAGATGATGTTGGAGGCCACCAGGTTGATGAGGAAGATGTTTGTGATCGTGTTCATCTTCTCAAACTTGTGGACGACCAGCAGAACCACTCCATTACCCAGAATGCTGATGATAAAGATGATGTAGTAGAATGGGGGAAGAAATGTTCTTCCAAAATCATTGGTGCCAATGGGGCTGCACTGCCAAACACCAGGTGAATAGTCTTCATAGGGAAGTGGTGTTGAGTTGGACGCTTCCATCTTAGTGCTGATCTCTACAATATGCAGGAGTGAGTTATTAAAAATGATTGGCTGAAAGTAAATAATCTTGAGTAGGTTTCAATTTTACACTTACCTCAGAGCGGCTTTGACAGTGTTTATCAGCTGAAGTCTTCAAATGAGGAGCGACACAGATTCACTTGCGTCTGTAGTTGCAAAAATCTGACTCATACCTTCCGTTATCCTTCCTTTTATTACGACATCAGGTTTTTCTCACGAATGAACGAGTGTTTTTAGACTTACTAACTGCTTACATGATTATTATCACAACCGACAAGGTCTGTTAGACCAAGTTATTATCAGAAAGAACAAGAATTAAACTTCTAATCAACAAAGTCTGAGTGAAAAAACAATATCATTCATTTAGTGACTTATGAAATCCCTCACACAGCTTAGAGTTTTGGGTAACACTAAAATAATGGTCCATTAGTTAATGTTAGGTAATGTACAACTATTAGTAATACATTTATTTATCAATGCTAATGTTAGCTAATGTTATTAGAATTAAATTATGTTAGTTGATATTAACTCAAGTGTGGTAACTAACGTTAACAAGTATGTTAACAATGCATTAGTCAATGTTGAACTATTATTTATAGTTATTGTTAGTAAATACATCAATTAACATTAACTAATAGACCATTATTCTAAAGTGTTTCTGACTTTAGAAGTAAGTGTTTTAAACATGTTTTCATTCTAGTAAAATACTTGATCCCTAATAATGCTGGAGTAAACCATCAAGGTAATCTAGCTATTTATTCATCAGATATGAACCATTTTATTATGAGAAATTGTCATTTGTGGTGATTCATTATAAATGCATGTCACATTTCTAACATTTACCACATATTACCAACATTTACATTCTCTTAAGCTGTTAAAATTGCTGGGTTCCACACAATTCCTTCATGTTGTCCTGATACAAATGAAGTTAACTTAATAGTTTTTACAAATTTAAGCAAATTGAACATAAAATAATGAAAAAATCCCCAAGAATGTGTTGATTCAGCTCATTTTAAGCAAGTACTCTGAACAAGCAGCAAAAATACTCAGCTTTTAAGAGTGTAGGGCACTTTAAATCCTAATTTATAAAGAATAATTTATAGTTATTCAATCAACCTTGACGGCTATTTAAAGTAGATTTAATAGTTCAGTGAAAATGAGCGTTTTAAAATCAGATTAATAGTATGATCAGACACTCTGGATGACAGCGAACCCAACACCAAGCTGGATAAACTGTGGTATATGCAGCAGTCTTATCTGGAGCTCTTACCTAGAGAGGTAAGTCGTCTGGGTCCAGTGTGTCTTCTTTGGAAACCCATGAACTTTTCTCGGTACCATAATCCTCCCAGTCAACCAGGTATTCATATTACCACCTCAGCGCTGTTACACTGAATAAGCCATCACCATCCTCCACTAAAGCTAGGGCAGGTGAGTCACCATCATCAGGTTCTGTGGAGGAAATACAGGTTAAAGTCAGGACACATGAAACACAGGACAGACTGTGTCATTTTCATAGTTTTACCTGGAAGTACACTGGATTGATTTCCTTGATGATTTAAGAAGGCACACATAATCTGATGTCCTTGGTGGAAAGCTGTAACCTTGTGTCCAGGTATATATTCAAAACTGGTGGACCTGTAAACATTAGCAAGCCTACAGATGGATTCTTGCAGGTCAGAAGTGCTCAATCCTGTTCCTGGAGATCTACCTTTCAGCACAGTTCAGCTGCAGCCTTAATTAAACACACCGGCTGTTAATTACCAAGTGCTCTTTCAGATCCGGCTTAGTTTAGCTGTGTTTGATCAGGGTTGAAGCTGAACTCTGCAGTAAGGTAGATCTTCAGGAACTCACTTGGGCTCCTCTATGTCAGAAGGTCGTAAGCGGAGTCTTAGATCTTCTCATTTTCCTGGATCCAATGAATAACCTGACTATTCAGCACATCCAGGAAACCGAGTCTTGGATTTTTTCATTTTTTTAAGCTGAAGGTTTGGTGAAAATATTAAATTCCCTGGATCTTTTTGCACCCCCTTCAGTTTGAAGTGGTAGCCTGTCGATATATTGATGGTCACATTTTGGAGTTTCATGAAAGATCTCCAAAACTTGATTCAAAACTAGGCTCCTCTGTCTGAAACATGTCCTTCAGGATGTCAAAGGCAGTAAAGGACAGGCAGTGGAAGGTTCTTTTACAATGGGACATCAGGACTATAACAAAAATCAAGCGTACAGTGCGGTGTTTACATATCATCCGAGTGTGCATGACGGTTAGTGTTATCCTGGAGTAGCAGTACACAAACACAACCAGCGGGAAGAGGAAGAACAACACAAACTGCTTGTAGAGGCTGAAGGTCCTCCATTGGTTTTCATTCGAGTCTTCACACAGCAGTCCATCCATCTGAGACTCTTCCACTGTGAAACGGATGAGATATTCGAGGCTTTCGAGAAGGCTGATAATCCAGACGGCCACAGATAACGATGCAGCATAGACGCTTCTGCGGTTTTTATTTGCCACAACACAGTGAACTACAGCCAGATACCTATCAAATGTCATGAGCGTGAGGAAGAGGATGGAGCTGTAGAACCCTAGATAGTATGCACTGGTCACCAGCTTACAGAGAGGCTCTCCGAAGATCCATTCACTGGAGTGATAAACTGCCTGAAACGGGAGCGTGAGGGTGAAGATGATGTTGGAGACCACAAAGACATTTGTGAACATGTTCATCTTCTCAGACTTGTAGATGACCAGCAGAACCACTCCTTTGCCCAGAATGCTGATGATAAAGATGATGTAGAGGATAATTGGAAGATTTTTTTGTCAAAACTATTGGTGTCAATGGGGCTGCACTGCCAAACTTTAGGAACAGTCTTCATTGGGAAATGATGTTGTACTGGACGTTTCCATTTTAGTGGTGATCTCTACAACCTGCAGGAGGGAGTTAGTTCATTACAATGATTGGCTGAGTAAATAATCTTGAGTAGGTTTTAATTGTACTCTTACCTCAGAGCAGCTTTGGCAGTGCTTCTGTCCAGCTGATCACCTGTACACTGTTAAAACATATGCTTTTCTTACCTAGATTTTTTTTGTCTTGTTTCTAGTACAAATAATCTGCCAGTGAGGTAAGAAAAAAAGTCTTATGTCAAAAGGAAAAACAAGAGTACTTTTCTTACCCCATCGGCAGATTATTTTGCTTGTTTTAAGGAAGAACTGATTTAGCATTGGCATATTATTTCTTAAAACAAGACATTGTGTTTTGCTTTTGAAATTTGAATTTGAAAATTCTTCTTGATTTAAGAATTTTTTAAGAATCTAGCTTATTTTCCGGTGTAGTCTATTAGCGTGGAGTGGTAGGGATTGACTTGCGTCTGTTGTTGCAAAAAAATCTGACTAATCTCTTCTGTCATCCTTCCTTTTATGATAACATCAGGTTTTTCTCAATAACGATTATGCGTTTGAAGACTTACGAGCAGCAAACATGATGAAACCAGCAAGGCTTTATTAGGTAAACTTATTCTTAGAAAACAAAAGATAAATTAGACTTACAGCAATCAACAATCTCCCAGAATCAACACAGCTTTATGTAGAAAATAATATTGTACTCTGGTGTTTGACATCACTTAGTTATGATTTACAGAGCTTCAAACTATATTTTCTTTACACCGACTGAATAAAACTACATGTTATAATATTATTCAGCATTTCAGATTTTGTAATACTGTTCTCTCTTCATTAAACATGTCGCTGAAAAGAAAAGGGAACAACCAATTTGCGTGGCTTCATAATAATCACATATGTCATATTTCTATCATGTACACTACACTGTCTGAATATTTCCAAACAAGAAAAGAGCTCCTGAACACATACAACATGGAATAAATACTGTAGATATAAATCTGTTCCTTTCATTATTGGGATAACAAAAAATGGGGTGAGGATGTTTAAATAACAGAGCAGTTATGCTAGTATGGAAATAATATGAAATAAACATTATTAACTAAGCCAGTTATTTAAGGTACAGCTAATAAATCAACGATGATGATGGCCATTGTGTCTTAAAAGTACTGCAGAAATTAAATGTAAAGACATTAGTGCCCAACACAAACATTAACAGAAAGCTCTCCCCATTAATCTAAATGCATATCCCTCAAGTAAGAGACAGTTGTTCTTAATTATCATTAGAACCAAACTAATGAGTTATTACTGCATCCAATATGATGGTGCGGAAGTAGTTTTGTGAGTTAAATATAACAGAGATAAATATAAAAGTAAATTACTATGCTCATGACAATCCATCTGCAGTGTCATTTCACAAATGCACGTATTTGTAGCATTAATAGTGTAAATGCATTGAAACGCAGGTCTTCAAATGTCCCTCCAGTGGCTGTTTTCTATCTCAGTAGAGCCACTAATGCTTCATTGTACTATAGCAATGCTCAGACAACGTCCAAATCATGTCAATGAATTCCTCTGGATTTTCTTTGGCGCTTCTGGCAGTCCAAACACTGAGCCCATGTCTCTGTGTGTGTGTGTGTGTGTGTGTGTGTGTGTTAGAAATCTGGCCCTTTACTGTAGCGTTCCTCCCTGAGGTTATAGGATTGGTAGCAGATGGACATGTCACACACACCGGCCTGCCCTGGAGGACCCTGCTTTCCTGGGATGCCCGGAGACCCAGATTTACCCGGTATTCCCGGAGGACCCGGAAAACCAATGCCATCACTGCCGCGAGGACCCTGGATGCCTGTTGTTGTTGTGGAGAGAATATACAGTCTGACAGTTACACACGCTTCAGTTCCAAACGCTGCATATCCTATTGTGCCAGACAGAGTTACACAAGTCTAAACATATGCACGACAACCCACTGACACAACTGATGTTTATCAACTAGCTGTAGAGCCTGAAATGGCTTGTTTGTAATAATGGCATTTAAAATCTTCAGGATTAAAGATATAGTATGTCATTTTGTCCAATAGAGGGTGTGTATTCACAACAAACAACAAAAAAGATGAACAAGAATGTTCCCTGAGCATGATCTGAAACATCTGCACACAGATTATTCTGTTTTATGATACAGAACAGTCAGAAACGCACATGCAGCACCTTTAACGTCTGATTTTGGCTGTAATGTAATAGTAATGTGCACCTTTTTTGTAAAGCTACTTTAGAATGATAATTATAATGAAAAGCTCTATACAAATAAAAGTGAATTTACCCGTGTCTCCGGGAGGTCCTGGGTATCCTGGTCGGCTCTCTCCTTTTTTGCCCTTGAATCCCTGTATGCCTGTGTCCCCTGAAAGATCACCAAAGATTGCAATTAAAATACAAACTGAAAGCCTAATTTATTTACATAAGTGTTCGGTGTGGATATCTCAGTTACCTTTGACTCCTGGTGGCCCCTGCACTCCTGGAGGCCCAGGGTAGCCCTGAGCACCGTGTCTGCCGGGATACCCAGGAGACCCTATGGAGCCTTTAGGACCCGGAGCTCCAGGGTGTCCCGGGGGTCCTTTAATGGTCTCGCAGGGTTCACAGCGCTGAGAGCTCATGGTCTGCAGGAGCTGTGGGAGCTGGTCTGATGGAGAGGAATATAGATCAGACTGAGGGCCCGTTCACACCAGGTCATGTTATTATGTGATTAATATGTTCTGATCACGTTTTCAGTGGAACAACCTGTATTTGTCATTAAATTGTCTCATTAATGGCCTGTTTCCACTGAATGGTACGATAAAGGCTGGTACGGGTCACCTTTATCAGGTGTTTTCATTGTCAAAAGGACAGAAAGTGTCAGTCAACGTCATTTTCACTGGAGGAAATGTCTACAGTAAAGCTGTACGGTTTACTCACATATCATATGAGCAGCACTCACAACACACGCTTTATACACATCAATACTGTATAAATGTTCATTACTAACCTTTCTATCAACAGGATTTGATTATAACTGCAGATCAATGACCTACGTCTGCAATTATATTAAATAAATAAATAAATAAATGCAGCATTTATGAACACATACAGCCCCTTAAAGTCTCCGATATGTTACCATTTACAGATAAACTACACACAGCAGACATTTAATCCTCATTTGGGTTCATAAACAACATGCACCATATATCCCACAGTCAGAGCAAACCTCTCATCTGTGTGTAATCTTCAGCAGCACATGGAGCCGCTGTTAGAGAGTAACTCCTTCATATTAAGTTCACAATAGTCCAGAAGCTGATGATAATAGTTAAGCAGGGCAGTGTGTTCATCTTTTCTGTTTCTGAAAGAATCATTTGCTCCTTTGTTTTTTTCGGGCTCGTGTTTGTGCGTTTCTGAAAGGATCAGATGTCAGCATCGCTTCAATAATCACGCACACGCTATAATCATAAGCTCAAGAAGTCTGTTGTTTCAAATACAGACGCGCAGCGAGCTCACTGGAGAAACTGAAACCATTCGCAATTTAGACGGCATCGTAAACTACAAGAGAAGACGTCAGATTTTGTTCTTCTTGGCTTTGTGGCATTTCATCAAGATGACGACAAGGTTTGTTTGAGCTCGGGTTGAACATGGATCATTATTGTATGTATATATTATTATGATGTAATGTGTCGGCTATTTAAAATTGGGGCTTCCTTTGTTTTCATTCTCCTGCTTGTGCCCGCGCTAGTGACGTAAACCAATAGCGTTCAGCTGCACGTCTAGCTCTGCCTTTTTGCTATATTTTGTTGTGCTAGGTACCCCTCCAAAAGGGTAACCATGAAGTGGTACAGTATGATTCACTTTTTGGTACCTTTTGACAGTGAAAATGGCCATAAAAGTGTACCGAATCGTAGTGTACTACTCAATGTAAACGGCCCTTACAGGTGTCATTACACTGTCAGATCATTTTTAAGAGCGTCATTAATATTTCAAGAGTTCACACTTAGCTGATGATTGATAATAAAGCTTGTTTGGCGTGCTGTCCCGGGAGAGAGCCCTGAGCTTATAAGATCCTCGAGCCCTGGGCTCCCTCTCGTTGCAGGGTGAGAGGGGAGTTTGAGCTCAGGTAGATCTTGATGAATCCCCCTCCTGCTTATTGTAGCAGATGTACTCAGAGTTTGGCTAAAATATTTATTAATATTGGATTAATTGTTATTTATTTATATTTAAATATTGGATTGTTTAGGGTGCTTGTTTTTGAACTGTGGGAGGAAACCGGAGGACATGGGGAAAACCCACGCGAGCATGGGGAGAGCTAGCAAAACACCGCACAGAAAGGTCGCTTGGTTTGAAAGGGGATTAAACCAGGGGCATTCTTGCTGTGAGGCAACAGCGCTAATCCCTGGCCAGCGTGCCGCTCGTTTGAAAGGAGGGATAGTAAGGTTTGGGTGTGGGGCGTTCTTCAAGACGAAGATATTGAGATGAGAAAAGTCTGGTTATTTATAGTGAGTTAAGGATCGTCTGATAGGATAATTAGACATTAGCTAAAGTTGAAACAGCTGTGAACAATCGTAAGCACGTGATCCTCTCGAAATTCAACAAATTCAACTTGTGCCACTGTTGTTGATTCATGACGATGTTATAAAATTCATGACATATTTATAATGGCATCATGAGAATCATGTTTATGACAGATTTATGACAAGTTTTGTTGTCTTGGTAACGTCAAGTTGTCATGACAAAGACAAAAACAGGTTGCGATATATTTCTTAATAATAATAATAATTATAATAATAAAAACCGCACACCACACACTAGCTGATGGGCGGAGAGGAGACCAATTACGATATGGGGATGTTTAGGAGGCCAGCGGGCAATTTCTGCCAGGATGCCAGGGTTAAAGCTCTATTCTTTATCAAAGAACATCCTGGGATTATTAATGAGCACAGAGAGTTTGGACCTCGGTTTAAAATCTTATCCGAAAGATGGCACTCACTGAGCAGTATAGAATCCCCATCAATATACTGGGGCGTTAGGACTTACACAGACCTCAGGTTGAGCGCCCCCTGCTGGCCTCACTAACACCACTGCCAATAGTACCCTAGTGTTTCCAGGTGGTCTCCCATCCAGACACTGATCAGGCTCAGCCTTCTTAGCTTCAGTGGGTGACCATGTGAGAGCTGCAGAGAGCTGCTGCCAGCACAGTTGTCATAACAACTAATGTCATCTTTGCATAAGTGTCATAACAGAGTAAATACTCAATGGTAAAGTCTCATTCACATTCATGTGTCATGATGATAAAGGTTAAGGACAGTCTTATTAATATCACTTACAATAAAGTGTTTCAGAAACTTCTGCAGCTGCTGTGCTGTAAATTTAGGTTTGTGACACTATGATTTTCCTCAAAGATTGCTTTGGTTCATGGTTTATAAAGGCTTTGTGTGCGAGTGTGCGCCGCTGATGCGCTCAATATAACATCTGAGGATGTGCTGTTAAAGCGCAGTCCAGATCAGTCAATGATGAGCTCCTGACAGTACGCAATGAAGCAGCTCGCTAAGTTTATAAGTGGACCACAGGGAGGAAAAGCACAGCGATAACAGAATGTATGATACGACCCCTTTCATTCAAAGCAAACCGTGAAAAACACGGCGAGAGCTCAGCAAGTTTCCGCAACAAAAGTTCCTTTCTGGTGAACTTAGCTTTCATCTAACAGCTTTAATTGGAAGCTGCGTGCTATTCTGGGCGCTTTACATAGCAGGGTGGTTCGTATTAAAAAAGGGAAGAGGAAAAAAGCTCCTTGGGCTCTTTGTTCATGAGAGAATAATGACCTCGAGGAAGGTCGGATACTCACTTCTCAGAACGTCCCTGCAGAGTTTTATGAAGTACTCGTCTGACGGAGGCTTCCCCTGAAACACAGATCCAGCCACTCATTAGATGAAAAACACACAAAAGAAATGAGATGATGGTACAGGAAGAGACAGAAGAAAGCGACTCAATTACACAGCGTTGACCTCAGGCTTTCTGCTCTCCTTCATAATGACTTGAGATGATGCGCGCTGACATGGCCGCGGCACACGCCCTGCTTTGTTTACCATTTGTTTATTTCTCGCAAAAGGAAAACACCTGCTGGCTATGACAACATTTTTAATTGGTATCACATGGTTCAGAGAAATGCAGGAATACTCACAGGTTTTCCTGGAAAGCCTGGATTGCCTGGTTGTCCTGGTAAACCGTCTTGACCTGGGAATCCACGCGGTCCGACAACACCAATGTGCCCCATGTCCCCCTTCTGCCCGTCTGGACCTTTGAGCCCAGGGTCACCAGGCGAGCCTCTCTGCAGGATTTAATACACAGGAAACACTTGAAGCCAGTTTAATTCATCATACTAATGAAACCGGTTCAGTGAGTCTCCACTAGGGGGCGATCTGAGTGAATCAGCATGGTTTAAGCCTAGTCACCATAAAGCAGAAGTTAAGATTGTCCTTTTTAGCCCTGCCTTAGATGACTGATAGCCCCGCCTTAAATTACTGATAGCCCCGCCTTAGATGACTGATAGCCCCGCTTTAAATGACTGATAGCACCGCCTTAAATTACTGATAGCCCCGACTTAAATGACTGACAGCCCTGCCTTAAATGACTGACAGAACTGCCTTAAATGACTGATAGCCCCGCCTTAAATGACTGACAGAACTGCCTTAAATGACTGATAGCCCCGCCTTAAATGACTGACAGCCCCGCCTTAAATGACTGACAGCCCCGCCTTAAATGACTGACAGGACTGCCTTCAATGACTGACAGCCCCGCCTTAAATGACTGACAGGACTGCCTTCAATGACTTATAGCCCCGCCTTAAATGACTGATAGCACCGCCTTAAATGACTGACAGCCCCGCCTTAAATGACTGACAGGACTGCCTTCAATGACTTATAGCCCCGCCTTAAATGACTGATAGCACCGCCTTAAATTACTGATAGCCCCGACTTAAATGACTGACAGCCCCGCCTTAAATGACTGACAGCCCCGCCTTAAATGACTGACAGGACTGCCTTCAATGACTGACAGCCCCGCCTTAAATGACTGACAGGACTGCCTTCAATGACTTATAGCCCCGCCTTAAATGACTGATAGCACCGCCTTAAATTACTGATAGCCCCGACTTAAATGACTGACAGCCCCGCCTTAAATGACTGACAAAACTGCCCTAAATGACTGATAGCACCGCCTTAAATGACTGACAGCACCGCCTTAAATGACTGACAGCCCCGCCTTAAATGACTGAAATAAAGCTCCTGTTCTAATAAATGTGTTTTTCAGTGCCTGAAACACCCATGTTGTTTCTGGTCCACTTGCATTGTTCACATCAGTGGGATTACTGCATTTTACAGTAGAGTAGAGCTGCACAATTCATTAAATTAAAATCAAAATCATGATGGGGCTTGTGTGATTAATGAAGTGTGAACGGCTGCGTGTTAAATAAACCTGTAGTTTAAATGCATAGCGTAGTGCACTACACATAACTCAAGCATGCACTGTTTTGCACACTGAATAAGATCTACACTTCATTTGCACATCATTTCCTAAACATTTCATGCACAGCAATATACAACACTGTCCAATGTCATTTCATAATAAAATAAATACATATTTTTATACCCCTGTAATTTTGTGTATTACTGATTTACATGTTGAATTTGACTTTCTTTAACTTGGCTTTTAGTTCATACCTCTCCTTTAATGCCTCTGGGTCCCGTTTCACCCTGGATCAGGAGAAAACACACACACACACACACACACAAACACGCACATGCACACACACACATACACACACACAAGACTTTTCATAACAGAATTGATATTTAAAACACACAGACTCAACATTCAGAGTGGGTGACAGACGAGTTTCATACTGCACTGCACTTATTTATATGCATCCTTATTGGTATATAATATTTCTGTATATATTTTCCTTAGTATTTTTTGTATATTTAAATTGTGCTTGTAGTGTCTTTGTTATTTGTATACACCCAGGGTCTGAGAGTAACGTCATTTCAGTTCTGTGTATGTCTGTGAATGTAGCAGAACTGACAATAAAAAGACTTTTATTTTGTTTTGTTTTTTGTAGAGCTGCTATTTTTAGCATTTAGCTTTCACGCAAGGCCAAATGACATGTCTGAGCCATCTTAACAAAAAAAAAACTTGCAAAACACATATTTATAACACTAATTGTGTCTCAACAATTCTCTAAAATTTCTCTCATTTACTAAAGCACAGTTTTCATAGAAACTGCTTAAAGGCACAGTGTTTATGTTGGCCACTAGAGGGCGTGTATTGGCAACAAACAAAGTGCACTGTAATAATGAGTGCACAACTGATTTTACATGGCTAGAAAATACCCAAAATGCACTGTGAAAGTTAGTGCACCGAAGCAATTTCCACATCTGACCACTAGATGGCAACCACAATATAAAATAACGTTTAAATATATGGAGAGCTGTTGATTATGTTGCCATGTCTATTGCGCACATGTGGTATAAGTTGCTCTAAAAACAACTTATACAAATATATAACAAATTTATTCTTTATTCGCATTCAGAATAAATTTAGCACTAAAGATTTGACAAATCAAGATTTATTCATGAAAATGACTGTACGCACATTTCACGCATACATTTGTGCATACGCATATTTAGTGAATGAGACACATCAATAACATACCCTACATATATATAAATAGACAACTACAGTACTGGGATCAATTACAGATCAATTACTATAGTTGCTGTGCTACCATAGCAACTGTAGAATCACCACAACAGATCAGTTACTATAGTTGCTGTGTTACCATAGCAACTGTAGAATCAGCACAGCAGATCAATTACTACAGTTGTTGTGTTACCATAGCAACTATAGAATCACCACTACAGATCAATTACTGTAGTTGCTTTGTTACCATAGCAACTGTAGAATCACTGCAACAGATTAAGATGCTTTACTGAAATACTTTACAGTAGTATGCCTCTTAAACCACTATGGTATTTACTTTAGATTACTATAGTATTTTATCATGTGTGTTAATCTCCTAATTTCTGATTTGTTTAGTTAAACTGACACACGTCTTACTCTGACACGAGCACTTCATGATGCAGTGTGTTTGTGACTCAGGTTTCTGGGTATTTGCTGAGCTTGATTTCCCAGAAATCTGAAATAATTCTGCAAGCATTGAAGTGATTCAGCAGGACAGAAGGAACTACATGTGACAAAAATATTAAACTGGATTAAAAAATAGCTTTATTTTTCCCCAAGCGGTGACGGCTCTGAATCAATCAGCAAACTTAGATTACAATTTAAGCAATTAAGCACTCTGCTGAAGCTGCTTTCTTTATTTTGTTGTATTTGCAATATTCAAAGTTTCATACAATTCATGAAGTATCTGTGAAACTGTAAGACTAATCCACTGCTGTGAGTGTAGCTTTAATCACACACAACATTTATATCACAATTTGCTCATTTTCTGGGCTGCAATCCTGTGTGTGATTAATAGAGTAACCTGAATGCAAAACCAGCATGCTTTAAATATCAAACCTTAAATCAGGGTTAATCAAAATAGTTAATTACACTAGATTACACTAGAGTTGCTAATCTTATGCCAGTGCAATCATGGTTGACTAAATCTTCAAGTTGTAATGCTAACTTAAAATTAGTGCTATAATTATAGTTTACTATAACTGATTTATCTGTTCAACTGCTGTTTCTCCTCAATGCAGTGCAGTGCTATAATGAGCAGCGCCCCCTGCTGATGGAGAGGAGTTAGTGCACTTACTGTAAATCCCGGCAATCCAGGGAAACCTTTGGTGCCCTTCTCCCCCTGTGAACCAGACAAGAGTGAGTGTGTGTGTGTGTGTGTGTGTGTGTGTGTGTGTGTGTGTGTGTGTGTGTGTGTGTGTGTTAGTAGTGTCTCAGACTCAAAGGTCATCATCAACATTCAGAGTCAACAGATGCTTCCCTGTGTCACATCTGTTTAGCTCACTACACTCACCGTGCTGCACCCTAGAGGACACTATCTGACCTCACTAACTAAGATCATTACAGTCAGCATCCTCTACCCTACAGAGAGCACTAACTTAGCTCACTACACTCACTGTGCTGCACCCTACAGATTAAACTAACATATTACACCCACTGTGCTCCACCCTAGAGTGAACACTAACTCAGTACACTCAGTGTGCCCCCTACAGAGAACAGTAACTCATAATGTGCTGCACCCTACAGGAAAGCTATCTCATTACATTAAGCACCCTACAAAGAACAATTCAACTGACTACACTATGCACCTTACAGAGAACAGTAAGTGATCTCTGTAGGGTGTAGTAGAATCACCACAACAGAGTGATTACTGTAGTTGTTGTGTTACCATAGTAACTGTAGAATACCACAACAGACCAATTACTATAGTTGTTGTATTACCATAGCAACTGTAAAAACACCACAGCAGATTAATTACTTTAGTTGGTGTGTTACCATAGCAACTGTAGAATCACCACAACAGAGTGATTACTGTAGTTGTTGTGTTACCATAACAACTGTAGAATCACCACAGCAGATCAATCACTATAGTTGTTGTGTTACCATAGCAACTGTAAAAACACCACAGCAGATCAAGTACTATAGTTGATGTGTTACCATAGCAACTGTAGAATCACCACAACAGAGTGATTGCTGTAGTTGTTGTGTTACCATGGCAACTGTAGAATCACCACAACAGAGTGATTACTGTAGTTGTTGTGTTACCATGGCAACTGTAGAATCACCACAACAGAGTGATTACTGTAGTTGTTGTGTTACCATGGCAACTGTAGAATCACCACAACAGATCAATTACTATAGTTGTTGTGTTACCATAGCAACTGTAGAATCACAAACAGATAAAGCTTTTTTACTGAGATACTTTAGTATGACTCCAAAAACTCCATATTATTTACTATAAATGACTATATGATTTTTTCATCAGCTGAATCGATGTTCTCTGTAGGGAGAGTTAGTGTCACACTCAGTGTGATGCACCCTAGAGTAAATACCAACTTAGCTCACTGCACTCTCCACCCTACAGAGAACACAATTAAACACTATTTCCAGAACCTTCTCTTTCCCTGTTCCTCAATGGTCAAATGATTTTCCTGCCACTGAAACATCTTAATTTTTTAATGAACAGAGGTTTATTTCTTTTCCTTTCAATCATCTCTGTATTGTGTTATACAGTAGGCCAAACTAACATCTTGAAAATCCTTTTATGATTAGAAGCACAGCGTGATAACTAATATTTACTTTATACTTTACTTATATTAAAGATTACATTGCACGCTAGCATTATCAATGAAGGAAACAACCAGCTTGAAGAGCAATAGAGCTGACCTTTTCTATTAAAACATCACCCTAAGGTTTTAATTATACCTTGAAGAAACATCTGGGTTAGAGATCTGAGATGGACGTGAGCTTTTGCTGAATCTAAATCCAACATTTTAATAAATGATTTCAGTCAAAGGCGTGTTTTTGAAAAGTGCAGGAAATCTACCTGAGCGCCTCTGGGTCCCGACTCTCCTCTCTCACCCTGGAAAAGAGAAAATATAAAACACCTCAGAAAGTCTTTCTTCCTCTCTCTGTGTTCTGCAGCATATCAGTCCAAAATAGATTTAATGAGCCGAGCTCTCTGAATATCAGGCATCTCTTCCACACCAGCAGTCATTCATTCATCCTGATTTATCACTGACATCTCTATAGTGTCGTATATATGAATATGCAGATTTGATATAAAACATGCTGGTGTTCTGAGTAACATGTTTAGTGCTGTGAAGAAGTGTTTGCCCCCTTACTGGTTTTCCTATTTTTATGCACAATTGTCACACTTTCATGTTGCAGATCATCAAACAGCTTTAAATATTAGTCAAAGACAACACAAATACCACCAAACTACATTAGAATATGAAGTCTACTTTACAAATACTGTCAAAGGTGTGATTAAAATATTGTTTATACTGCTTAAACACTGGGGGCGCGCTTGTATGGTCATCAGTGTAAGCTCGACGTCATCTGGTGGTCATGTCTGGTACTGTGGCCAAATAAAATATTAATGAAAGCTCATTTTTCGAGATACCAACTTCAAATTTGGAGTATAATTTGTTTAGATAGCTTCAACTTTCAGTTTTATCCTAAAACAGGTAAAATACATAATGAAATACATATTTTATATGATATATTAAAATATGCATTTAATGTTTTGTTATTTACATAAACATATAACTTTTGTTTTATTTACCTTTTTGAACTTTTCTCACTACAATCTGATAAGTGTCTTCTTTAAAATGAGACCAAACGTTTAAATTTATGCAATAAAGCATTGAAAATTGGCATTCATTTAAGCCATGGGTCTCAAACTCAATTGCTTGAGGGCCGGAGCTCTGCACAGTTTTGCCCCGACCCTAATAAAACACAGCTGATGCAACAAAGCAAGGTGTTTGAGACTCTTTTGAACACCTTGATTATTTGGATCCCATTGGCATTCATTTAAGTTCAACATGTAATTTTTGTGTCTATTTCTAAAAGGAGCTACATTCTAGTTTTTTTCTAAATAAATGAAATATAATCTGTGTTTTACACCGGATAACAAGTACAGCATTAAATTTTCTTGTTCCCTTCATGTGTTTAATATACCAGCATTTAGTTCAACAGCAGTAATTGTAATGCATTTTCTGCTATTCCTCAGAGATTTATACAAACCAAACAAGAATATATTTTAATGCCAAAGAAAAATGACCTGAGGATCTCTGAAGGATCTCTTGACTACTGGAGTAAGAATGCTAAAAATTCAGCCGTACTTCACAGATGTGAATTACACTTTACTTGATATTCACATATTTATTATAATTTTTATTTCATGATTTTTTTAATTTATTTCTGACCAAATAAAAGAATCATTTAGTCAAGAAGAGGAGATTTCTTTCACATAACCCCCAGCATCAGTCTGCAACAATTAAAAAAAAAAGTGCTGTTCTCACTGAGAGTTTTTGTCTTGTTTCTAATCCAAATATCTCAAAATTCTTTCTTCTAGACACGCAAAACAGATTTTGATTAAAACAGTCTTACTTTCCGCAATAGTGAGTCTAAACTTATCAAGTTTATCCTTAAAGCTACAAGTTAAATAATCTGCCAACGGGGTCTTTCTTTTCCTAGACATAAGATTATTCCTTTTCCCCCACTGTCAGATATTTAGCTTGTTTTCAGGAGAAAGTCTTCATCATTTCTGAAAACAACACTATATTTTCAGCTTGTGTAGAAAATGCTTCCTAATTTCAGTGATTTTTGGACTAGAAACAAGACACAAACTCTGAGTAAGAGCAGCAGTTTCTGCAGTGCAGTGAATGCAGGTTTTTTCTGCCGCTTGTTTACCGTGTTTTTACCTTGTGTCCTTTAAATCCAGGAAGGCCTGTGGCTCCCTGAGCTCCTGGGAATCCCGACTCTCCCTGCTGGCCCTGTGGGAGACACAGAATACACTCTGAATGTGACGGACGGCAGAATGGAAAACAGCAGCAGAGGCAGCAGATCTGACCTTCTGACCCGCAGCTCCAGGAGCACCTGCGCCCCCCGTCTCTCCTGCACTGCCCTGGACACACACACACATATATATATAAATTTACACACAAACATACATATGCAATACACACACACACACACACACACACACACACACACACACACACACACACGTATATATATAAATGTACACACAAACATACATATGCAATACACACACACACACACACACACACACACGTATATATAAATTTACACACAAACATACATATGCAATACACACACACACACACACACACACACACACACACACACACACGTATATATAAATTTATACACAAACACACATATGCAGAACACACACACACACATTTAAAACTCCATTCTTAATCCCAGAGTTGACAGTAGGGCTTATCATTTTGACTTCAACTGTCTACATTTGATTTGATTTCATTGCTAAACACTGAAGTCAGAGTTTCGTGGTGCAGACTCACATATGAACAGTTAACTAAACCCCATACCTGATAATAAATCCAGATTAACTGATGAATTAATTCCCTTCATGTTATTTAACCTTTTTTCTTGATATTTTAGTGCACATAAATCCTCAAGCCACACATAACATCTCTATTATTGACTACAGACACAATCAATCTCTGTCTAAATGAAGAGTGCAATAGTGAGCACAGTTAAGTGAACACACTCCTCTGATGAGCACTGCTCCAGGAACAGCACATGTGATCTGTCTAATTAATAATAAGAATAATTAATAATTAAAAATTAGCGCGTCTCTGGAGGATTCTCACCTTGGGGCCGCGAGCTCCGTCTGCTCCAGGGGTCCCTGAAGGCCCCTGCGCCCCCTGCAGGACACAAACACACAACAGCTGATAAGAGTAAACACACACACACAACAAATCTTCCTATATTACTTCACAATTTGATGTCTACTTGGCAGTGGTGGTGTGGTGTGTGTAATATATATATATAATGATTCAAATGAATAATAACACCTACAACATTAACATTCAAACCATAACCATCTATTTTATTATGTGTAAGGTGTTTATTTTAGCTAGATAACAAATGAAAAAGATGAATATTCATTGTAATAATGTAATGCAACAACACCTAATGGAAAGGTGTACAGAAATATGTCTAATGCGCTAGTTTAATTACTGTATTGACTTTTTTATGAACTCTAGAAATGTTTCCTCAATAATTTAATTATTTGGTCTCAATTCTCCAACACACCAAAAACTGTTAAACACTCACATTACAGCCCAAAATACTGAAGCTTTGTCGGTCAGTTTGTGTGCGTGTGTGTGTGTGTGTGTGTACCTTTATTGAACACCAGCAGAGGGCAGCAGTGGTGTGTGTTGTGTGTGAGTGTGTGTGTGTGTTCTCCACCAGAGGTCAGGCTTACCCTGAGCCCTGTTAAAGGGTCAGTTCACCCTAAAATGATCTACTCTCCCTCAAGTAATCTTAAACCCTTCTTCAGTTAAACACTAAGGAAGATATTCTGAAGAATGTTGAAAACCTGTAACCGCTGACTTCAACAGTAGGATAAACAGATACTATAGAGGTCAATGGTTACAGGTTTACTGAACTAAATATCTTCTTTTGTGTCCAAGAGAAACTCAAAGGTTTGAATCAGCTAAAAGGCGAGTAAATGATGACAGAATTATTATTTCTGGACGTCTTTTCTTTAATATCTGAGTCCTGCTTCATATCTGAATCCTGGTGATGGCTAATATCCGGGTTATGATCTGTGATGTGGTGGTTCCTCCGTCTGAGTGTCCTCACCTGAGCTCCTCTTGGTCCCGGGGAGCCTTTCGGTCCTGGAGCTCCTCGTGCACCCTAAACTCCAGCACACACACAGCAGAAAGACACACACACTCACACACAGAGATTCTGTATATTGGTATAGTATTTAATATATAATAAGAAGAATTGATATCTGGCCAATTCATTGTGTCAAATGAGAAGATTGTGTGTGCATGCGTGTGTACCTGCTCTCCGGTCGCTCCTGCTTCACCTGAAAGTCCACGAATGCCCTGCAAAACACACACGCACAAACACACACACACAGCTGATGACACAGATCCAGCATCAGACCTGCTGTACAGTAACAGTAAATCACTCATCTATTACAGCAGAACCAACACAACACAACATATTGCATTATTGCTGTGTTGTGCATCTGCCAAATACACAAACACACACACACACACTCTCTCTCTGACATTCACACCTCTCTCTGTCTGCTGTTCTACACACTGGACCTCTGTAATTGAGCTCCGTTAACTCCTCCGCTGTCCATCTGCTCCTCAGATTAAATCATTAAAGATGGAAGCGGTGGAGACAGCAGTAAAGGGTCAGTTCACACACAAATCAACATCTACTCACGCTTTACTCTCCCTCCAGCGGTTATAAACCCTTATCAGTTTCTGTCTCAAATAAAAGATATTTTAAAGAATGCTAAAGCTTGTAACCACTGACTTCCATAGTAGGAAAAACAATTACTATGGAAGTCAATGGTTACCGCTTTTCAACATTTTTCTAAATATCTTCATTTGTGTTCAGCAGATGAAAATACATAACAGTTTGAAACAAGCAAAGGGAGAGTAAATGATGACAGAATATTAATCGATTTCAGCCTGAACATAATAAATGCACAGAGAAAAATGTTAAGCAAAATTTCTAACATTTAAAAATGCAGTTTTTAGATCATTTTGATATCAAACATTAGTTATTGATGAAAAATAATGCCCAGACAGCGCATTATGGTTTATGGGGTAGCAATGTCACGGTCCGTAACCTAAATTGAGCTATTTCATTTAAAGGTGCGGTGTGTAAGTGTGACACCCAGTGGGTGAACTAGATATTGCACACCTGGTTTAAAGCACACACAACAGCAGGTTGCCAGACTGACGACACCAACAGGAGTGAGTCTGACGATGGAGCCTAAAGGCTGATTTAAGCAGTGTGCTGAATAAAAGCAACGGCACACAACAGAAGGAACATTCTGCATATTAAAAGGAGATATTGTTCTACCCAACACCTGAAATTAATATATTAGAAACAGCTTCTGTTTATCACAGCTGAGCAACAAGATAAACTGATCAGCTCAGGTACAGCTCGTGTGCTTTATTCAGTGTTAAACGCTAATAATATGAGTTTATATACATTTAAATACGCTGTTTTCCACCATCTGGCAACCCGGAGTGCTGAAATATAACTAGCTAACCTGGCATTTGGCGGGTTAAAAGACCAAATCAAAGACAGCCGTTCCGGCACGTAACGCACATGTTCACAGCAGAAACTCTGACTTCAGCATTGCTTCCAGATAATCAAGAACATTCAGCATGAGCATGATCTGAAATATCTTATGGTGTGTTTACAGTCTGATGCAGAAGAGTCAAACACTGACGCACAGCACCCTTAAACCTGCTCCAAGCCTGCTGAACACAAATGAAGATATTCTGAAGAATGCTGGATAAACAGTGACTGACTCTTACAGTGTTTTTCTGCTGCAGCTGTCGATGGCTGCTCTTTGTCCAGCATCCTCCAGAAGATCTCAGTGTGGATCAGAGGAAAGAAACGCTCCAGTGAGTGCATGACCAGATCATTTTCACATAGTTTCAGATATGTTCAGACAAGTAAACTCTGTGTGTATCCACCATTCTGCTGGACAAATGTCGCATTAACTCTGGTAATGTGTGCTGAAAGCAGAAATATGTTGACGGATGAGTGAACGCGAGAGCAATGTTTAATACACACCACTATTTACTGGAGTAATGCGAGCTGAACGCCCTCTTCCTTTCTGTGTGTGTTTGTCTGCCTTTGAGTCTGTGTGTGTGTGTGTGTGTGTGTGTGTGTGTGTGTGTGTGTGTGTGTGTGTGTGTGTGTGTGTGTGTGTGTGTGTGTGTGTGTGTGTGTGTGTGTGTGTGTGTGTGTGTGATAGACTTCAACAATCCTTGTATGTTTGATTGTCAGTCTGTGATCTGGATGTTCTGGATCAGCTCATGAAGGCACCATTATTAGGGTATGAACTGAACTCGTAGATGCAGATCAGACAGAACACACACATCTCTGAAAGCAGGACAGATGTGGACACGCTCACAGACGCCGCAGCCGCACAGAAAAGAGTGTTTTCAGTGGTGCGTTCGGGATGTTTTCACACACACACTGGAGACGGAAGCTGTGCATGATGGGAATGTGAGATTACTGATGTACACATGCGGGTTCTCTATTCCCGCTGCTCTGAACACTGTTAAACACTGCGCTTCACACTCCTGCCAACAGTTTACCCAGCGTCAGTCAACTCAGATCACAAGTTCAGGAAATCTGTCATTACAAACATAGTTCTGCCATCCTGAGTCTCCCAAATTATTATTATAATTCATATATCTGAGTCCTGCTTATTATCTAAGTCCTGCTTAATATCTTATATATCATTAATGTCCTGGTTAATATGAGTAGATGATGACAGAGTTGTTATTTTTGAGTGAACTGTCCCTTTAACATCTGAGTCCTGCTTCATATCTGGTTATTATCCGAGTCCTGGATGATATCTATTATCTGGTTAATATCCTGGTCAATCCTGTCCAGACTGCCTTTATAATAATATCATGACACACATCACAGATATGAAGGCGATATGCATGCTTATGACAACTGCCATTAGGTGTCATTCACACAGTTATGGCATTTTACATGCAAAGCTTGGTCAGTTAAATGCATCAGAACAACATATTAATCAAATATAAAATAATATGAAGAGACTCACAGGAGGCCCCTGAGGTCCAGCAGCACCGGGGGGTCCGTCATCTCCTTTCTCTCCCTGAAACACACACACACACACACACACACACACACACACACACAATGCAGAACAAACTACAGTTGAGCATGTGATTATATCAAGAAGCACATACATCTGTAACATCTACTTTGGGTTATTGTGAGTTTACATTTATAAACAAATATATATAATATACGGCAATTAATAAAATCAAGCAATCAATACCCTGATAAAATAGTAGCAGTAGAAACTCCTGTAGAACCATGTACTGAAGACTCAGTATGAGTCTCAATGTAAACAGCTTGACTGAATCAGTGAATCATTTACTGGAGTCTCACTCTGAACAAATCATTTAAATTAGTGAATTGTTTACTGAAGTGTGTGTGTGTGTGTGTGTGTGTGTGTGTTTTCCTGCATCGTTTACTCTCGCTGGACACATAAAACACAGGCTCTCATCACCACATCAGCCAAACAGTTATGCTCCATAACATGCACAAAAACAAACAAACCTGCTTTGTTTTCTATTTTCATTTTGATCTAATTGGATTCAAAAACAAGATGAAATAACAAAATAATTTTTAAAAAAAAGCTGTTTTGGAAGTATTTTTAACACTGTTTTACAAACAGAGAAATATAAAAATTTATTAAATATGGGGGATGGGGTGTTGTTTATTCTATTGTATTATTATTATTATTATTATTATTATTATTATTATTAATATTCTGCTAAATGTATTAAAAAGAAATGAATGTCCTAATATTTTCTGTATTCTAACATTCTATGTATATTTCCAATAAATATACATCTTTTAATAAAATGATTAAATGCACATAGTGAAAATAATAAATATTTTCAGAAAACTGTTTAATTATACTAGGATAGACTGCCACTGTTTATTTATAAATGTTCTGTGTAAAGATGTAGACAATTTGTGCAAGATTAAAAATAAAGAATATTTGGTGCAGTTTTATATTAGCTATTATTATTATTAAGAGCTTCTTCTATTGATGTGCTTTTTGCAAAATACATCCACAAAAGCAAAATTGCTCGCACTTCTTGACTCTGCACTGCCATTTTTACCTTTATTTTATTCAACTTTGATTTTAAATGGCAACACGGTGGCCCAGCGCTTAGTAAGTAAGCAATGTGTATTTATATAGTGCATTTATTGTGTATGGCCATACACCCAAATCCCTTCACAATCATGAGGAGGGTCTCTCCACACCACCACCAGTGTGCAGCTCCTACAGCACTAACACCACTGCCAACAGCAGCCTAGAGTTCCCATGTGCTCTCTCAACCTGGCACTGACCAGGCTCAGCCCTGCTTAGCTCCAGTGAGGGACCACTCTTGGTCTGCAGAGTGATACGGCTGTGGTCATGCATACACACTAATTTTCCTTCAGCTTAGTCCCTTATTTATTAGGGAGTGCCACAGCGGAATGAACCGCCAACTATTCCAGCATTTGTTTTACACAGCAGAAGCCCTTCAAGCCACAACCCAGTACTGGGAAACATCAATACACCTTCACACACACACACCCTCATACACACACACCCTCACACACACACACCCTCACATACACCCTCACCCACACCCACACGCACGCACGCACGCACACACACACACACACACACACACACACACGCTACGGCCAGTGTAGTTGATCAATTCCCCTATAGCGCATGTGTCACGGGGAGAACATGCAAACTCCACACAGAAACACCAACTGACCCAGCCGAGACTCAAACCAGAGACCTTCTCGCTGTGAGGCCACAGTGCTAACCACTGAGCCCCCTTTGTTTAAATTCAGCCCATGTAAATTGTTTGCAACCTTTTTACTTTAAAAATGTAGTAAATGCAATTAATCATGTTTTTCAGTGCAGGATCTGCTCTCTTCTTTTGTCCTCCTCCAGATCCTAACATTCACAAACTGTGTGAAAAGCCAGGAGAAACAGAAACCAAGAGTGTTGTTGTTGTTGTTTTTGAAGATCTCGGCCTTCCAGGACACATAAAAACATCTAAAGCAAGCAAAGCCTTCATTAGCGGAGCAGAAGTGAAACACACACACACACACACAATGACGGCTCTGACATCTGCACGTGTGTTTGCCAACACTGAACACAGTGAGCACTTTGTGGAAACGATGTTTCAGACATGAAACTGCAGCTTCCGGCTCTCTAATGTATGGCCAGAGTTACACATGCTCACCGTCTAGACAACAAAACCATACATGCACCGTAAATGAGGCTGTGTGTTCACTCAGCACAGGACAACTGCAATAACACGCCTGTTCTGTAAAAGCGTAGCTCATTGCTGTAATACATTCTGTGAAACAACAGTCAGTGTGATCCAAAATAGATGAAAGTGAGTCTGGCGATGCACAGCTGAAGTCAGAATTATTCGCCCTCCTATGAATTCTGTTTTATTTTTCCAATATTTCCCGAATGATGTTGAACAGATTCAGGAGTTGTTCACAGTATGTCTGATAATGTTTGTTCTTCTGGAGAAAGTCTTATTTTTTTATTTCAGCTAGAACAAAAGCAGTTTTTAATTGTTTTGAAGCCATTTTAAGGTTAATATTATTGGCCCCTTCAGCAATATTAGTGTTGGATTGACTCAGAACAAACCACTGTTATACAATGACTTGCATAATTACCCTAACTTCATTATAGTTTTGTTTGTCACCTCTAGCTAGCTCTAGTTGAGTTCTATGTACTAAAATGATTCTAAAATAAAATCAAGCTCAATTATTGCATGTGGTTTCTCAGTTTCTGATTTAAAAAAGATCTTAATAATATCTTCAAACTGAAGGAAATCTCTTTGAGAACTGTGCCGGACCCTGAGAGTCCAAGAATCTGTGAATCTCTGATCTATGACCCTCTGGCTGGAGTGACGTCTCGACTGCAGAATTACAGTCTTCAGCGTCTGAGAAGTGTCAGTTTTATATAATTATCCACATTCTCACAGCATTTCTGGATGGAACGCATTCAGACGTATCATTTCAGGTGTACGATGAGCCAGAACGCTTGTTTTCCAAAACATCACTTAAACTCCTGTAAATCCACCGTGTTGATGTGTGGGGAAAGCGCTGGATTCAAACACCGCTGGTCTGGAATGACAGATCAGAGTTCAGCAGGAAATATCCACCATCTCTACATTGAGCTGAATATTACTGATACAGCATCATACCATTCCTCAACATTCATTATTTACTGGAGATCTGCGAATGTTTTACTCTTGGCAGACTTAATGTGGTGTAAATATGTTTATATATATCTACTGTGTGAAGTTAAAATGATTAGTTCCTTTGTCCAATATTTCCTGAATGATGTTGAACAGATTCAGGAGTTGTTCACAGTATTTTGTTCTTCTGGAGAAAGTCTGATTAGTTTTATTTGGGCTAGAGTAAAAGCAGTTTTTAATAGTTTTAAAGCCATTTTAAGCTCAATATTATTCACCCCTTCAGCAATATTAGTGTTGGATTGTCTCCAGAACAAACCACTGTTATACAATGACTTGCCTAATTACCCTAACTTTACCCTAATTACCCTAGTGAAGCCTTTACATGCCACTGTAAGCTGAACACTAGTGTCTTGAAGAATATCTAGTCTAATATTATGTGCTGTCATCATGGAGAAGAGGAAACACATCAGTTATTAGAGATGAGTTATTAACACTCTTATGATCAGAAATGTGTTGAACATCACAGAGTTAATGATGTTGATCTTAAAATAGTTTAGAAAAACTAATACTAAAATAATAAAGACTTTCTTAAGAAGAAGAAATATAGCGAGGTTACTGTACAAATGTCCTTGCTCTAGGGAGATATTTTTTTTTAAAAATTACATTTGACAAGCGGATGAGTAATTTTGCCGTCAGTTGTTTACCAGCAGCATGACGATCAGGTCAATCCAGCAAACAAACATTCAGTGTTTCAGTAAATTAACTTACATGTCATTATAGAGACACACCTGCAGAACACTGACACAGGCATCTACATGTGTGCATGAATATTTGTATGTATGCATCTGCATGTGTGTGTATACGTCTGCATATGTGTGTTTGTGTGTGCATCTGCATGTGTGTGTATACGTCTGCATTTGTGTGTGTGCATCTGCATGTGTGGGTATGTCTGCATATGTGTGTGTGTGTGTGTGTCTGTGTGTGTGTGCATCTGCATGTGTGTGTGTATCTACATGTGTCATATCTGCATGTGTGTGTGTGTAACTGTATGTTTGCATTTGTGTGCATCAGCATGTGTGTATACATCTGCATATGTGTGTGTATGTGTGTCTATCTGCACGTATGTGTGTGTACTGCTGCATGTGTGCATCTGCATGTCTGTTCACATCTGCAAAGGTGTGTGTATATCTGCATATCTGCATGTGAGCATCTGCATGTGTGCATGTCTGCATTTGCATGCTTCTGCATGTGTGTGTGCATGTGTGTATCTACATATGTGTGTACATGTGTGCACGCCTACATATATGTGTGTGTGTGTGTCTGCATCTGCACTGTAAACCCTCCACATGAAAGTGTGTGTGTGTGTGCGCGCATGTGTGTGCGCGTGTAAGTGTGCGTGTGTGACGCTCCACACTGAGGTTTGTGGTCTTTTTACAGTCCTGAAACCGAACAACAGCAGTTTTTGACCCAGATCTGGGTTATCTGAGGACTTTATTTCTCCCACTGAAGTGCGGAGTGTGTTTAAAACAGTCGCGCCACCGCAGTGTAAGTGTGAAGAGTATAAAAGTGTTTAGTTTGCCAGCGCTAGTGTTAAACATTTGAGCAGCGCGCAGTAAAATCCAGCAGAATGACGCCGTTTTACACTGAGTCTGCAAACATCACCGCTGCTTTCTGTCAGTGAGCTGATGAAGAGCATTCACAGACCTCTCAGAAACAATCAAGAGTGGAGAAACAGAAGCACGAGGGTTAAGAAAAACTGTTATGCACCTATTATACAGAACTCCCTTCTATAAAGGGTTTAAATCAAGTAGTGTGTGTGTGTGTGAGCAGTGTGTGAGCATCTCCAGCAGCCTCTAATGCTCATCATGAGTGAACTGTGTTTATTATAATCAGACTTGATGCAGAAACACTGTGATTGACTTTCTCCCTTTGTACGTGTCATCAGAGGGGGAAAGCCCCGCCCATTAGTGCCCATCTCTCCATCTCATTAGCATAAACAGCAGCCCTGAGTGAGAAGCAGCCGTCTGTCCATTAGCCATTAGAGCTGCTGAAGATAATGTCAGCATAGACTAAGAGGATTATAGATGTGCAGTTCTAGATGAAGCAGCGACAGAAGCATGAACACACACTCACACTGAAGCACACATGCACACCTGACCAGCACTCACAATGCTACACCTATATTACATCTGCCACTATGCAGACTTAAAGGCATTGGTAGCTCCGCCCTCTTCTGAAAAGAGCACAATCTCATTTGCATCTAAAGCGACAGTCACCAAAACACCACAATGATGATCAAAGCCTGAAAGGGTCAGTTTCAGAGAGCTGGAGAACATTACCTGTGTGCTTTTTACAGCTCAAACTCACACACACATACGCTGTAGACACAGCAGCAGAGATGCATTTTACAACTCATGTAAAGGGGCAGAATAGGAATAGGTCCCCTTTAAAGAGATGGTTTGGTTGTTTGCAGAGGAAATAAAACAAGGTTTCATTCCTCACAGTCTCTATCATTATTACATCCGAGGAAGATCTGAGTGAAGCTTTATCAGTTAGAGAACTTCATGGAGGTTAAACTCTGGTCACTTTATAAAGTTTTTTTTTTTTTTTTTAAATACACAAAACTAAACTTAAATGAATATAACATAACTAACATAAAATTTAAGTAAATTAATTTGTTTTTTTTATTAAATTTATTACATTTAATTTAAATGATAAATTATTATTATTAATAATAATAATAATAATAATAATAATAATAATAATAATAATACATTTAATTTAATAAAAACAAATTAAAATTAAGCATGTGATTACAGTATTATAATAAATTGACTTTATTTTGATGGTCCCTTTTGGACGCATTTTGTTGAATTGAAGTTGCATTGCATCTGCATGCCAACTAACTCTCATTAGATTATCAGTAGACTGTTATGGAAGGTAAATCCTGCCAATTTTAAATAAATCAAATAAACATTGGAAATTGTAAGTTGACATGTACATGTAAAGTTTCTTATAGTCAGTGAAATGTCTGATGAAGGAGCAGAATCAGCAGATATCAAGCAGACAGTGTACTAATACTCAAATGAGAATGGAGCATGGAGCTGCAAACTTTTAGTCAACAAAATATGCAAATAGGGACCATCAGAATAAAGTGTTACCCATAAATCTTGCCTAAAACAGTATGCATCAAGTAATTTAATTTGTTCCCATATTCACCAAACAGATGTTGCAGAAAACATATTATGACGTTACAATTTGGATTTAAAACATGAAATGAACAAACTATTGTCCTAATGAAGTTGGATTATGAATTATACATCTGCATGTAAATAAACAACACTAGATGCAAACAGGAGAGCGTTTTCCAACAGTAATCAGTGATAAACCATACATACAAAACACTATTCTTTTAAATGATTTCTTTATGGTTTCTTGGCATTTTTATGTTTCTGGACTCTGTTTTACTGGTGAAAATAAACTGCAGTAATAGAAAAACGGCTCGTTTAATTAAACTGAAGTCACTAAAGCTGAACAAATTAACAACGATTTATTAAAGGCTTAACAAATAGATTTCAGAGCCTTGTGAAAAGTTACAAAGAAACATTTGACTTTCATTCCTAATTTAATTATAATTATGGCATGTTGATAATCATAAAACATGTCTGGTCTATTTAATTTATTAACTTCACAATAAAATAATAATAAAGATTAGTAAAACCAGAAAGCTTTAATTTAATTGAGCATTTTTGATGACATTTATAATTATCATCAGTGCCAAAAACTGTATTTGCTTCATATTTTTGTGCAAACTAGAGTGCATTCAATATTTTATGCATTTATTTGCAGTATAATTATTTTATAAATTATAAATGTCCAAAATTAATGTGCATATAAAATAAATACATATCAAATAACAAATAACAAATAATATAAATACATAATACTGTCAGTGTTGATCAAATAATCCATTTTAGACTCTTGTGATATTTTAATTGGCCTTAATTCCAATTTAATGTTTTGTTAAATGTTAGGAACATAAATTTAAATGTGGAACATAAAGAATAATAATAATAATAATAATAATAATAGTATGATTTAATTTATTTTGATTTAATGTAATATTTTTGATGACGTGTTATTATCAGTGTGGATTATAAATGTCTATTAATAATTTGCATATCAAATAAATCACATCAAATAACAAATAGTACTGTCAGCATTGATCAAATAACAAATGATGCATTTTTGATCCTGTGATATTTTAATTGATCTTAATTCTATTTAAATGTTTTAATAAATGTTAATAATCATAAATCTAATTGTAATAAATAAACTTCTCAATCCTTTACAAAAGTAAGTCAAGATTAGTAATAAGCTGATTTGATGATCAAGAAACATTTATGATGATTATTATTATCAGATTAATCAATACATTATTTTGTTTATGATTATTATTATCATCATCATCATCAGTGCTAAACCGAACAGTCATTTTTTATGATCAATCAGTTATTATTTAATATTTTAATGCTTTTATTTGTGGTATAAATCTTTTGTGCATTAAAAATGTCAATAATAAATTAATAAATAATTTCAATTAATAAATTGATAAAGGAAAAGCTGCACTTTTTGAACAGCTCAGAAAGGTTTACCCCCTCATCAGAATTGCACAGCTTTGCAGACATTTTATGTAGGTTTAGCGTCTGAACGCTGCCATATGAGGGACATTTCTCAAGCTTTTCTCCTCTTTTTGCAGTGGTCAAGAGGCGGAAAGCCAAATATACACTTCTTATTTCCTACAGAATGATGATGATGACTTCAAGACGCTTTGCCTAATTTGCAGGACAGACTCGTTTGTCTTGATTAAATAAGTTTGCATAAGTTTACAGACTAAACACTGGACTGAAGGTGATTCTGGAGGATAAAGCGGCCTGAGTTTTCCATGTCAGCAGTGATTTCTGGCTGTAATTGTGGTAAATCTGCGGTAAACACAAGGGTAAATAATGCATGTGTGTTTGGTTCCTGTAAGCCATTAGCTGGTGTAATGTTCCTGAAAATTAATCAAGCTGTATTTATTATCCCAGAGACGATAAGAGAAGCAGCAGACGATGCTGAACATGCATATGCAAATATAACACTTACACAAATAAATAACAGAAGTACAGGCAGACCAAGCTCAAACACTCCGCAACTGAACACAAATCACCCACTATGGTCCTGAGCACAATATTCATGTCAAATATGTGTCGCATCTTTGTGGTTCAATAAATTATAGTATTGAAATCAAAAGTATATTAAATTTCTACCTAAACATATATTTAATTCATAAAAAAAACATTTAAAATTTCAATTAAAAGATTCTATTATTTCTTAATTTACTGGAGACTCACTCTGAACAAATCATTTGAATCAGTGAATCATTTACTGAAGAATCAATCTATACAGATCATTTGAATCCGTGAATCATTATTTGAGACTCGTTCTGAAGAGATAATTTGATTCAGTGAATCATTACTTGAGACTCCTTATAGATAATCTGAATCAGTGAATCATTACTGGAAACTTACTCTCAATGGATTGTGTAAGTCAGTGAGTGAATAACTGAAGACTCACTCTAAAAAGATCATTTGAATCAGTGAATTATTTGCAGGAGACTCCCTATGAACAAACCCTTTGATCCAGTAACCCATTTAATTTAAACTCATTTGATTCACTGAACAGATCATTTGAATCAATGAGTTGTTGACTCATTTACATACATCAGTCCAATTCACAAATGAAATGTTCAGTGAACCAGTATATTATAGCAATATTTAGTTTTATAATGCAGTAATATTATGTAAAAGTTTCCTGTCTATGTTAAATGTTAAAATTAAAAACTAATGTTAATGTTAATGTTAAAAACACTCAGATAAAGTATTGATGCTTAAAATACAGTATGTGTTAAGTTCAGTAGTGAAGTAAAAAAACACTTAGTCACTGTCCACTTCTGTTATTATTGGGATATTATGATATTTTACACACATAAGATGATGCTTTCATGATGAAAACACTGACCTGTGCTCCAGCAGGTCCAGGAGGTCCTTCATTCCCTGGGATGCCCGGGACCCCCTGGAGAAACACACACACTTCCATTCAGTTTACTACAGTACATGTTCACTCACATGAATATTAAGTAGATCAGTAGTATTGAGTCTGCATCTCAATTACAGTGAAGATGTTAATTAGACAATTCATCATTTCTTTGCATCTGCTTCTGTGTTTTTTCCATTATTTAACCAAGAAGCCTCATTGAGATTTAAGATCTCTTTTCCAAGATCAAACTGAATAAATGTAGGACACACTGAATACTCTCTGCATTACTCCTCTCTATATTACAGCAATGTGTCGTAATAGTGTGTAATATTTCAGAACATTACCATTAGACCAGGCTTTCCAGGAGGTCCTTGTTCTCCTTTTCCCCCCTGCGCTCCCTGTTTGAAAACACATGCAAAGTTTTGAATTATTATAAGTGCTTATAAAAGCCTTCGACTGATCATCTCTTTATAGAAACACTGTATTTTATATAAACATATAGTCGTGTATGAAATATATATGATCATAACAAAGAAATAATTACTTGGATCTAATTAAAAACGGGGCGACACGGTGACTCACTGGTCAGCACAGTTGGTGTTTCTGTGTGGAGTTTGCATGTTCTCCCCGTGTTGGTGTGGGTTTCCTCCTGGTTCTCCGGTTTCCCCCACAGTCCAAACACATGCTCTATAGGGGAACTGGCTGTAGCATATGAGTGTGTGTGAATGAGTGTTTATGGGTGTTTCCCAGTACTGGGTTGTGGCTGGAAAGTCATACGCTGTGTAAAACATATGCAGGAATAGTTGGCGGTTCATTCCGCTGTGGTGACACCAGATAAATAAAGGGATTAAGCCAATAAAATGAATGAATAATTAGAAGTGGAAGATTTTGTTTTATTGTTCCACATGTTGATTTGTACTGTATTTCCAATGATACTGTCTTTGTATTAAAACCAAGTATTGTATTACTTGTATTACTGAACAAGCAATATATATATATATTTATTATTTTAGAACCCGTTTAACACACTTTAATCTGTTTTTATATTATATTTCTTATACTTGTCTCTTTTATTCCTGCTTTATTTATGTAAAGCACTGTAAATTGCCCCTGTGCATGAAATGTGCTATACAAATAATGGCTAATGATTAAATTGTTATGCAGATTTCTTTTATTACTCCAAAATGTTGGTTTCTATGTAATATCGCAGTATGGAAATATAAAATTTAATGATTTAAAAATATATTATCATTATTATTATTACAATTATTATTTATATAACTATTATGTCTAATTTCATATTAATCCAAATGTTGATTTCCATTGCATTACCAATTTTAATAATCACTGTGTATATATATTTTTTTACAATTAATTTAATTAGTTCTTAGAATATATTATTATCATTAGTAGTAGTAGTATTAATATTATGGATATGCTTAATTATTCCACATATTGATTTGCATCGCATGATTAATTACAATATCACTGTATTAAAAATAACATTTAATTTAATAATTTGTTGCATGCATTATTATCATTAATATTATTATTATTATTTCAGAACCTGAATTCCAGTGGGATATTTTAAATAATATATTATTCATTCCTTTTGATACCTTTTCTCCTGGTAGTCCAGCTATACCAATGCTCGGCTTTGATGCTCCCTGAAACAAACAAAAAAAGCACATTATTTATTGCATAAAAGTACCATTTGTAACTAGTTTGCATATTTAATTAAAGTATATTTGTATAGTGATGTTCATAATAATTATTATAAAAGAAATGTGTGTCTAGCCAATGTCAGACGGCAGCAGTCAGCCTGTTTCTTTACACAAGACAAACAGCATCTCTGTAAACCACTGATCTATTAGTGTATTTACTGTTACTTTAGCTCAGTTCAGGCTTCAGAAAGAGGCTTCAATTATTACGCACCATCGGCCCCGGCGGCCCTGGTCTCCCAGGCAGCCCTTGATCTCCCTGATCGCCCTGGATAATATAAAACACACCAATAAGAATGAAATAAAGGAAACAGCCAGACAACTACAGCTAAACACTGGCCGTTAGATCACTAGACTGAGAACACTATCATGTCACACTAGCTCTGTGTCCATACACACAACACTGCATAAGAATTGGCAGAATATAATACATTATTATACTGAGAACAACACCAATCCGTCAGTCCATCATCACAGTGCTTCAGCATTATTCGTCTTCTGTTATTATTCCCTCCAGAACTGTCTTGATCATCAGTCTGTGCTCCCGTCTCACACCTCCAGAAGCCACCGTGTTCACTGCGTTTGGTTTTGGTGTTCTGAGGCGCAACTCATGTATTAGAGGAGAACACACAGCACAGTGGAGAATCCCAGCAGTGCAGCACACTCCACCTCTCTCAGTGAGATCTGTGCAGGAGCAGCAGGAGCTGAGGAGGTGATGCTCTACTGTGCATTATTGACTGGAAACGCTGCTTTAATCACTAATGTTTTATACAATACTACAGTTTTGCACATCAGTCTATTTCACATGGATGGAAACACACCTACAGTGCATGAGGCTGTGCTCCTCTTGCTGTTTTGAGGGAATTTGAGAATGAGAACCCACGTTTTCCACGAATGCTCGCTTCAGGAAATTAATATTATTAGACTCACTTTGAAACCCTGCAGTCCTGGATCACCTCTCGGCCCTGATAGACCCACGTCACCCTAAAAAAACAGACAAACATTTGATTGTCCTTTATGATCAGATCAGTATGATGTTTTCCTATTAGACTCAAACTGCCCAAGCATTGCGTTGTCCTGGATTAGCGCTGCATTGTGATCAAAACAGTTCAGCTAAATGAATGATTAACATGATTTCACCAGTACATTTTTAGCTGTTTTACAAGCTCATTTCTCAAGATTTAATTTCTTAAACAGTATTGTGTCTCTAAAATGTCAAGTCACTCTGGTAAACTGTAGAGTTTCATCATCAAAAGTGGACAGAGCAGAGATCAACATATAATGCAATGTTTTTACAGTGCAGAACCGGCTTAACTGATATAATGCACATGCATTTCACTTGGGATTAATCGTACAGCCATAATATGAATACATAAGAGCGTCTCACCTTCGGCCCTGGTGGACCTACATAACCTGGCTCTCCTCTCAACCCCGGGGGTCCCTTTATCGAGAACACACACACATTTCAGAGACCTCGTTCACACAGATGAGCTGCTTTACACTGTGTGTTTAATATATGGGTTTACTCACAGGCTTACCATCTGGGCCCGGGGGTCCTTCCCTTCCTTTCTCTCCTCGAAAACCCTGCGGAGGTCAGAATTTGGGTGTACATAAATATACATATTTAACTGACTTTAAAGGAGTAGTTCACCCAAAAGTGAAAATGATGCATGATAAACTCAGCTTTAAGGCATTCTATGTGCAAATGTTGTTCATCTTTCAGTCCAATGTTATTAGAGTTATATAAAAATCAATTAAGATGATTATTTCATGGTATATTTACTATTTTGGGGTGAACAATTCCTTTAAAAGCGATTATCAGAGGAGATGTTGACACACCCGTGCTCCTGGAGGTCCCGGGGGTCCTGGAGGTCCCGGCTGGGTTTCATCACAATCACATTCTTCTTCAAAGGTGGGCTCGCGGTCTAGAGGACACTGAAGCACAAACACACACAGTTGGCTTGGCTATACTTAGGGATTGTGGAGAAAATTAGCTTTAACCCTTTATTCACCACAGCTACATCTCATGGATCATCTTCAGTTACGATCAACATCATCTCCATCACTAGTGACTGAAGGGAAGCAGGGAGCATGTTCAAGTTTTTGTCAATGTTTTATTGTTGACGTCAATACAAAAGGTCTAAAGATTTGAATGCAGGATGATTCATTTACAGTAAATGACTCTGAGTCGACTCTTTTCTAAGAATCAATAGTTTTGAACATGTTCAGCAGGGGCAGATTTAATCAATAATCAAGGCTATTTAGGACCACAGGAAATCTGAGGACCCCAATAAATACCTAGAAGTATAAATTATACTGTGTGTAACATTGTTTTCTATCATGTTTTGTGTCGTGAGGGTCTAACAAACTACATTTTAACATAATTATTACATCTATGTAAATGTGTCCCCCATCCCCAATCATGGAGCCGTCCAGCAGTCAAATCAGGTAAAGATTGAGTTTTACAAAGGAAATCGTTTGAATTATTTTAAGTCGTCAATTAATTTCATGGAAAGAAAACATTTAGAGATTACAATGAGAAGAAAAACACCAATATAAATGAACAGAAAATAAATAAAAGGACAAAGGGTGTATTTTAACACTGTTGTGCCCCTTGGCTGGAATAGCTTAAGGCCACCAAATCAACAAATCCACCCTAACTTTCAGATTTAAACCTCAGCTGGATGCTTTTCACTTAGAGCTGCATTACACACTAGTATGAACTTAGTATCTGATAAGAATAAATAAATGGGATTTATTAACACATGTGCTTTAAACTGATGGAGATGTTCTCTTTATTTGTAGCTGTTTCTCTATTTGCATGTGTTTTCTTCAGTTGCAGTGCATTGAGCCCTCTGGGCCACCATGCACTTAATATATGAGTGTAAGAAAAAAAGGTCAAACTTACCCGTTCATCATCCTGCAAAACCACAAGGAGAATAAGAGAGAAAGAGAGAAAGTCAGTGATGTTGTACAATCAGAGACGCCTTTAAGATTACATTAGTCTTCACCAGCCCTGAATATCTCTCCTGAGACATTTCTTTAATAAAGAGCCTTGAACAAATCAACTCAGACATCAATCTAAACTTTAATTCAAGATAAAAGCATTTCAAACCCACACAAAGTCAGTTCTCTCATCATGTAAAAGACTGAACGCAAATGTCTTAAATCTGCACTTTAAACGTCACATCTCATTATATTAATTTGAGCTCTGTTTTTTATTGCCAATTCAAATGCATTGCTCAAATCAACAAGTAATGAGAATTTAGTTGACTACAGTAAACAAATGAACTTTTTCAAATCTTTATAATTTTATTTTATTACTTTTTCTAAAGAGACTGCAATGAGAGAAGTTAAAAAAATTGTTTAATACTGTTTTTAAGATCAATATTATTAGCCCCCTTAACAACTTTATTTATTTATTTATTTATCTATAAAATTATTATTTTATTTGTTTGTTTGTTTATTTATTTATCAATTTATTTGTTTATCTGATTGTTTATTTATTTATTTGTTTGTTTGTTTATTTTTTTCCATAGATTTATTTGTTTATTTATTTTTTTATCCATATATTTATTTGTTTATTTATCTGTTGATTTATTAGTTTGTTTGTTTTATATATTGATTAATTTATTTGTTTGTTTGTTTATTTATCAAGTAATTTGTTTTTAATTATTATTTATTTATCCATTTATTTTTAAAATTTATTTGTTTATTTATCCGTTTATTTATTTGTTTGTTTATTTATTTATCCATTGATTTATTTGTTTATTTCTTTAATTATTTTTTTGTGTGTTTTTGCTATTATTTATGAATTATTTATTCTATAACTATTATTTATTTACTAGTATCTTGCAAAATAACCACATTAGTAAAATATTGTGCACAAAAGACAAAAGATATCAGCTACAAGTCTCTAACTTTGACAAATTGATTATTTATTTTTATTTAAATTAAATGTCCTTACGTTTTTAAATAAACTGGAATAAGAGTTTAATGCAGAGTTTAATAAAGAGTTTAAAACTGTTTAATTCAGTTTTTAATGTCAATATTATTATACCCCCTATAAATATTTTATTTTTTTTAATCATTATTTATTTTATGAGTATTATTTATTTACTAGTACTCTGCTAAATAACTAATAAAATAATATGCATGTCATCATGGCAAAGACAAAATAAATTAGTTATTAAAAATGTGTTGAAAACATCTGCTCTCCATTAAACAACACTTAAAGAATAAACATTTCACATGAGGGCAAATAACATTTACTTTAACTATTACATTTAATACAAATATTTTATAGAGATGTGGGGTTATAACAGGTCTCACATCATTATATTATCTCTGTCTTGAGCTGCAGATCTTCTGCATTTCAGATATCTGCCTGATTTTAGAGCTCTTAATAAAAGCGCTGCTGGTCATAAATACTGCCCCCATTAAACAGCCCACAGTCTCTTTAATATAGATGAAGACGCGGCGGCGATACAGCAGTTGCTTTTCTCTTACCACAGAGTAGATTTCACACGCCGTCTCTCGCTCGCTTTGTTGTGGGTCGCAGTAAAGCCTCAGTTTCTGAATCTCCGTCTGCGGCGGTCAGCAAAATATGACCAAGGAAAAGATTCAGACTCAAAACCACACAGACATCACAGCAAACACATGCAGGATGGATTACATTTAAACACAAATAAAGCTGAACATGACTACATTTATATTGTTTGATTAAATTCAGTCTATAAAAATAGTTTACAAACATGTACTCCTACACTACCTGACTACAGTCTTGTGCTGGATCTCAGTTGTAACAACATCAAATACTAACAGGTCTTCTATGTTGATGATGTGTAAAAGTGTCAGACCACAAGACTACTGTCAGGCACTGTACACACACTCATACACAGACTGAAAGCATCAATGATCTGTTATCTGCAATTATGCAGCAGGAAGCTCAGTGTGACTCACAGGAACTGAAGCATCAGATCCAGAGCGTTTGGAGATCTGTGTTTTCCCATTGATGAATATGGGCACGACTGGATCCAGAGGCTCATCCTGGATCTCCTGATCATCCAGGTAACAGATCACCTGTCTGGGCTTCACCAAAACCTTCAGCTGGTGCCAGCTGCCGTCAAACACAGCCTAGAGTACAGTGAACACAGTGATACTTCACATCTCACAACACATCTCACAATACAGTTAATCAAAAACACATCCAGAAAAATCACTCCAAGGGCCTTTATTTAATAAGTAAAGGAGAATGTACATCCAGACGGTAGTATTACAGTCTATCAGCAGCTGCTATTATTTCTATTTACAGATATTTTGAATCAGTGAATCCTTCAGTGACTCTGAATGGATCATTTGAATGAGTGAATCATTTAATGGAGACTCACTCTGAATGGATCGTTTGAATCAGTGAATCGTTTACTGGAGACTCACTCTGAATGGATCATTTGAATCAGTGATTCATTTACTGGAGACTCTTATATTGTCTAAAAATGTCCAGGTTTAGTAATTGCCATAAATCATGTATTTTGCTTGTGGACTCAACAACCATAACACTAAATCATTTTTTTAACTTCAGTAAATCTTTTTTTTTTTAACCTTAGATCAAGGTATAATCTTGCTTTGGACCAACCTAAAAATACAATCATTTGTTTCAGCTAAAGTTCTAAATTAGAGTTTTGAGTTGGTGGAAAATGATTAATATTCAATACATTTGTCATTTTCAACCAGGTCAAAACTCTAATTTGATGGTAATTTCTAAATTTAGCTGTAACATTATAATATTCTTCTTCAGGTTTGTCTAAAGCAAGATTATACTCTGATCTAAGGTTAAAAAAGATTGTGGCATGTTTGTGTGCATTAAAGAGAACACATGCAAAATACATGCACTAAATCTGGACTTTTCTAATGGATTTTTTCACTAAATCTAAACACTTAAAACAATTAAATACACTGACCCAAAGGTGTGTTGTTTTTATAGATAATTTAAGACCTAACCTTAATCTAAAATCAGAAACCATCATTATTTTCCCCTACCCTAAAATAAAAACATACGCTGAATGAAAGAAACTGTAGTTCACGTTAGATAAGCATCTAAAGTATTGATAAACACTTGTTAGAAGTGAAGAAAACATATTTGTCATATTTGTTCAGTGTCATCTACTGAACTGTGTAAATGTGTGCACTAGAGTCCTGTTCTGTGTTTTTCATTTCAAACCAACGTCACAAGTCACACAATTTTCCAAAATAAGTGTCTGCATATGAATGAGAGGCTGTGATGGAGGAGAAACACTCCTGGCGAGACTCCATTATTCAAGAAACATCACAGACACACTCTTAGCTGAAGAAGACGTGGAACAGGTACAAGACAGGATAATTGCTGGAACATGAAAACACTTCTGAGAATTGACTTTATTTAAGTGGATTTAGAGGAAAAAAAAGCACCAAAATTGGATTGAGAAGAGGAAAGTGCTGAAACACCTACACACATACACAAACAAGTCACGCTTTTAACAGGAAGTGTCTCATAACACAGACTATTCCTGTGTGTGGGGCGGAGGTGTGTGTGTAAAAACCAATGATCAATGACTTTCAATGCTGGAACAGAAATCAGGCACTGAGTAAAAGGACAGACACACTAATAAAGTATTACTATAGTAAATATAAAAGAGCTTCTTATCAGTATTAATAGAGTCAAGATATTAGATAATTAATTTACAGTATTTAATAAAAGTAAATATTGATGAATGTTTATTTTTCAAGAAAGTTGAATAAAACTTGTATTATTCCATAATAAACACACTTATAATTCAGGATAATTCAGGTGAAAACATGTAAAAGCTCATTCAGATCCGTTTGTAAAATAGGATCATTTAATTTAGTGAATATTGTATTGGACACTCACTCTGAATAAATATTTTAAATAAATGAATCATTTAGTAGAGACTCACTGTAAATTGGTGATTTGAATCAGTGAATTATTTACAGGAAACTCATTAAATAAATGATTTGAATCAGCGAATCATTTACTGGAGTCTCAATGTAAACAGTTTAACTGAATCAGTGAATCTTTTACTGGACACTCACTCTGAACAGATCCATTGAACTGGTGAATAATTTATTAGAAACTCTCACTGAACAGATCAATCAAATCAGTGAATCTTTTACAAAAGACTCACTCTAAATGCATCATTTAAATCAGTGAATCTTTTACTGGATACTTTGAATGGATCATATAAATCAATGAATCATTTACATGAGACTAGCTGTAAATTGATCATTTGTATTAGTGAATCATTTACTGGAGACCTACTGGAGAGTGACTTGTTTACTAGATATTTCATCTGAACAAATCAATTGAATCTGTGAATTGTTTGAATCATTTAATAGAGATTTGCCAAGAATAGATCATTTTAATCAGTGAATCATTTACTGGAGACTCACTTTGAACAGATCATTTGAATCAGTGAATCATTTACTGGAGAATCACTGTAAATGGATCATTTGTATTAGTGAATCATTTACTAGAGACTTACTGGAGAGTGAATTGTTTACTAGATATTTCATCTGAACAAATCATTTGAATCAGTGAATTATTTACTGGAGACGCACTGTAAATGAATCATTTGAATCAGTGAATAATTTGCTGGAGACTAACTCTGACAGATCATTTGAATTTGTGAACGATTTAGTGGAGACTCGCTGTAAGTGAATTATTTGAATCAGTGAATCATTTACTGGAGACTCACTGTACATGGATCATCTGATGGTGGATGATTTGAATGAGTGAACTATTTCCTAGAGATTCGCTCCAAACAGATCGTTTGAATCAAATGTAAAAAGTAAACAAAGGAAAGTTTTGCAATATGGTGAAGTAAAAGCAACAAATGTAAACAGTCAGATAAAGAACACATCCTCAGATCTGTCCTTCAGTTCTGTAGTGAAGTAAAGAGTTCACACTGCTGCCTCAGACGCAGCTCTACAGAATAACACTCAGGTAGATTCGCTCACCTCAATGCCTGGCGCATCAAAAACGACGGTCTGCTCCTGATTAAAGGTGTTAGTGGTGGTGAAGCTGATGTATTTCTGCAGTCCGCTGAGCGTGACCGCCGCCTGGATCTGCCCATCTTTAGACTTCACCCTCCACAGGTCAAAACTCTCCGTACTCGAAGAGCCTTTCAGACGAAGTGTCGACACAAACACATACGACGGAGGAAGACCTTCCGGAAAAATGTCCCTGAAAAACAATAAACACATCAGCCAGAACACACACATTGATCAGAACACACACCCTGAGGAAACTACTGTACTCATTCCTGTACAGTGCAGTCATATGTACATTTTACAGCAGTTATTTACAGTGTACATAATAAATAAACCCTGACCTTGTGTTTTCAGTGATGTCGGTGGTCTTGTCCAGCAGATACGCCCCCTCTGACACCAGTGAGCCCTGGATCTTCTTGGCTTTCTGATGGATCTTCATGCCCAGAATCAGTTCGAAACCTTTCTCGTCCCGGGACGCCACAGGGATGCGTGTCGGACACACCGATTCTGCAGGACACATTTAACACACTCATTAAAGACGCAGTAACACACACACTCTGCAGTACATATTTAACACACTCATTTCACACCACACACACACTCTGCATAACACGTTTCACAGGTTCATCATTTCAGATGCTTTCCCACACACAGATTCTGCAGGGTTGCATCATGCACTTCCCAACCAGCTTTTTAATCCTGCTCCACATTTTATTTCAATCAATAAGAGATCTGACAGCACTAAATATGACGATCGTGCACAATCCAGCAGCGAGTAAAAGCATACAAACTCAACTGTGTAAAATGATGTAATGAAATCTTTTCTTTCTTATTTAATCTAGTTTATTTTATTGTTTTTTATTCTTTAAATGTTCAAAATGTATAAATGTATAAATATGTTATAATATGTTAATATTAATAAATTAAATAATATTTATAGATTATACAATAAATATTATAAAAATATTTATATAATAATAATTAAAATATTGATATGATTAAATAATAAATGATATAATAAAATAGTTATATAATGATAAAAATAAAAATATGTATATGATGAAATAATAAATGATATAATAAATAGTTATATAGTAATAAATAAGATTTATGATTAAATCATGTATTATATTATAAATATTTAGTAGTAATAATAACAATAATAACAATAAAGTAATATTTATATGATTAAATAATAAATTATAATAGAAAATATGTATATAATATTATTAAATCAAAAATATTTATGATTAAACCATAAATGATATTGTAAAAATATAAATATAACAATTTTAAATAAAATAATTATTATATGATTAAATAATAAATTGTAATAGAAAATATAACAACAACAACAACAATAATAATAATAATAATAATAATAATGAATAGTAAGATTTATATAATAATAAACAAAATAATATTATATAAATATTATTAATATTACATTAAACCTTGGTTGAAAATGACTTGTTATGAAGTGTTATATTGTGTTTTGCAGTACGCGGATGCTAAATGTTTTACAAGCTCAGTTGTTCCTGCTGCATGTGCGCTGCGTTGTTTTTCATGCTGAGAAAGTGATAACAGTGTGTTTAAAGATGTGTATAGTGTTTCAGGTGATTGATGTGATGTCTGAATGATTGTTTGATGCCTGTTACACTGCACATTATTTAGAAAATAAAGAGGTTTTAGAAGTGTAGGTCTTGATTTTTCTCTTGAATGTTTAGTTCAGCTTACTTGGCAATTGTAAAGCTATCGATTTCCTTATATTTACCTAGTAATGTGAATACTAATAAAAGTTAACAACACAACTAATCATTTTGAACGGCACTGAAGTTTGCTTTATTAGGAACTTGTGTACATATACAAAATGCTCACATAGATTGATTCACTAGTTAGATATTTAAAGGCTATCGGTGTGCTTAATTTTTCTAATTATTACATTTTAAAGTGCAGAAACACACAGAATCACACTTCAGCACTTATTTTCCACCAGTGATCTCACCACCGACACATTATTTAGCTTGTTTTAATGAAAAACTCACTTGATTTTGACTCCTTATTTGTGAAAACAGGACTATACTTTGTGCTTGTCTAAAAAAGGCTTCCTGATTTAAGAGTTTTTAGATAATTGAACAAGAAACAAGGCTCAAACTCAAAGTAAGCAAAGCATGTTTTGCACTGTAGCCTAATCTGAGTAGGATGAAGTGTGTGTGTTCAGCGAGCTCCTCCCTGCGTGTGGTTTCTCCATCACTGGGCATGAATGGACTGTGGTATTTTACTGGTTATTCACAGCTCTTTTAAGACTCTGATAAAGCCGCAAGCCCAATAAAACCACCCAAAACTAGTCTTAATGTGGTCCACATTCACACGCAGGCAGATCTCACCCTCGCACAGCTTCTGCTCCATGGCATCTCGAATCCGCTCGATGTTGGTGTAATCTTCAGCGAAAAGCACGTAATCTCCCGCCGGCGTGTTGGCGATGGTCACCAGTTCAGAATTGGTGATCTCTGAGCCCACGCCCACCGCGAACACTGTAATCCCCTGTGTCCTGGCATCCAGACTCGCATCTGTAACGTCATCCTGCGACTTTCCATCCGTCACCACCACAGCGATGCGGTTCTTCACATCGTTTCTGCGTGAAGATGGGAAAACGTGGTCCACGGCGAACTTTATAGCGCGTCCGGTTTGTGTGTTTCCTCCTAAATAGCTGATCTTCTCGATGGCTTCAATCAGCTGTTGGGTTGTTTTGTGTTGACCCAAGGGGATCTCCAGTCTGGGGGTGTCGCTGTATTGAACGACGCCCACTTGAGAATAGTGCGAGCTGACATCGAAACCGCTGGTGACATTGATTAGCCAGCGTTTGGCAGTTTCGAAGTCCACGTCGCCGACGCTCCAGGAGCCGTCCATGATGTAGACCAGATCATTAACCGCAGTGCTGCAGCCTGTAGAGTCAACACAAGACATGATGAACCGCCAACTATTCCACCATATGTTTAAGGCAGCGGGTGTCCTTCTAACACTGGGAAACACCCATACACACACACACTCATACACTACAGCCAATTCCCCTATAGTGCATGTGTTTGGACTGTGGGGGAAACCGGAGCACCCGGAGGAAACCCACACCAACACGGGGAGAACATGCAAACTCCACACAGAAACACAGTGCTAACCACTGAGCCATTATCAGAATCTGATCATACCTGCTCGAACATCATCGTCCTTGGCAGCGTGTGAAAACACCAGGATAATCAGTGCTGGGACACATTTCCAAACCCACGACATTCCCAACTGAAGATCCAGCCGTTCACATTCAACACCAATCCTCAGAGCCCTGCTGAAGCAGAACATTAACATGAGTTAGTCTCATTAGTTAGTGCATTTTGCAGAAACGATAATGAAATAAGCCAAATTATTTAGAGCATATTTATACTCTTCACCTCTGAAACCAGGGGAGAATATAATATTATGTGGAAGATAAGTACTGTATATGTGAAAGCAGCATAAGCCAAATATACTAAAACATAATTAAGTGCAATATTAAGTGTATTTAAAAGCTATATACTTTATATATTTCAGTTTAAAAGAATCATAATAATAGTAGACTTAAATGAAAGGTCATTTTCATGAAGCCAGCTCATATTTACATCACACAGTGTTGTGATTTGACCCAAATGTTTTCATTCCTGTATAAAGTGTAAGCTCATCCATCAGCCGGACGCACCCTAAATCACATGCATACATTCATATAAACAAAACAACATGTGTCAGGCTATTTTGCCAGCGTCTGATTGGCCAGCAGGCTCTCTATAACTACACAGACTACGACAATTCCCTTTTATTCAAGCATATAAAAGTGTGCTTGGTAAGAGTGTGCCGCTTCGCTGGGTACCAAACCACATGCGGTCTTATTTTCTGGCTGTGCTTCAGTGATGTCTACAAACTCTCATTTAGCATTAAAAGCAGGCCAGCAGACCACAGGCTGAAGCCCGAGGAAAATAACAGCGTAAGCGAAAACGCTGCCGAACACAACATGGAAATAAACATGGCATGTGGCCGCGGAATACGAGAAAATGCCCACTATTACAAGCTAACATGTACTCGTGCTGGATTTAGAAATCACCAATCAGCGGCTATAAATGGCAGGAGTCCTTTTAACACTCCGCAGCGTACGTCAACACTGTACAAACACATTCATTATAACTGCATGCTGGGATATGTGACTATGGGCCGCGAAACCAGTCATAAATGTCAAAAATCATGAATACATTTACATTTACACATCATCCTAAAGCTGAATATATAAGATTTTCATCAACATATCCACACATTAAAAAATACAGCATTTCCTATAAATGACTAATGTTGGTGAATAAAACTATAGTTAAGCACTTGATTTGATCTGCTGTGGTGATGCTTCAGTTGCTATGGTAACACAACAACTATCGTAATTGATCTACTGTGGTGATTCTACAGTTGCTATGGTAACACAACAACTATCGTAACTGATCTGTTGTGGTGATTCTACAGTTGCTATGGTAACACAGCAACTATCGTAATTGATCTGTTTGGATGATTCTACAGTTGCTATGGTAACACAATGACTACAGTAATATAAACAAATGACCATTACTATAGGGTGTATTATACTACAATACAGCAGACTTTACTGTAGTAAAATCTAAAGCATACTACAGTATTTATTACAATTTTTCAATTCACTATAGTTGCTTTATTACTACAGTACACAGAGTAGCAGATACTGTAATATATAAAGTACAATACACCTTATAGTTTAAAATACTATACTGTTTTACTAAAAATGACTGTAGTAACGCTTTTTGTGACTTACATTTTTTAAGTAACTTGTCCAACACTGTTTACATAATATTTTCCAGCAATATTAGAAAATCTAGAATCTGAAGATTAAATAAAATCGGTGTAGTGTTGAGAAAACTGCCTTTAAAATGGTCTAAATTAAGTTAGAAATTTGAATTTACAGTATGAAATTGTTAAAATGTCATAATGGAAGTTGATATTTACTTAATATTCTGTTGATTTTTTTAAATAAAAGAAAAAATGTATAATTTTGGCACATACAATGTATTTCTGGATATTGATTAAAAGTGCCATGAAATTAAAATAAAGTGTTTTAGTTGTTAGTATCAGTTTGTCAGGGATGTAAATCAGGGATGCTCAACCTTTTTCTTATTAAGAGCCAAAAACTAAACATCATTGAGACCCGTGGACTGAAGGTAAATATACCAAACATCATTACACTAAAGATGCCACAGGTAATTTCCTAAATCATTTCATAATATTCATAAATAAAAAGAAAACATTACTTTAAATCGTAGTAACTAATGCAACATAACGTTTTAAATTAATGCAATAAAAACAAATAATTGCATTTAAATCACAGTGGAGTTCAGTGCTGAATAAGCAGAATCTGCCTTTGACTTGATTTGCTCACCAATGTCTCTGCAGTTTCAGGAGACATTTAAACTAAATCTGATTAATTTACACCATTTAATTAAGACATTTAATTTGAGTAGATTTTAACAATAAAACAAACAAACAAAGGGCTATATTAAATCCTTCTCCATCATTCTCTCTCTCTTCTCAGATGGGATGGTGGGCCAAATCAAAGGTTACCATGGGCCAACAATGGTCAGCAGTATCTCTGCTCTAGTGTCTCCAAAACAGAGACAAAATTGAGATTTAGCAGATATAAACCCGACAGAAACATCTAAACTCTGCTCTTCCTACTAAATGCAATGTAATTTCACGTCTCCTCATACTTCAGTTTCTCATCTAATCTTCCGACCAATCAAATGCTCTCTAGTGTCTGACATGCCCCGCCCCCTCTTCTCATTGCCTGTTATTTGATTTGCTTGAGCTCATCCACTCTCACTGGCAGAGCTGTGAGAAAACAAAAACACACTATTGGCTGTTTTATTAAAAGGGGAGGAGCTACTCTGTGCCCCACCCTCTCTCCATGTTTCAGTTCAGATTACGTCAAACATCCAATAAAAACTGCACATTTCAAAGCACTTCATGGCAGATTTAAATATAAATATCCCCATGCAGCATGAGACTCGCATATAAACACAGCCATTCCTTCAAAGCGCCTCACGCAGAGCGTCCGTCCTCTTTACAAGGGTAATTTTGAGGTAAAGCAAGCTCGACCAGAGACACAAACAGAACACAAGGACGCATCCGCCGTCCCATAAACCCAGAATAAACAGCAGACGATTGTCTACGCATGGGAATGTGTGGTTATCCATGAAGATCATCACTGAACACAGTAAAGAACATGACGGCCACACAGCTCTGTGTATCAGCATGTGTGAGGAATGCTCATGCTAACCCAAACACCTGCTTCAGTGGGCATTTTAGAGGACGGAAGATTAAACACGTGTGTGTGTGTGTGTGTGTGTGTGTGTGTACTTTTGTGTGTCTACTTGTGCATGCATGTATGTATACAAGTTTGTGTATGCATGTGTCTGTGTACTTGTGTTTCCGTACATGTGTGTGTCTATGTGTGTACTTGTGCATGCATGTGTGTGTGTGCATGTGTGTGTTTGTGTTTCAACTGGTGCATGCATGTGTGTGTGTGTGTGCGTGCATGAGTGTCTGTGTACATATCTGTGCACTTGTGCATCCATGTGTGTGTGTATGCGTGTGTGCTCACTTTTGCATGTATGCATTTGTGTGTGCGGGCATGTGTGCGTCTGTGTACTTGTTCGTCCGTGCATGTGTATATGTGTGTGCATGTGTGTCTGTGTCTCCTTGTGCATGCATGCGTGTATGCATGTTTGTGCATATGTATGTGTCTGTGTACTTGTGTGTCCGTGCATACAGTATGTGTTTGTGTGTGTGTACAGTACTTGTGCATGCATGTGTGTGTGTGTGTGTGTGTCTACTTGTGCATGCATGTGTATGTGCTTGTGTGTGTGCATGCGTGTCTTTGTACTTTTGTCTGCACTTGTACATGCATGTGTGTGTGTGTGTGTGTGTGTATGCGCTCTTGTGCATGTATGCGTGTGTGTACTTATGTGTGTGCATACGTGTGTCTGTGTACTTGTGCGTTAGTGAATGAATGCGTGTGTGTGTGTGTGTGTGTGTGTGTGTGTGTGTGTGTGTGTATGCGCTCTTGTGCATGTATGCGTGTCTGTACTTGTGTGTGTGTGTAAACGTGTGTCTGTGTACTTGTGCGTTAGTGAATGTATGCTTGTGTGTGTGTGTGTGTGTGTGTGTGTGTATGCGCGTGTGTGTGTGTGTGTGTGTGTGTGTGTGTGCAGTCTACAGGCTTTCAGCCACAACCTGTGAAGTCTGTTGTGTATTTGAATCAGAAGCTGTTCACACTCTACACTGGCGATTGCAGACACACTGAACTCCCACATGAGGAGGAACCTCAGAGCTCAAACAACATTTCAGTCAAACCCAACACACACACACACACTTTGAGTTGTGAAGAGCAGCTCAATCCTCCTCACACAGTAATAGATCATATCAATAATACCTGAGTGACGTCCGTCTGTCCGTCTGCTGGGGATTGTGTGTCTGTGACCCAGCTGAATCTCCACGCTCTGTTCTCCTCTACTGAGCGTGACCAGACATTTTCAGGACACAACAAACACACACACACACACACACACACACACACACACACACACACACCCACACACACAAACACACACACACACACACACACACCGTCTGACCACGAACTGACCTACCCTGGAGATTACTGCTAATAGAGGAGCTCTGAACAGCACACAGATGAATGAACAGATCAGAAGAGAAGCTTTGACATATTACCCTGTCTACACCTAGCAGAACGTGTCATGATCAATCGTCTGCTGTATTTAGCAGTGAATCTTGCTCGTGTTGATGCTGCGCTATTAATAAAATGAAAGTATTAACAATGCATTGGTTTTGCGCTAAAATCTGGTAATGTTGTGTTGTTTTTGCAGCGTGTCATGAGCACTAAACAGTATGTGTGTATATTTCCTGCAAATAAATAGCACACACAGACACACACACACACACACACACACACACACACACACACACACACACACACACACACACACTACAGGTTTTGATCAGCTATAAAAATCACTGCATAAAGTAATTTCTGACATGCAAATGAGCAACACACTGCAGCGCTGCATGAAGGAAAGTTCCAGCTGTGCAGAGGCATGCATGTAGACCTGTAATGTACATTCAGAACCAGGTTTCAGGGGTTTTTACTGGACATCAACAAGAGCAGCAGCTGAACTGAGCTGTGTTGAACAGCAGACGGATGCTCTATAGTGTTGTTTACTGCAGCTTTGACCAAACATCTGCTCTGACTCTGCGCTTCATTACTGATACATTTTTAATTGCATCATAAAAGTAGTAAGGTTTTATTACAATGTAATATCATAGTTTTTATTATAACATAATATAATAATTAATTTATTAAGCAACTATATTATACACAACTTTACATTTAAACTTTATAATGTAATCAAATATGTAATATAATAAAACAATACAATACAATAATGCATTTATTATATATTTTAATAATAATAATAATAATAACAATAATAATAATGCATGAAACAGAAGACGGCTATAATGACAGTCTATTTGTGCCATTTTCCTAAATATTTAAACAAATTATATATGTTAATAAGTTTAACTTTAAATATACATAAATAACAAGCATAACTTTTCATGAGTTAACATTAGAGAATATGAGATGACAAAAACACAATATAGTCAAAACATAACTATTACTTTAATATTACTTTAGACTCATGCAGTCACAAAAGCATCTGTTTAAATTAATATCAATAATATATATTTTTTAAAACATATTATTTTACACATTTTTTACATTCGTTTCTGAGGGTGTTTTACTTTCTTTTCTTAAATTGAGCATTTTTCATGTGTCAAATTATTGATCAGTTTTAACCCACACACAAATATAAATAATGTAATATGAATCAATATAAGCTCTTACCTGCTCCTTTAAAAAAGCCTCCAGGAAAATGAAAGTCTTGAGCTGGAGATGAAGATGAAGATGAAGCATTACATCACTGTCTCCACCGGAGGAGCCATAGTTCCGGTCACTCAGCGCTCCTTATACGTGAACAGCCGATGACATCACAGGGACACGCCCCTCAGAGCCGCCTCAGGTATAAAGTGTGAGCCAGCAGCAGCAGCGCTTCAGTCAGGCTGGGGGATTCCTCTGCAGTGTTGATGATGATGATGATGATGATGATGATGATGATGCTGTGTGCAGAAGACCAAATGCAGGATTTATTTATTTGTCTACATTGTAGTTGAATAGCAAAATATAGTCTACTGTTATTAATGTTTCTTTTATTAGTTGCATTATTATTATTTTTTTCTTAAAATACAGTTATAATTTGATTAAAATATTTGTATTATTACAGTTATATCCATTAAATTATTGAATTAATTATAATAATGTTTGCAAAAAATAGAAATGACAAAATTTCCACAAAATTTTATATTTTTTATGTTTCTATAGATTTTTTCCATTTATAAAAATGTTATTTAATACCCCAATATGGCTGTTTTTTTCCAGCATTCTTCAAGGTATCTCCATTTGTGTTCAACAGAAGAAGGAAACTCAAGCAGGTCTGAAACTAGTTTAAATCTATTACTCAAGTTCAGAGATTGCACCTGTCCCTTTAAGAGGAGTGTGTTGAAGAGTTGATTATGCGTGCGCACATTTCAGTCAGCTGACTCTCATTAAACTCTTCAATTAATGCTTTAAAGATCAGTGTGTTCATCTGAAGATGAGCAGCAGTGCAGATCTTCATCCTGGACCGCACACACACACACACACACACACACACACACACACACACACACAACTCAGAGCAGCACTGACCCCTGCAGTCCACTCCAGCATCTACAGCTGTGTTTATCACCATCACACACACACACACACACACACACACACACACACACACACATACAGAGCAAATGAATATTAATGCAGTGCAGATTCATTAACCATGGTTTAATGATCTCTTGATCATCAGGCAGAGCATCCCTCACTGTTCATCTCATTCATCATCTCTGTCAGAGATTCAGGGCTGAACACTTGAAGTCCTTCATCATCTCCAGCACGAAGAGTCGACTCTCTGATGCAGGATTTCACACGTCGATTCATCGGATAAAATTTTAACATGAAATATTAGTTAAGATGAGATAATATATGACATATATGTGACTTATTATAATCTACAAAACTAGTAATAACGCGAGAAACTTGCGCCTTTCAAACTTTGTGAATCATTTGACTGAATCAGTGATTTGGTAAACCGAGTCACGTGATTTTACTAAACGAAGCTTTGATTCATTTGAACTTCTTTGATGTGTCTGGAGCTGAATACTATATATAATATATACTATATAAGTATACTATATATCATTTATATATATAACAGCAAAACTCGTTTCATTGCTTATAATAAATGTCAATAAAGCTAAATAAAAATCAGAGTGGAAATACTGCACATTCAGTTGGAATAGAATAACTTCATAATATAGTATAATATAATATAATATAATATAATATAATATATTTCATTGTCTGTTTGCTGACATGTGCTGGAAACAAACATAATTGTCTGCAAGGTGCTGGAATATTTAGCAAACTAACTAACTAAATAAATAAATAAATGAATAATAAAGTGGTTGAAGAGTGTGATGAATAACTGTGTCCTCTAGATGGCGGCAGAACCCCTTCAAATAACCTCATGAAGACTGCAACACTTTCAACAGTGTTAATATAATGAATAATAAAGAATTACAAAGCACTTATATTGACTAATATCACCACACATAAAATGTTGTCCTGCATTCTTGACTGTAGTTGCACCAATGTTTTTAGTTATTAGCCAATTTTGTATTCATTTAAAGCTATCATCACTGTGGCAATGATGTGAAAAACACTGATACAATTATATATAAATTAAATTAAACAATACGTTTCATATATTCTGAACAACCCAATGTTTCCTCAGGGTCAAAACATTATATACTTTCAAAACAAACTCAAATCTCTACTTCACAATACCAGATCTGAATCCAATTTGTACAAAATGTGAAAAGCAATTATGATTATATATGGCTTTATATTATCATGTATATATAATAATCATGGCTATTATATGAACCCCCAACTTATCCAGCAAGTTTCATGCAGCGGATGCCCATCCAGCCGCAACCCATCTCTGGGAAACACCCATACACACTCATTCACCACGGACAATTTAGCCTATCAAATTCCCCTATAGCGCATGTGTTTGGACTGTGGGGGAAACCGGAGCACCCGGAGGAAACCCATGCAAACGCAAGGAGAACATGCAAACTCCACACAGAAACACCAACTGACCCAGCCGAGGCTCGAACCAGTGACCTTTCTGCTGTGAGGTCACAGTGCTGACCACTGAGCCCCCGTGTCTGTTTAGCATTCACCAGTAGTAGACTGATTGAGATGTGTTGACTGTTACTGTCTATTTCTACTCTGTTATTGTCAACTCTGTTACTGGGTAAAAAAGTGAACCACTAAACAACCCAATCATCTTCCAGCATGTTGCACAGTTTTACATGAATTATGGATTACCTTATAACTCTATATCTACTTATAACTCTCGAATATGCATGAAATGACCGCTCAATTCAGAAATGAGTCACAGGCCGTCATCGTTACTGCAGGATTGTGATAGCTGATGATGAGCTGCATTATAACTATCATGAGTGCACATCTTCATCATCATCATCTGGTGTTGTTCTGGAATGATCTGCTAGTAGGTGATGTGGAGTGCAGTGTATCCTGTAGTGTTAGTGCTGACTCAGGACTGCAGACCTGCTGACACAGCATCACAGCTGAAAAGCCATTAGTGCAAACAGAAATCTATTTACAATATAAATATAAAACAAGCGCTCCTACAACCTGTGGGTGTTACTAATATCTCTCCAACATGTGGACAGAGCACTAATGCATTCATAAATCAAGGAAAATAACATTATTTAACTCATGAACTAACACTGAGGGATTCATCTTGACCATGTCTACATGCCTAGATGCAGTGAGCTGCTGTCATGTGATTGGCTGATTAGACATTTGCATTGAGCAGTTGGACAGATGTACCTAATAAAGTGGCCGGTGAGCGTGTGTTAATATAAACTAATATATTATATGTCAATAGATTAATATAAAATATAAAAGTATATTTGATCGATGTCAATGAGTTTAACATATCCAGTAAATAAAGTGTGCTTTACACTGCTGACACAGAGCTGTGGAGAACATTACGCAGATCATCCATCCGTGAACACACAGTCATTACTCAGTGTATTCATCTGCAAGCTGAAGGCTGTTCAAAAGCAGAGCAGCAGATCTCTAACAGCGCAGTAGTGTGCCATACAGGAGAGGGCTATTAGCATATATCCAGAGTTCATTTCCACACACAAACAGCTGACTCTATACTTTCAGACAAACTGTTCTGAGACGACCACAGATCTCCGTTTACGCTGCGTCTCTCTATTATTCCTCCGGTCACAATGACAGCAGCAGCGCTCAGATGATGGACGAGCCCTGATCTGAGTAATGATGCTGTTCAACAATAAATAAATAAATATATAAACTTACAGAGTGCAGAAGCCTTTACACTGGAAACATCACTACAAACAAAACTTTCCATCTGTGTCTAAGAGTGCACGAGGATTTAAACACTAACTTACTATTGTTACTATTATTATCATTCAAAAACAATACAGTACTTGCTATTAATGAGATTAGTACTTTTTTTGTGCGCACGTGTGTGTGTGTGTTTGTGTGTGTCTCGAAAGTGACACACACTCGAAAGTGACACACACACACACACACACACACTGTGTACATGCCTATATATTAGAAAACTGTAGTATACATTAGTGTTTACTAGTGGTGTAATTTACCATATTGCTGAAAAATACAGTATTGGCTCATTTGTTTCTATTACTATAGTTGTTGTGTTACCATAGCAACTGTAGAACCACCACAACAGATCAGTTACTATAATTGTTGTGTTACCATAGCAACTGTAGAATCACCACAACAGATCAATTACTGTAGTTGTTGTGTTACCATAGCAACTGTAGAATCACCACAACAGATCAATTACTGTAGTTGTTGTGTTGCCATAGCAACTGTAGAATCACCACAATAGATCAGTTACTATAGTTGTTGTGTTGCCATAGCGACTGTAAAATCACTTCATGAATAATGAACTCAATTATTGGGAGTACTTTACTCTTGCATGGTTCAAAAAGAATACAGTATTTATTTACTGTAAATTTACTCTAGTATTTTTTCATGTTGGTGTATATCAAATTCTCATCGTAGAAACAATTTATTAAGTAAAATTCCAATAACATATAACGAAATGCATGCCTGACTGCTCATCAGCCAATCAGATTCAAGCATTTTAGAGGCATCTAATATAAGTATATAGTCACTCACACACACTGTGTATTCACACACCTCATCACTATCAGAGAGCAGAATGAGCGCTGCGCGAGTGCTTGAGGATTCAGCTCTTGTAAATCAATAAGTGTTTGCTGTCCAGTAAATGACCTTCTGCAGCTTCAGTACATGATCCTCATTTCAACAAGCACATCTCACTGATGCGGTCCATGATGGAAGATAATCTGTGTGTTTCTCAGATCTCAGAACACATCAGGCATCTTAAACACACGGTTCTCTCAAACAACTGCTATCTTATACACTCAAGAGGTTATTTAGTACTCAGCATGACTGCATCAGCTTTATATGCATATTTTCAGAATGTATGCGCATCTTGGTGCTTCCATAAAGCATTTGTTATGCAATAATGTAATGTGTTTCCTCCGCTGGTCAATACCCGTCTGCTAATGGACGGAAGCTAATATTCACAGAATGGCTGTTTGACTGGACTTCATTAGAGACTGGGCTCGTTTGCTGATCATGATGCAGCTCTGCTTCTGGGATAATATCATTCAAATGAGATTACAGAACACTGCACATTCCTTCCTGCAGATCTTGAGGATGAGCAGTACTGTACTTCTGTACTTCCAGACCAGGAGAATCTATATATACGCATAGGGCGGGGCTATCAGTCATTTAGGGCGGAGTTACAAGTCTTCTAGGGCGGGGGTAACTTTTCTTTAGGGTGGAGCTATCATTGCTCTAGGGTGGGGCTATAAGTGATTTAGGGCAGAGCTATGAGTCCTTTAGGGCGGAGCTATTAGTCATTTAGGGGGCGAGGTTATTAATTTTTTAGGGCAGGGCTATCCATCCTTAAGGGTAGAGCTATCATTGCTCCAGGGCGTGACTATAAGTCCTTTAAGGTGGAGCTGAGTCTTCGAGGGCGGGGCTATTAGTCATTTTGACGGGGTTATCAGTTTTTTAGGGTGGAGCTATTGGTCTTTTGAGTTATCAGTCCTTTAAAATAGACTATCAGTGCTTTAGGGTGAGGCTTTCCGTTTTTAACACATTTTTATACAATGTAAATTCAAAGTGCTTTACATTAAAAAGGTAAATGTGAAACATCAGAAATAAGCCCATATCATGAAACACGGAACATGACCGGCTGAGTGAGTGACCGGTGGCAGTATTTTGCTCTTTCATATTTCAGCATCTCAAGCACACACTCACATACACTATCACATACACACACACACACACACACACACACACACACACACACACACACACACACACACACACACTCAGCTCCAGTCTCAGCTCAGATAATTGGATTTCTCTGCTTCTCTTCTGAAACTCATGGCAACCTGAGAGACAGACTTCAGTTGATCACAGCCAATAATCTGCACTCATTACAGCCTCGCTCATTAGTGAAGCGGAGAAATTAAGAGAGAGAACAAACACCCTTTGTCTCTGAGTGTGTGTGTGTGTGTGTGTGTGTGTGTGTGTGTGTGTGTGTGTGTGTGTGTGTGTGTAATTTGGGGGGGATTCTGCTGCTATGACAGTGTGTGTGTGTGTGAGAAGAGCTCCACTGACTCTGGGTCGGTCAGTTCACTTCACATCACCTGCACACCCTCAAGCCTGCTAAAACTAAATTCTAACTAACCAACAAAAAAAGCTAACTGTGGCATGCTTTGAAAAATTAATAAATGTTGCAAACTTTGTTTACTGTGTTTAAATACAATGTTCTGTGAATACATGTAAATAAGTGTAATAAACAAATAACAGTTTAATCACACTCAAGTGTTTTTCAATACTACAGTATTGGGTCATTTGTTTTTGCAACTATAGGAATAGTTGTTGTGTTACCATAGCAACTGTAGAATCACCACAACAGATCAATTACTATATTGTTACCATAGCAACTGTAGAATCACCACAACAGATCAACTACTATATTGTTACCATAGCAACTGTAGAATCACCACAACAGATCAACTACTATATTGTTACCATAGCAACTGTAGAATCACCACAACAGATCAATTACTATATTGTTACCATAGCAACTGTAGAATATATATATATATATATATATATATATATATATATATATATAATATTTTTTGTATTATAATTGTTTCATTATTTTTTTTCTCGTCTTAAAAAGTCTTTTTAATGCAGGTAATCTACATTTATGGACAACACTGTTGAACAGTGACCTGTAAATCCATGTTTTTTAGTGTTATTCAAGGTAAACACGGAGTATAATGTAATAGGCAGTACAGTGCAGCGAGTGACTGTGTGTGTGTGCTATTTTTTTTCTCCAGAGGAATTGTGCGCGTGCGCGTGTTTGCGTGCGTGTGTGTGACTGCTGGAGAGCCGGAGCCGTATGAGATGTTGGCGCTGTCCTGGTCCTCTGCTTCCCGACATACACTCCCGGCGGCTGTGGATGCGGTGACGCAGCGCAAGGTGTCCGGTGTGTGTGTGTGTGCTATGAGCGCTCGCTGCTGACGATGTTTCGGTGTCCGGTGCAATGAGCGGCCGCTGCTGACGGTGTTTACGGTGTTTCTGTGCGCGGTGCTATGAGCGGCCGCTGCTGACGGTGTTTCTGTCCGCCGGTGCGCCATGAGGAGCGGCGGAGCGGCGGCGGTGCTGCTGCTGACACTGCTAGAGGTCAGTACATACACACACACACACACATACATACATATATGATATTCGGCATTTCACTACTGCTTCATCATTTCTGCAGCACAGCTGTGTGTGTGTGTGTGTGTGCGCGTGCGGACTATATTATGTTTCTTTGTTTGTTTGTTGTGTTGTTGACATCATCTGAATTGTCATTGTTGGATCAGCTCTGAGGCCTTGTATACTGTCTGCCTGTTCACACAATGCCTGCAAAATAACTGGATCACTTTGGCTGCACGCGTGTGTGTGTGTGTGTGTGTGTGTGTGTGTGTTTACTTATGTTGTTTATTTATTTGTGGTTAAGTATCCATCCATCTACAGTATATCCATCTGAAAAAATACTATAGTATTGTTTAGTAAATATGTAGTTGTTTGAACCATGCTACAGCAAAATATTTGATGAGTTGTGGCGATAACACAACAACGATATTAATATAAAGAAATGACCCTGTACTTCTCTACAGCTATAGGGTATATTAGACCACAATACACCACAGCTGACTGTAGTAAACATATAAATAATAATATTTATCTATATGGGCGGCACGGTGGCTCAGTGATTAGCACTAGGCCTCACAGCAAGAAGCTCTCAGGTTTGAGTCTCAGCTGGGTCAGTTGGTGTTTCTGTGTGGAGTTTGCATGTTCTCCCTGTGTTGGTGTGGGTTTCCTCCAGGTGCTCCAGTTTCCCTCACAGTCCAAACACATGCGCTATAGGGGAACTGATCAACTACACTGGCCATAGTGTATGAGTGTGTATGTGTGTTTCCCAGTACTGGGTTGCAGCTGGAAGGGAATCCGCTGTGTAAAACATATGCTGGAATAGTTGGTGATTCATTCCACTGTGGCAACCCCTGATAAATAAGTGACTAAGCTGAAGGAAGATGAATGAATGAACACTTCAGTATGATGGAGCATTTGTTAGAGTTGTAGACACTGTAATATATACAGTACAGTATTTACAGTAAATGACTAGTATATTTTGTGTGTATGTGTGTGTGTGTGTGTGTGTGTGTGTGTGTGTGTGTGTGTGTGTGTGTGTGTGTGTGTGTGTGTGTGATGTATGCAGATGTAATGCCTGTAGTTGTCTAGCTGTAGGCTGCCTTCGTTTAACTTCTCAGCCTTTGATAAGTACAGTATTTGCATTTCAAAGCTCGTCATTCAGCTTTACTGTACAGCAGTACACTGCGTGTGCGGTTACAGCAATGCTGTTTTACTCCATTATTACAGCGACCGTCAGAGGAGAGAGACACACTCGCTCATAAATCCTCTGATCAATCAATATACACCAGCTTATTCTCTCATAAACTGTTGCATAACATCAATTAAATGCAAAATATTGTGCTCACTCTCACACACACATTTCCTGAGTGTAATGATGTGCTCATTACAGCCGGACCACTGCTGTACAGTCACAAACACACACACTCATTACTGTACACAACATGAATAATAACACTCATGCACAGGTCTCTGAGCTCTGCCAGACATTATGAGGAGTTTGTTTTTGCTTTCCTAGTTCTGTCACTATAAATTGTAGGGATGCAGCAACACTCTATATAATATCACAGCATTGGGCATGATCTCCATGCATTTCATTGCATGCTTTGTATTTAAATTTTAAAAATGCATTAAGCATACCATTCCTTTAAAGATATATATTTTTCCCCTAGTCATTCCCTAATCAACCTCAGTCCTGATCAAAACTACTAAATCATAAAAAATAAATTAATAAAAAAGTCACAGGATTTTAACTCTTTGATAGCTAAGTTCACAAATGATGTCACTGATTTGGTGAAAAAGAACACACAAAATGGCATATTTTCACTATGAAAAGCAGTTGTGGACTGGATCTTGGACATGTGAAACAACATTGCCTGTGATGTATTGTTTTCGATTCATCTTCATTTATTTCTCCCTATTTTACTGCTGGTGGCTGTTTTTGCTCCATTGACCTTCATTGTAACCATCATATACACCATATAATCATGCATTTTTGATTGTTGGGGGTTTTCCCTGTTGGGAAGAGGTAAAATTTGTCATTTTTACTGATGATCATCAGTTGGCTCCATTAGAGATAGGCCTGTGCAAAAAAGCTTATTTTCTAGATTTATATAGTATAACAGCAAATTAAAGTGTGCATGTGTCTGTGAGTGTGTGAGAGGGATCTGTGAGCACTTACCTTGATGTGTCTGACAAAATCTAAATATGCACTTCAGCTCTTACAACTACACGGAGTAAACAAAAACAAAGACTGTGTGTTTATGAATCATCAAATGTGCTTATAATGGAAGTCAATGGAGAAAAAACAGACAACAACAGTAAATTAGGCAGAAAGAAAATGAAAATTTAGCAATGCATCAAAGCCAATGTTGATACTAACTGATCACATGTGCAAGACTGTGATAAAAGGTAAATAAATCCAGTCCACAGCTACTTTTATATTGAAAATACGTCATCTTGTGGGTATTTTTTCACCAAATCAATGACATCATTTGGGAATTTGGCAATTAAAGAGTTAAAATCATTTAGTATTTGTTTATTTTTTTAAATCTACCCAAGTTCTGCTGGTTAACGCATGGGCTGAATTTTCCTTGCCAATCTAAAGCCAATTGTAATGGTCTGTTTTGGTTCAATTTGGAATTTCCACAAGCCTCAGAACTCGGGGGATCAGACTGAGCGCTATTACCTGCCCCCCCCTTGATCCATCATCTAGTAGTTTTGATCAGGGCTGAGGCTGATCAACAGATTTATGCAAAAAAAATATGAATCTAATGCATTTTACAGTGGTTTAATTCAGTGGATGTTTTCATCTCAATCATAACAAAATGTAGTAGCAGTGCACAAGGGTTGAGTTTACAGAACACAAGCGAAAGTAAAGCAGTGTTGTGGTGTGTGTGTGTGTGTGTGTGTGTGCTGTGGTGCTTTTGGCAGTGCTGAGGGTGTTTGTCATTGAGCAGAGTTTCAGCATCAGTCAGACCCCAGCAGGGACTGTGCTGTTTGTGTCTGCTAGTGTTGATACAGGGATTTGTGAATCTGTATTTACCAGAGACAAAGGTTTTAGCCTAATGCCCAGGATGATTCTGGTGTAACAGGCACTCAGATTAGCTCTCACTCTCGCAGAAGAGCATTGGTACACTTTAAAGCAGATGATGCTCCACATATAGGCCACATTTTAGCCAATGGATAATTTAAACAGTATTGGGGGCAGTTCACAATGCGTTTTTCCTTTCCAACGTGCTACTTTTCTATTGTTTTTCAATGTAAACACACGCTTGACGTTGTCAAGCGTGTGTTTACATTGAAAAACAATAGAAAAGTAGCACGTTGGAAAGGAAAAACCCTTAGTGTTTGACCACTTTAAGAGATGCAAGCGTAGTGATGTACACATGAAAAGTTGTTGTCATTTTTTTTTTAAGTGAGATGCTAATGGTCTAATCCGATTCAATTGACTATGCTAAGCTAAGCTAAAAGTGTTTTCTACACCCCGAAGATAAACTGAATGGATTCAGAAATGATGATAATCAACAGGGCTGTAAAATGAACATCTATTCCCCCCTAAAAGTGCCGTGTTCCTTTAAGACAGCAGAGCGAGAACACTAATATAGGATGCAGATTAATGTCATTATTAAAGCCGGCTCTGCATCTCTCCCTCTCCTACTCTCCAGCCAGGAACAAATGGAGCGTTTCTGGTGTACTTTGTGTCTTAATGGCGGTCCCGAGTGGGTGTAGAGCCAGCCATTAGTGAGTGTGTGTGTTTCTTGACAAACAGCAGATGTGAACATGAGGCTGATTTCCCTGCTGAATACACTGGGTCCAGCTTTAAAGCCTGCGCTGGGATTATCATCATGCGGCTGTGCTGTTCAGGAGGAACGCTGCAGTGTCCCTCAAACTCTGACCTCTCTGATCGTCAGCTCTGATCTCTGCTAATTATGGGCTGTTGAGATCATCTTTGTTTGATCTGTTATATAATAAAGCAATGATTTAGGTACATCTCAGATGTCATTCCCTAATAACAATACTTAGTTCTTAGAATGTTGTGGGAATGTTGGATTAAGGTTGCCAGATTGTTATGGAGATAATAAGCGTGTCATGAACACCAATACCAATGTTTCCCTCTCTCTGTGTGTGTTTTGGGAACTGTCTGACTAATGTTTTATGCAAATGTCTTTTTCCAGGTGTCACACCTTCTGTAGCATCACACGCATTGACGTTTGATCAGTGTTGTGTTGTTGTTGTTGTGAATGCAGCAGCAGGAGTGTGTGTGCTGAGGGTTAAATGTGGTCTGAGAGCTTCCTCATTCATTCATAAACACACTCAGACGCACAAACAAATACATGCATGCGCACACACACAAGCAACAGCTCTTCTCTAATTAATGTTTACTAGTGTGATGGGCGGAGCCAACCTGTCACTCACAAGAGATCCACTAATAGCAAATGTAATGGAGATCAGCTGAGATTTACTGACAGATCTAAATCCGTTTGATGTTTTATTATAAAGGTATGATGTGTGATTTGATGGAATATACTGTCCTGGCATATTTTAGCACATGATATGTTTTAAAACACGTGTATTCATGTATACAATACACTGACCTCAATGGAAAAACTGAACTTTCACATGTTTAGTGTCACTGATATACTCAGGAATCAGAATGCAGAGCTCTCAAATGACTAATCGCAGTCAAACTTTTGTATTTATATAATGTGTGTACTCACTGTGTAAGAATATTGCGTGTATATATAAACAAAATGATCTTTTGAGAGCCCTAATTAACAGATATCGTGTAACTCATTCAGTAATTACTAACGATATTCACTGACTTCAATGTCTTTGTCTTGTTTCTGCAGTGTGTGGAAGCTAAGAAGTACTGCTGGTATTCTGAGGGAGGATACCCCCTCTTCTTTATGTAAGTACAGTGCTGTGGTGTTACGTGCTGATCTGGAGTCAGTGTTAGGGTTTCTCTCTGTGTTGCTTCTTCATTGGTTTGAACGTCAGACATAACGTTCAGTGAATTCTGCCGTTCGTCAAGATCTGCTCATTACCATTAAACACTTTACTGGAGGATGAAGCACGCACGCACACTAAAACTTGCAATAAAACACTCACACATGCACGTGCATACACACACTCGCATTAAAACTAAAAACACACACACATATATACTAAAACAGTCTCTAGCAGAAAGCGAGGAGAACCAGCAAAAGGAAAAGCTCAATATACTCTCAGTATAGGTGGCATATAAAGTTGTCAGTATGGTAAATATAAAGTAAAATGCATCTGTGATTGAGTGTAGTGAAATTTCAGTAATAACAACAACAACAACATCCACAGCAGCAATAACAACTACACCAACTGCTACTAATACTAACAGTACACCAACTACTAGCAATATTGTTCAACCAACATGAAATGGGGCATCAAGTGCACCTGTGCTGAACCCCTTATGGAAGTGATGTGATCCTGCCCTGTTCCACCATGCATGTTATGTAAATGAGCATGTGCATTTACACTTACCCTTACACTTACACATACCTCTCTCTCTTTTCTGGCTCTGCTTCACCATCTTCATAGACACTGCGCTGTAGTGATGATCCATGAGGGGACTCTGCAAGTGAAAATCAAGAAGTGTTGACTTCTCTGCATAAAGCTAACCAGCGTGTTATTAACATGATTTTGTGTTGTTCTTTTTAATGAGGAAAAGACGATGGTTTGAAAACACAGCATGTACACATCACACGATAAACAGAAGCATATATATAAATCATATGTTTACCTTTTAGACTGGAACCCCCCTCCTCCAAATCACCATCCGCTGTTACTGTAACTGAGAATTGCTGCTGAATTCCCTGCTCCAGTCTTGTTTTTAGACACAGGACACTTGCTTGAATTTCATTCTTGCTTCCAAAACATGTTCCACATCAAACTGCTTTACAAAGTTTGCTCAATGTCCTCCAAAGTAGCGTTTGAACGCTGTCTGTACACACTGCAGGCCTCTAGCTGATTGGCTTCAGCTGTGATCGACTCTCCTGCAGTGCAGTGGCTAGAATGGCCTATAGGTGGCAGCAGATCAGCCAGCAAGAACACAGCAAAAACAATATAAGATAAATAAGACATTACGGTCACTAATGCAGGGCTCTGACAGTAACTATCTCTGAAGAAATGAGGTAAAAACCCACAGAAACAATGTGATATATGTTTGCTAATACAAATGTTGTATAAAACATTCACAAAATCTGGCACATGTCTGTGTAACCTCACTATTGCTGGATAAAAATAAAACCCTTCAATAGTTCAGAACTGATTGAGATGGTGAGTGAGTACCCTCTGTATTCATGTTGATTTAATCAATATTTCTGAAACAGGATCATCAAATACAAAGAATAAATAAGACAACAACAATACAATAACTTAATATATTATTGTGTATTCAGTGTTGCACAGATTCTCTAACATGCCTCTGGTGCCCACAATGTGCATCCGTTAATAAATTAGGACACACACACCATTAATATAGTTTGATAAAGTAAATAATTACAATTAAATACACTACTATAATATTCCGAAGGTGGCGACGCAGTGGCTCAGTAGGTAGTGCTGTGGCCTCACAGCAAGAAGGTCTCTGGTTCGAGCCTCGGCTGGGTTAGTGGGTGTTTCTGTGTAGAGTTTGCATGTTCTCTCTGTGTTGGCGTGTGTTTCCTCTGGGTGCTCAAACCAGCGACCTTCTTGCTGTGAGGCCACAGTGCCGCCCCTATGCCTTGTTCTATTTGTCAATTTTAATGCGGCCATGCTCCGTCAGTGTAGAGAGTGTTGCTGTAAATATCAGACGGTCACGCTCATTACACTAAAGGGCAGAAACTTTGAAGCTCTTCTGCTAATGAGGAGCTTTAATTACAGACCTTCAGTGGTTAATGAAGCCGTGTTCACCTTGAGGACGTTCACAGCACCACAAACCGACCTGCTCCACCAAAACACGTCAGATCAGCTCACAATCTCATCATTACTTCTCATTTTGTGAGAACATGAACAAAACAGGAAATAACTTGAGTAAATATATTGACCGAGAAGTCTGAGAGATGTTTTGAAGAATGTTCCTGCTGCACCTTATGAAGCATTTAATGAATGAGGGCCGCAAATGAGAATCACAGCAAGCTGAATAAAACAGGACTGAATGTATTTAATCCAGCTTCATCAGCTCATCTGGAGCGCTGCCAGAAGTCTGTTTGTAGAGGATAATATTATAATAACACGTTAGAATAACCAGCACGTGATGATTCATTTATAGCAATTTACAATTGTGTGTGTGTGTGCGCGCGTGTGTGTGTGTGTGTGTGTAGATGCCGCTCATATGAGGACTGCTGTGGAACCCGCTGCTGCATCAGGGCTCTCTCCATACAGAGACTCTGGTACTTCTGGTAGGATCAACTTTTATTAAATAATTCATTAAATGTATTAGATATTTATAAATTTTCCTGCATTAACTACATCTCCTACATTTATTACAGTGGAATAATCTGAGAAGTGGTCAGCAAACGGTTCATTTTACTCAGAAATACATCAGTTTTTAATCTGTGTGTGATTAAATTATTATTAAAATGTCAAATGTAACATTTTAAAGCAGAAATATGGAAAATATGTACTTGAATTAGTGGTGGGCGTGTCCTTCATGACTGCTGCTCTCTGATAGGCTGCTGCTGATGATGGGCGTGTTCTTCTGCTGCAGCGCTGGATTCTTCATTCGCAGGCGCATGTATCCGTCAGTGCTGAGCGACGAGCCCGCCTTCAATGTGTCCTTCACCAGACAACCCGTCAGCACACCTGGTGCCAACACACACACACACACATACTAAACACACACTCAACAAACACTCAACACACATTAAACACCATTCAGATGCTTATTCGGACATTTGAATGTGAAAATAAGGTTGCTAGAAGAGATACAGCAGCGGCCAGAAGTTAATGAGAATTATTGATATTATCTATTAAATTACCCAGTAAATTGTATTTTATTAACGTCTACTCCAACAGGAAGGAGGGTAGAAGGGAATAGAGAAGGAGGCAAGTAGGTAGAGAAGGAGGCAGGAAGGCAGTGAGGGAGGGAGGTGGGGAGGAAGGTAAGGAGGTAGATAGGTAGGGTGGGAGGGAGGTAAGAAGGTAGATAGGTAGGTAGGGAGGGAGATTGGTAAGAAGAGAGGGAGGTAGGTAGGTAAAGAGGGAGGTGGGTAGGTAGGTAAGAAGGGAGAGAGGGAGGTAAGGTATGTAGGGAGGGAGGTAAGGAGGGAGTGAGGTAGGTAAGGAGGGACTGAGGGAGGGAGGTAGGTAAGGAGGGAGAGAGGGAGGTAAGGAGGGAGGGAGGTAGGGAAGGATGGAGGTGAAGAGGGAGGGATAAAGGGAGAAAAAAGGGGGAGGGAGGAATAAAGCTAGAGAAGTTGGAAAGTAGTGAGCTTGACAAACCACTTCTCTAAACCCCAACCCTCCCATTCTCTGCCTTCTTTACCCTACCTTCCTCCCTACTTCCCTACCTTCCTCCCTACTTCCCTACCTTCCTCCCTACTTCCCTACCTTCCTGCCTACTTGCCTCCCTTCTGCCCACATTCCCTCCCTTCCTACGTTTCTACCTCCCTCCTTCACTTCCTACCTTTCTCCCTCCTTTCCTACCTCCCTTCCTCCCCCCTACCTTCCTCCTTCCTTCACTCCCTCTTTCCTCTCTCCTCCGCTACCTTCCTCCCCTTCCTACCTTTCTCCCTCCTTCCCTACCTCCCTCACTCCCTACCTTCCTCTCTCCTATCTTCCTCCACCCCCTCCTTTCTCTCTCCTCCGCTACCTTTCTTCCCTCCCTACCTTCCTCCCTCCTTTGCTACCTACCTTCTTATTGTCCTTCCATATCTTTCTCCTACTCTAGCACCCTCCCTACCTTCCTCCCTCTTTCTCTTTGTTCCTCCCACCTTATCTCCCTTCCTCCTTACCTTCCTCTCCTCTTCCCTCCTCCACTACCTTCCTCCCTCCCTCCTTACCATCCTCTCTCCTTCCCGCCTCCTCTACCGTCTCTACCTTGCATGGATAATGTTGAAGTGTACTCACAGTTCTGCAGTGCTTCGTCTTGCATTAATAAGCTGTTCCTCCTCCTCCAGTGTCTCAGCAGCCAGTGATGCAGGGTTTTGGGGAACCCTGCGTTGGGATGGGGGCGTCTCTGACTCCCGTGTACTCCGGCCAGAGCCCTGCGGCGGCCATGATGAGCTCGTACCCTCCACCGCCGTCATACTGCAACCACCCGCCGCCAGCCTATGATCAGCTGTTCAGTAGCGCAGAGAAGAAGAGCCGCAGCGAGTCTCCGCAGTGAGAAACCACGCTGAAACACCTGCAGGACACACTGCAACATTACAGAGAGGACTTACACTCAGTTCATCTGTGCAAATATGAGGAAATGCATGGCCAAGCTTGAGAAACGGGTCTGAATACTGGTGTTTTTGGAGGGAGTGATGATGATGATCTACTTCTACAGCTAACTGCAGTCATATAACTCAAGACGGAGTCAAGGCAAATCTTTTTAGAAGTCTGACGCGAGTCCCTCCACCTCTTCTGACAAATTACTTACATTCACAAACGTAAAGGTAGTCCACAAATGACTACACGTTTCTTCTCTTTTAACCAAACAATCTTATTCAGCCTCTGCAGTCATCATCAACTCCAGTCAGGAATCAGCAGCAGCACAGAATCTGATTCCTTGCACGGGTTTGAGAATATTCAAGCAAGTCTCAAGATCAAATGTGGCTCCTGAAGTCTGACTGGAGTGCACTGAACACGAGCTCAGACAGTCCTGCGGTGTGAACTCGGCATTACAGTGTAATATCTGATATTACGGGCCATAAACAGAACTCTGATGTCCTCCTGGAGGATTAACGTGAACAGAACTGAACACTGCTGAAGAACCTGCCGGGATGAAGATGAAAACTGAAGATGAGCTCCAGTAATGAGCGTCCGTCCAGGAGACTGACTCCACATGAAGAACAGCTTTGTGCTGTAAATCTGCTGTAGATATGAACTCTGCGAGAGCGAGAATACTGAAGCCATGCTCACTGCAAGCCAAACAGACACTCATTCACTTCTTTTACACTTCACCACTAATCAAGACATTTCAGGCACAGTTTGGGTTCGACGTCTTGAGGGTTCTCTCCAGTTAAAGGCACAATGTGTTCGATTCCTTTCATGAGGGAAGTCAGGGCTGCTTGATTATGGGAAAAATTATAATTATGATCAAAAGGACTGTTCAGAGTGATCCTCTGTGGCCAGTATGACCCAAATACACCCGCGTACATCTCGATTTGTAAAGAGTTGACTCCAGTTAAAGAGATATTCACCCAAAACTCGAAATTCTGTCATCATTTCTGAATGAAGCGACTAAATCATCTATCGTAGCTTATTTAGTGAATACAAGTCACTGATTTTGGGTAGAGGAAAGATTAGTTTCTTACCTGCGTCGATTAGACTTTTATAAATGTAATTCTCTTCTTTGTGTTTGTTTTTCTTCAAGACGAATTTCCTCAATAAAGTGTATAAAGTGACGTGATTTCCTCACCCTTCTCATCTCCCAAACCAGTTTGAGTTTCTACACTCTGATAAACAGAAAGGAAAAGCAGGAAACCTGTAACCATTGACTTTCACATTAGGGAAAGCAAATACTATAGAAGTCAATGGTTACAGGTTTTCAGGCTTCTTCAAAATATCTTCTCTAAACACAATAAATAAACTCATGAAGTTCTGATGCTGCGTTCACACCAGACAGGGATGGAGCGTCAAATGCAGGTGATTTACATGTTAAGTCAATGCAAGGATGTGATTAGACATCCTGCGGGGGATTTAGCGTGAATGAAATGGCATTTAGTGTGTTTTAAGATTCATTTTTGACCTTTTTGCATTTATTAGATAGGACAGTAATGAGACAGCTAGCGGAGTGGGAGAGAGAGAGAGGAGGGTAGGGAAATGTCCTCAAGCCGGGATTTGAACTCAGGACGCCCTGACGTGCCACTGCACCATATGTCTGAGTGCACCACAAGGTTATTTCAGCGACCTATTTATTTATTTATTTTTTTAAAGTTTCCAAGTTCTGCAGGTTGTAATGTCCCGAACTTTGCTTGCCAATCTTACGGCAGTTGCAATGGATTGTTTCAGTTCGATTTGGCATTTCCCCAACCAGCGCAGAGCTCCTGGAGACCAGAGAGAGTGCTCCGACTTGCCCCCCCTGGTCCATTTTGTGTGTTTGACGTGCGAATCGTTCAAGTTGGAAAATCTGAACTTTAGAGGACGCTCGTGCTGCGTTTACCAATCAGGAGCTTGCTCTTCAATGGGCATGATAATAACATAGATTTGTTCGAGCACATCTGGTGTGAACAGCGTAAAAACACTTGAGGGAGAGTAAGTGTTGATTTTTGGGTGAACTATCCCTTTAAAAACACTATATGTGTGTATTTACAATATGTAAGTAACAGCTCACTTTATCCTGAATGTTTTGAAAAATGTTCAAATCTAGATAATCATTGGTTTAAGCTCGTGAGCTGGAGGGGGTTATGACCTCAGATGCAGAAGTTATTAGTTTACAGATCCAAAACGCAGGTATGTAGGATCATTTAATTACATTATTCACTCAGCCACGGTGTTCTCAAACTGCGCCTTTGTCTGTTGTGAACCTCTAGTGGAGGACAGGACATACTGCGCCTTTAATGGAGTCCCTCATGAGTTCATCTGTGTGTTAATGACTGCAGTCAAATATGTGGAAATGCATGATCAAGCTGACAAATGTGTCTGAATTACTGTGATAATGATGATGATGATGATGATCTACTTTACAGCTGGATAATGAAGGCTCGCTGAGTTTAATTAACTAACATTTTAGTTTGCAGATGATTGTGTTTTAGACTAAATGTGACCCAGCCACTTGTCAGCTGCAGTATTAACCAAAATTAAATTAAAATCATGAATGCAATGAAGCCTGATTTAGGATCTTGTCGATAGACTTGAGCACATGGAGCAAACGCAGACGTATTCAATTGGGAACATTGAGCTATTTCTTTAGAATATCAATATTTTGGGGTGAAATTGGACCATTTTCTGCGATTATTTCAGACCTTCAGATTTACTTGGGTCTTATGGATGAATTGACTATAAAAGGCATTTTTAGTGATAAAAGGCAGTAAAGTGTGTTCATGACGAAACATGAAATTAAATAGTATAATGAAAAGCAGTTTGACACATCAAGCTGTAAAAAAAGCTGATAATCAATGGATGTGCATGACACTGGAGGTCTCCAACCAATAATGTGTGAATATCTGCAGCCGCTCCTGCGTAAAGTACTTTAATCTGTATATTTTCACCCACACATATATATATAGTGGGTTGGGTTATCAAAACCCAGTGTGGACAAATTAAAATTGGGTTAATCTTTTTCAATTAAACTGTATTATTATTTTTATTTCATATACTAAACCACTGACTATTGCTGGAAAAAGTACATCAATAGAGAGCAAATTGTGCTCTTTATTAGGATATAACACTTACATTCTACATTAAATATCATTTCAGTGTGATTTTATTCACTTTTTAACTCTACTTAATTGTAATGCAGTGTGAATTATTTCATTTTGATCATTAACATTAGTTTATCCATCACATATGGCATGCTGGAATCCTCTGGTTAATATGCTGACTGCTGGCTGGGTTATTTTCTCGATGTTGTGACTGTAAATGAATGAAGCGTGTCTTTGGAGGATCTCGAATGCAAGAGTTTAGGTACACAATTAACCAATTCCCTGCACTGAAGTGTACTACACTCCCTCAACACAGACGTCAGCTAAAGCTGGATATGTCTAATGCATTTGTGTCCTTCAGTACAGAAACACAGCACTATTAGTTGACTTCACTGATGTGTGTGAGTGTGCATCATGAAGCAGTTTTCAGTTCAATGCTAGTCATGTTAATTCCCCTGATACTGACTGAAATCCTCGATAAGCGCAGGCATTTCTCACCTACATTTGAAAGTGTTGATTTCTGTAGCTGTTAATAGTTTATTTCTCCATCTGCTTAAAGTTTAACTATGCAAAGGAGAGACGTGTCCATGTGTCCGCCGGGTAGATTAGTGTGTAGTTGTGGTGTTTAAATTACAGCGTACACTGAAAGAAGCATCTGTTCATCTGCAGTTTCTGTGTTTATCTGCGGTGGTGAACTGCATTATGGGATGTTGATCTCTGCTCTGTCCTATTCTGATGTTGAGAATTCAACTCTACAGTTTAACAAAGTGACTTTCATTGACATTTTAGTTTGAAATAATATAATATTTAGAGAATTAAGTGTGTAAAATAAGAGTAAATGTGCTGATGTTTATTACAAGGTTTCTGTAGTGTAATATACAACACCAACACACACAATACAGCCCTGCACACCATTACACACGTGCAGAAAAGACTCTTACACACTCTACAAGGTTAAAACTTGTTCGAATAAAGATTAAGATCCCATAATGCAGCTCACACGCAGAAATAAACAGGGAAAAACAAAAACATGAATCACAAAAATACAGAAACTGCTAATTTAGGGATATTTTAGCCAGTCTACAGTAGGTCTGACTGTGCTGAGATATCATTGTGCTGTCTTTGTGAAAGCATTCAGAAGTGTTTGATGAATACAGTAATAAAGTCGTCCTCTCTCTTTTGGTACCTGACAGCATCTCTGTGTGTGTGTGTGTGTGTGTGTGTGTGTTTGAGTCAAGTCTCTCTCTAAATGACATCTTCCTGCTGTTTACCACCGCAAAATCAACTCAGTCACGGTCATTAGGCCTGCCACAATAATCAATATATGGACTTACAACACATGGACATGAGCTCATTTTTGGTGATACAACATTTGCTGATGCAACATATTAGCTGACTGAGCAACATCTCCATCTCTGAGGTGTGAGTGTTGTTAAAGAAACACCACAGTATTTAATAAAAAACACTGTAGTATTAGTATAGTCATCATGTGGGTGTCTGACAGCAGAAAATAGATCTAGCAGCAGATCTTGCAAACGCTGTTACTCTTTACTTGGGAATTTGTTTTAGGATATGCGTTTTCACATTCTGACTCAATGCCTGATTATTAACTGTTAAATGACTATAATTAAATGAAAGAATCTTAAGAATAAAATACGATGTGTTCTTTGGAAGAGTGCACTTGATGCGTGATATTATAGTCATTCTGCCGTTATATAATGAGTATAAATTGGTCTTATAATAACAACAATATCATTTAATGCATTATATTTTGGTGCAATATAGATCCTACATATAACCTATGTATGATATAGTCTCAGGCCTGTCAGACACATATCAGTGAAATCACGTTTTAAAAACAATAATATGAGGAAAATGCATAAAACTGTGATCAAAACTGTAAATGAGCACATAGTCTGTAATAATTCAGATCCTGTACCTGTTAGAAAAATAGGCACAAAGAAATGAAAATGGCTTCATTTACTCACCATCAGAGCTGCGAGAGACATCCCATCATCAGCAGATCTTTAATGTAAACTCAGAACATGCAAGTCCAGAGCTGCCGTCACTTTGAGAATCAAAAATTAGATACAAGCAACACATATATAATCCCCACCACCACATCTGACACCTCACCAGCTCTACACAACCAAATCTGACAATAAACACTGATGGGCGGAGTTGAGATGAGAGAGGAAAATGACCTCAGCCAATCAGAGTCAGAGCATCTGCATAAAAGGTTTACACTTTCTCAGTGTTTTAAAGACTGAATGCACCAGTCTGAATTAGAATAAGATATGACCTAAACACTCACTGTCCAACTGCTCATCTCAGACTGGTGTCTTGAACATGACGATGAGTTCACTGTACTCAAAAGGCCTCCACAGTCACCAGAGCTCAATCCAATAGAGCAGCTTTGGGATGTGGTGGAACGGGAGATTGGCCTCATGGATGTGCAGCCGACAAATCTGCAGCAACTGTGTGATGCTATCATGACAACATGGAGCAAAATCTCTGAGGAATATTTACAGTAGCTTGCTGAATCTACAACACCAAGGATTGAGGCAGTTCTGAAGGCAAAAGGGTCCAACCCAGTACTAGTGAGGTGTACCTAATAAAGTGGCCGGTTAGTGCATAAGAATCGGGAAAAGTTGTAAAGTAAGAAATATTGAAATATCACAATCCTCAACAACAACATCACATGCATTTGCAGTATGGTGCAGGCCTAATAGAAACCCTATATAAGGATCAGTAATAACAGGTTTATTGACAGCATTATTCCCTGTGATCCACAGCCTCAAACCCTGAGGAGATCCACCAATAAATCAACACAGTTTACTACTTTCACACCATTTAACTCCACCACCAACCCAGTTTTCTTCTATAAACCCAGTGTGCATTTAGAAAAGGTTTTGTGCACGAGGTGAAGAACGCACCGCACCCAGTTCAGAAAAAGCCCAGTTTATTGTGACATTCAGAAGTGACATTATTAGCCTGAGGAAACAATATTTACCAGAGCAGCTCAATCTCTCTGCACTCTCTCCCTCATCGAGACACATGGCCACTGGAACAAAACACTCTCACACACACACACTACACACACACTCACACTCACACTCACACACACACACACACACACACACACACACACACACACACACACACACACTCACACAAACACACACACACACACACACACACACACACACACACACACACACACACACACACACACACACACACACTACACATATTGGCAAACAAACCATTTGGGATGCTGGATAAACTGACCAAAAGACACACACACACACCGTCCTCATGCAAAGACAACACAGACAGATATAGACGAACACACAATCATAGGCACTGCTACACAACAGGCATGCAAACACTGGAAACTTGAAGAGCTGCAAAGACAAACTACATATCATATATTAGCATCATCCAGTCTTAAAGGGTCAGTTCTCACAGAAATGAACATTCCGTCATCATTTACTCACTCTTTACCCGTTTCAAACATTGACTTTCATGGTATTTGTTTTTCCTACTATGGAAGTCAATGGTTACCGGTTTACAACATTCTTCAAAATATCTTCTTTTGGGTTCAACAGAAGAAAGAAACTCATGAAGGTTTGGAAACACTTGAGGAAGAGTAATATAGTATATTTTATTTTGGCGTGAACAACCCATTTAAAGAGAAAGTTCACTCATAAATAAAAATCTATTCGTTTCTTTGAGTACATTTGTACTTTTTGGGGAACTATCACTTTAAATGAACAGTTCACTCAAAAATGAAGATTTATAAGTTTCTTTCTTCTGTTAACCACAAAAGAAGATATTTAGAAGAATGTTGGAAACCTGTAACCATTGACTTCTATAATGGGAAAAACAAATATTATGGAAGTCAATGGTTACCGGCTTCCAACATGCTTCAAAATATCTTCTTTTGAACTCATCAAGGTTTGGAAACACTTGAGGGAGAGTAAAATATGGAGTGTGTTTTATTTTGTGGTGAACTAACCCTTTAAATAAACAATTCACTCAAAAAAAAGAAAGTGTTTTTTGAACCATTGACTTCTTTAATGGGACAAACAAATACTATGGAAGTCAATGGTTACCGGTTTCCAACATTCTTCAAAATATCTTCGTTTTTGTTTAACAGAAGACATTGAGAGCGTGTCAACAGTGAGACCGTGTCAATACAATTGTATTTTTTGTGAACTAACCCCTTTTCTTCTGTCGAACACTAATGACAGTATTTTGAAGCATAATGGAAACCTGTAACCATCGACTTATATAACAGGAAAAACAAATACTATGGAAGTCAATGAATACAGCTTTGCAGCATTCTTCAAAATATCTTCATTTGTGTTGAACAGAAGAAAGAAACAGCCTCTTCACTATTGTGTCCCTTTAAACACCACGAGGACAGAACTCAAGGCAGCGCTGTTGGAACTTATAGGCTGAATGTTGTTGATTTTTTGCATCCACATTGACAGAGAATCCTTTTGTTGGGTTTAAAGGGTCCATAGAGGGTCCGTGGAGTCCAATGTGTGCAGTAAGAGAGACGCCAGTGCTGCTCTCAGAGCTGGAAAGCTGGAAAACAGGAGACTTCAGGCTGGAGGACGTCTGAGAGATAGTGGATGGCTCCAGCCATACCTGCATACACACACACACAATTGTGATTGTTTTGAGTGTGTGTGTGTGTGTGTGTGTGGACCATCCTCATCTACTGACTACAGAGTAAGCAGCAGGAGACTCTCAGCGACCAATCAGAGCGAGGCTTTTAATGAGACAGCGAGTGCAGGCAATAGGTTGCCATGACAACAGTAAGCTGCAGCAGTACAGATGCGGCTCAGTGAGTCTGACACACTGACCATCAGCCTGACTTTCTCCAGCACTCCACATCTCTCACATGAGCCCTTTATGGCTGTTCGATTATATTAAAGCTCTGGTGAAATGCAAATAAAGATGTTCAGATGTTAATGTTAAGAATATCTATAATCTAGTGTCTCTGAAACGGTGACAAAGCTCACATGTAGCAGATATAAAGCTGATATGAGCATCTGCAGTCTGCAGTTTGTCTCCTAAATGCATCAGTGATGTTTCTATCGTCTCATACTTTGGTTTCTCATCAAATCTTCTGACCAATCAAATGCTCTCTAGTGTCTGACATGCCCCGCCCCCTTCTTTTCATTGGCTGTTCATTTGATGCGCTTGAGCTCAACCACATGCCCCGCCCCCTTCTTTTCATTGGCTGTTCATTTGATGCGCTTGAGCTCAACCACTCACACTGGCAGAGCTGTGAAGCTAAACACAGCACTATATAAAAGAGGAGGAGCTACTCTATGCCCCGCCCTCTTCGTGTTTCAGCTCAAAACGTTGAATAAAAGCACAGATTTCAGAGCACTTCAGCAGAGCTGTAATCATCATTATAAAGCATCACGAAGTGCTCTAGAGCTGGACTCACCACTGCATATTTCAGCTTTATTTTAAATCATCCATATTTAATCAATAGAGCTTTACAAGTGCTGTCATGCAGTAAAGAGTTTCATCATCAGAGACTGTTCCACAGTAAATATTTAACAAATTAATATTTAAAACACTGAATGCTTTATTTGTTCACTCATTTAGATAGGCGGTTATTGTTGGATCATCAGTTTGGGGTCATTAAAGGAACGTGTTTCCATAAATATACTAATTAATTTGATCAAAGCAAGGACTTTTTTATTCCAAAACAGATACAGCTCTAAATATAAACAAGATGGCTTTTAATTAAAGTTTATTTTTACTTTGTCATATAAGCTAATATTGATATTTTAGAAACCATATAACAGTACAGTATAAGAGGAATTATTCGATATAAGGCAGACAGAAAAAGCACAGCAGTGATGTGTGCCTGAATCTGATGATGTAGACTGAAGACTTCATTACAGCACAAATGAGCTTTGAGAGACACTAAATAAACTGTTTTAACTCTAGGACAAACACCTTACCTCCATTACAGCACTTTCACATCTTTATTGCACTGGGAAAAATGCTTAAAGTCTGAAAATAATGTTTTTTTTAAGAGTTTTTGTTTTGTTTCAAGTCCAAATATCTGGAGATGCTTAAATCAGGAAGCATTTTCTAGACAAGCAAAACATATTGTCTTGTTTTCAGAAATAACATGCCAAAATGAAGAGAGTTTTTCCTTAAACCAAGCAAAATAATCTGCCAATGGGGCAAGCAAAATCATCTTATGTCAAAAGGAAAAACAAGATTATTTTGCTCACACCATTGGCAGAATTTGTAGATATTTGGACTGAAACAAGACAAAAAACTAAGTAAGAAAAGCACTGTTTGCAGTGTAGATGAGCATTAATACATAATCTGCCATTGGGGTAAGCAGAATACTCTTATTTATGATGTTTTACTCCATTGTCAGATTATTTAGCTTGTTTCAAGGAAAAACTCACATCATTTGAACATTATTTTAACTTGCCTAGACAATGCTTCTTGATTATTTCAATATTTGGACCAAAAACAGGACAAACTGCAGATATATCGTGCACTAAGAAACATGTAAGGGGGCTCTCTTATGTTATTTTATTAAATGAATCTAATAAATGTACCTTCAAAAAGTGAGTACGGCCGGTCAGGAATGCGGCAGCCGTGGGTCCCGTAATCCAGACACCATTCAGCAAACTACAGACAAAACAAAGCAATGATCAATAAAGCACAGGGTTCATGTGCTGCTTCACTACTAAGGAACATTCTCCCATCTTCATTCATTTCCTCAGAGATTTTACTTCAGGATTATTGACTTGTGCATGGTCTTACACTGCTTTTATATCATTACCTCTGTGCAGTGAGAGAATTTGGCGATATCAGTTATTATAAGAGATGAATAATGTGCAGCGCTGCATCAGCACACGTGTGCAGTAACTGTGTTGTGCTCAGGGATGCTTCATTGCTGCAGACTCCTGTCAGCTGTTGCTGGTGGAGGGGGAACGTGAGTGAATGAGCTGTGTGCAGATGTGTGTACGCTCCCCGTGTTCACCTTGCAGGCGCGGTGCAGGTGTTTTCTGTCGCGTGTGCAGCGGTAGAGTGCCAGGAAAGCGTATGCGTTTCCAGCCGTGCCGTGGCAGAGCCCGTAACCCTTCCTCAGTAAACCCCTCTGCCAGATCAGCTCTCCACACTCCAGAGCGTCACGCAGGTACTTCTCATCCTTGAAGACCTGCAGACACAGCAGATGAACAGTAAACATGCATTACAGTAATAATCACTGATCATCCCACTGTGTGCTCACTACAGTCACAACTGCACTACAGCACACTTCCACACTGCAACATAACCTTCAGTACTCTGAGTGTCTGAGAGCGTTTCTGCTCCAAATATCCAAACATTCTGAACTCAAGCAGCACTGGACCTGCAAGCAGAAAGCTCTGCTGTGTTTAAAGAAACTATATGTATATATATATATGGTGGCACGGTGGCTCAGTGGTTAGCACTGTGTAAGAAGCTCTCTGGTTTGATTCTCGGCTGGGTCAGTTTGTATCAGTTTTCAGTTTCTGTGTGGAGTTTGCATGTTCTCACCATGTTAGTGTGTGTTTTCTCTGGGTGCTCCGGTTTCCCCCACAGTCCAAACACATGCGCTATAGGGGAACTGATCAACTAAATTGGCCGTAGTGTAAGAGTGTGTGTGTGAGAATGAGAGTGTATGGGTGTTTCCCAGTACTGGGTTGCAGCTGGAAGGGCATCCGTTGCGTAAAACATAGTGTATCCTTTTTCTGACATACTTTGGAACTGAGCGTGTGTGTGTGTGTGTGAGAGAGAGCGTGTGTGTTAGTGTGTGTGTGTGCAGAAGCGGTCGGCTGTCGTCATTAGTCTGTGGTGTAAAAGTCAAATTAATTAAATGTCAAAATTTAACAGATGCTCAATAGTGTCAGTCAGGCCTGCGGCAGTGCAACACACACACACACACACACACACAGACTGAAGCAGAAGCAGCATGTGTGCACATCATGCTGTTATATAAAATAAAGACATTACGAGTGTGGAGGAATGTAACATTCTCTTATACACACACACACACACACACACACACACACACACCTCTATATATGTAACACTGTATGGTAAATTATGACTTTTAATAATAACTGGTAATTTTATTCTATTGTTTTAAATGTCAATATGTATATTTGTATATTTTTTATTGTAAAAGATGATATTATTGGTGCAACGACAAACGCGAGTCTCCCCGTGACCACCAGATGTCAGTGTGAGCTGCTGAATGAGGAGAGAGAGAGAGCGTGCAAAGAACCATGACAGAGAAAACACTGAGTGTGTGTGTGATTGTGCATGCGTGCTAGTGTGTGTGTGTCTCTATGCATGTTTGTTTGTGTTTATGCATGTGTATGCATGTGTTTATAGATGTGTACGCATGTGTGTTTGTGTGTGTGCACGCATTTGTGTGCTTGTGTATACATGTGTGTTTATGCATGTGTATTTGTGTTTTTATGTGTGTGTGTGTGTGTGTGTATACATGTGTGTTTGTGTGTTTATGCATGTGTGTGTGTACATGAGTGTGCGTTTGTGTCTTTGTTCATGCATAAGTGTGTTTGTGTTCAGGCAGGTGTATGCATGTGTGTTTATGTGTTTGTATGTATTTGCATTTTGTGTGTTTATGCATGTGTGTGTCTGTATGTTCATGCATGTGTGTGCGTCTGAGCATATGTGTGTGTTTCTGTGTGTGTCACCGTGTGTGCCATGATGAGCATATGCAGCACTCCCGGAGCTCCGTGACACCAGTGCACCAGCCGGTCGCTCTCGTTGCTGAGGGATGATGGGTAATTGCCGGACCGGAACTTCTTGTGCCGCAGATAATCCACACTGGGCCGAACCAGCTCGCTCAGCAGATCCGGATGGAGTTTAGCACTCGGCTGCGGACACAGATGTTCATTTATATCAAACACACACACACGCACGCACGCACGCACGCACGCACGCACGCACACACGCACACACACACACACACACACACACACACACACATTTGTTTTATCATGGATTTACTTAAGAACGTAAAATAAAAATGTATAATTATGCTAAACTGTCAGCCAATCACTTTCCTTCAGTTTACAATTAGCCACGCCTATTCTGTGCTGTAATGAGAGAGTCAAAGAGGAACTAAACATTAGTTATAAATTATGTTTTCTTATATGTAAAGATCTTGATAAGATTAAAGACAGAATGAGTAAGGCCCTGACGATCATTAATAGATGATAAAAACACGACTGCTAATAACTATATAATCATAATTAAACAGTTTTGACTAAATATTTTGTATTATATTCATGCATTAACATGAACATTAATAAACATGATCAGCATTTACTGTTAGCTAATGTCGATGTATAATGTATGAGTGTAACATGATTAGACAGTGCTGCTGTCAATATTTAAAGCTTTCAGCACAAACCCGCAGCTAATGATGCACTTAAACAGCTGATTTCTGTCCACTTCTACACTTATTCACATCAATATTTATTAAACTGACCGCACTAATTCCTCTTCATAGGACTTTATGACTGAAACAAAATACGCTGTTTTCCACCATCTGGCAACCCGGAGTGTTATAATAGAGTTGGCTAAACTGGCAGTGGGCTGGTTATAGAGTCCAAAACAAAGACAGGCATTCTGACACTGAACCCACATTCTCAAAGCAGGACAACTGACGTTAGCATCGCTTCTCAGATAAACAAACATGCATTAGCCTGATTCTGAACATCTGCAATAGGGCTGCACAATACATCATTTCAGCATTGATATCGCAATGTGCGCATCTGCAATAGCCACATCGCAAACATTTGCAATGTTAAATCTAGATTATAGTTGAGCAGGAGATACAGAATTGTGTTTAATCACTTTATTTATACAGAACTTACCCAAGTTATGCAACAACAAAATTGTTTTACTTAGAATTTTTGTCTGTTTCAAGCCAAATATCCCCATTTCAAAGCAAAAACAATTCTGATAATGTTGCTTGCTTTAAGAGAAAAACTCTTAATTTTACCTTATTTCATCTGAATTTTAAAACAAAACAATATTTTCACATGATCTAAGAATTTTATTTGAGATATTTGGACTAGAAATGAGACAACACAAGCATTATTTGCATTGTAATTATTCTACATCTGTACCTGAATACTGTTAGACTCCCCAGAAAACTGTCAAATAGAGCGATTAATCTATCATATGAAACTGTATTTACGCAGAAAAATTAAATATCGCAAAATCAGATTTTTCCAGTATAGTGCAGCTCTAATCTGCAAACACATCATGTTATTTTTATGCTTTAGAAGACCCTAAAACTTACATCCTTGAATAAAGTGCTGTATAAGCAGAATAAAGTGCTTTGTGAACTGCTGTTTTCTCAGTTTCTGCTGTGTTTATTGTGATAATGAGTGCAGAATCATCTTAACACTGCTCTGAGACGTCCACTAACAGTACAGCACCATTTCACACGTCAACCCAGCCTCAAGCGAAGAACAAAAGACACGTTGCTCAGAGAATATCAGGCGCTGCAGTCACTGCATGTCCTTCAGTATCTGTAGAATGTGTTATTCTTGCGGATGCTACACTAGAGCCATCTGGACAGCCGAGCGCTGCGCTTGACACATGACAGACTTTAGAGAACAGAAGAGCGAAAACCCAGAAGCCAAACACAAAGAGAAATCTCCCCCCAATGCACCACAACAGACGTTCTTCTGCTCCATTATTCAGATGTGTGTATGAGGGAGCTGGGTTTAACCCTGACGCTCTGCTCTATTACCGCAATTACATCATAATCCTCCAGGGTTCGATTCTCCACATCCAGCTGTCATTCAGCAGCTCTGCGTCTCGGTTTATTTCCTGCCGCGTGCACCATCCCCTGCGCTTTTATTACTCAGCATGAAGAATGAGGTGTTTGAGCGCTCTCGCCTCCTGCCTTCAGTGTAAAGTGTGCACATGCTCCATGCAGACCAGGCTGATATAGGAGTGACTGCATATGGGCTCTTCATGAAGCCTTCAGTGCAGCCGGAGGATTAACATGCTGCTCTTATCTACAATTATTTAAATCAAGAAGCATTCTCTAGACGAGCACAGATATTGTGCTGCTTTCAGAAATAATGAGTCAAAATGAAGAGAGCTGTATTTAGATTAGCGGATGCACCGGCGTGTGTTTCTCTGATCTAGGTTTGCGTCTCTGCAGGTCAGAGAATGTCATCGATTCTGTTTACGGATCAACATCTTAAAGGTCAGGATCAGTTATTGATCATCCCTGCGGAGTCTAATCAATCCCGCAGCCGACCGCTGCTCACTCCAGCTGATAGAAGAGAGAGCTGCGCTTATTCTGAAGCAGTGTTTCAGCAGATTCAGCACACTGCTGTTCATTCAAAGAAAACGCTTCCTGACTGAAATATTGTGATCTATAACTGCTTTCAGGACAGTATATTAAAGGCACCGAGCGCTCAGGAACAGCCTATTAGCATGTGCTGTGGTCTGAGCATCCAAATGCAGACGCGGAGCTGCTGTGAATCCTGGCAGACACCAGTGTTCAGTGTCTTCAGTTCAAGCCCTCGCTCTAATGCAGGTCTGGGTGTGTGTGTGTGTGTGTGTGTGTGTGTGTGTGACACATTAACACTATTACAACCCCACATTAGTGCTGGCCAACGTATTAAATATTCATTACCAATCAGCATATAAATATTCATCAAGTAAATATAATATATTGACAGTAAAAAAAATATTTGCAATGACTTTGGAGGATTTTATTACTAATAAAGCTTGTTATTAATTATTGGTTTATATGTTTATTATAGTTTTTCACAATAATAGATTTATTCATATTATACTTTTTTAAATATATATTTATAAAGGATTAATTTTAGTCATGTTTTTCTGCTGCTGTAATGTCATTCCCACTGTAATGAGTAAAACTAAAAACAATCATCAATCTGCTTAAAGCTCATTAGGAGCAGCTGTAATTGGTAATTAGGCACCTGCAGAGCAGCTTTAAGGCCTCTCAATCACCAAATGAACTTCTAATTTCCACCAAGAAACTTTGGGATCAACCCAACAAGCGTAACTCCAGATTAAATGCTGTTAATGAAATGATAATAATGCAATCATTGTGGAAACGAGAGATACAACACATCTATAGATAAAGAATTAAACAGTTCCAGTGCTGACGTTTTAGGGTAATTATGCATTAATGCAATTCCTACAGCATCATCATCAGTCCATGAACAAATCATGAGCAGAACAGAACAACACGGGCTCACTGGAAACACCTGCTTCAGTCTACTGGTGCTTCAGTATACGTTTGACTGCAGTTTGTAGGTAGAATGAACATTAGGGGGCAGTATAGGACATCTTTTGCTGCTTTTGGCACTATTGATTTTCACACGGACATATTATCCCTGATTAAAGGATTGTTTTTGTGCTGTTCTTTGTGCAGCAACTAATAAATACAAACTTCAAACAACGTAACGCTGTCAGTGGTTTGTAGCGAATACGTTTGTCACTGATTTATCTCCATTTGGGCAACTTCTCTGGCGTGGTGAGTTTGCTCACAACTCAATTTGTACAGTGTTGTAGAGCGCTTTTAAAAACACTACTGGTTTGGTTTAGGGAAGGGTGTAGTTCAGTAATTCGCTAGCTGATCTGTATGACAAGTGCTGCATTCTTGTCTGAAATGTACAACAAAACGTTTTCTAAGTAACACATTTCAGATTTGCAAAATGTAAACAGCGCCCTCTAGTGGACCTGGCATCTGAATTGTCCAACAAAATGCACCCTTAAATAATGCATTTCATTCACAAAATGTAAACAGCGCCCTCTAGTGGACTTGGCATCTGAAACATCTAACAAAATGTGCAATAAGCAATGCATTTCAGATTCACAAATATGTAAACAGCGCCCTCTAGTGGACTTGGCATCTGAAACATGCAACAAAACGTTCCTGTAGCAATGCATTTTACAGTTTCACAAGTGTTGGCTGAGGAATGCATTCCTAGTGAGCCTTGGCTGGAATGGAAACACAGCTAATTGAAAACTTAAGAAAACACACACCTGCATGAGCATGTAGTATATCCCGGCCAGGCCGTGAGCGGCTCCGACATACTGCTTCTTGTGCCACTCGTACAGCAGCGGGCATCGCTCGCTCTTCTTCTCCTCTTTAGACAAGTTCTTCCCCGACTCCACAATGGCCGTCACCACCTGAGAACAGCAGAACACACTGGGCTCAGGTATTTTATAGAACATTAGGAAAGAAAATTACATTTCAAAACATTTAATCTATGTTTGTGCCTACATTTTGTTTATTATAGCTTTTAAAACTTGCCTTAGTTAAAGAAAGGTTGTGCTAGTAAAAAAATATAAATATAACTAGAGTTTGCTTGTTTTGACACATTATTTACAATACATGGCTAAGAAATAACAATGGGCAAGTAAAAAAATCCACTGGTTATTACACAAAATTATTAGCATTTTGCCCTGTGAAAGTCTGAAATTTCATTGATAATGGTCTTTAAAAGGTCTTACAAATGTCTTAAATTTAATAAGATGAAACCTGCAGAAAGCCTGTTTTTACCCAGACATTGAAAAAGAATATATTTAAGAGCAGCAATCACAATACTGTCAAACCGTGGTATTTTTATCCAGGTTATCACACCGTCAGAATCTTATACCGGCCCATGCCTAGTTTGGGACAGTAAATAACTGCATATCAATAATATAAATAACTGAATAACTCCTCTAACATGCATGAAGAACACTGGGGAGGGTAAATAAGTGCACATATTTGATGAAAAACAAACTAAAGCCCAAATCGAAAACACAAACAAAAACTCAAAGTAAATAAATAAATCTAGACATCAACAAGACAAACCCCAAACTCAGAACTAAACAAAACACAAATTCAGAGTTAAACAAATGCCTAAATCAAATAGCAGAATAAAAATGCAGCCCATGCATGGAAGAAGCAAAGATGAAAACATAAAGGACCTGATTTGATTTGTAAATGAAATGAAGCGAAATGAGATGAGATGAGATGAGATGCCGCCCACAACCCATCAATCTCCAGATCAAAGAGAACAACCCATGAACTGACCACTACAGCACACACACGCGCATACATATGCACACTACACCACACCCACAATCTTACACACACAAAAACACACACACAGAAGCAGAAGACACTCAATAAAGAGGAGAAATGAGTGCAGTTAGAGGCCGTATAGTCTGATGTGAGGCCTGACTCGGGCTGAGTGATTGCATTGCAGCTAATGATGCCGAGTCGATGAGTCCTGCATTCAGCTGTAGATCAGGACTGAGCTCAGATCAGCAGAAACTGCCCCGTCACCACACTGCAGATCCAAACTCACTCTTCACTACGCTACACACACACACACACACACACACACCAACAACAGCACGCGTCTGCATCAATAATACAGCTCAGTCCCACAGACGCTCATCATACCACACTCAACCTGGAGCCCTGCATATTTAAAGAGCTCTATGATCCTCAGCGTGGGCTATATTTACAGTCTACTGCAGTCTTATCAGTGTGTGTGTGTGTGTGTGTGTGTGTGTGTGTAGTGTAAACAGTGCACTACCAATGAATGAATACCCTGACGATGCACTTATTCAACCAATAATCAGAAGTGTGGACTCTTGAACACCTTAACATAAGGGGAGGAGCTACTGGTGAAGGGGATGGGCTACTAAGGAAGGGGAGGGGTTGATTGTAAAAAGGAAAAGCTGGTAATACAAGGGGGACCACTGGTAAAGAGGAGAAGGAGCTACTGGTGAAGAGGAGGGGCTGATGTTGAAGAGGAGGGGCTTCTGAGGAAGGGGATGGGTTAAGTGTAAAGAGGAGAAGCTGTTATTAAAGGAGAGATGCTAAAAGAAGGGGAGGAGCTACCAGTGAAGGGGGGGGGTTGATGATGAAGAGGAGGGGCTACTGAGGAAGGGGAGGAGCTTCTAATGATGAAGAGGAGGAGCTAGTAATAAAGGGTAGAAGCTACTAGTAAAGAGGAGAAGCTGCTGGTGAAGAAGAGGAGGGGCTACTGGTGAAGGGGAGGGGTTGATGATGAAGAGGAGGGGCTACAGAGGAAAAGGAGGAGCTACTGATAATGAAGAGGAAAAGCAGGTAATACGAGGAACTACTAGTGAGGAGGAGAAGCTGCTGTGAAGGAGAAGGAGCTACTGAAGGCTGATTTATACTTCTGCGTCAAACGCTGGCGTAGGCTACAGCGCTGACGCATAGCCCTTCGCCGTGGCCATCGCCGTCACTGACGTGCACCTCTCAAAAAATTTAACTACATGTCGCAACGACGTGTAGCGTAAGCTCTGTGATTGGTCGGCTTGGTAGCGCTGACGAGTCTGGGCGGGACCGAGAGCCGTGCGAATGGCGCGAGAGATTGTTTACAAGTGTGGAGTCCCGTCAAGGAGCTCCGGATGGATAGTTTTGTTCTGTGTTTACCTCATAGTTAAAGTTGTTGCACGTCCGACGGTTCCTGCCTCAAAATGAGCGAGTTTGAGCCACTTGTACATCCCGGAAGTGTTCAGGAAATGCAAAAAAGTAGCGAAGAAACTCGACACAGAGACACATTAACACCTCACTGCCCACTAGCGTTTCGGAAGTGTTAATGCAGACCAGCAGAGACAGCAGCAGAAGTATAAATGCACAGCTACACGCGTTGCCTGCGCCGTGGGTTACGCCGGTCACCTGACGCAGAAGTATAAACCAGGCTTAACAGGAGGAGGAAGAGCTGCTGATGATGAAGAGGAAGAGCTGGTAATATAGGGGAGGAGCTACTAATGAAAGGGAGGGGTTACTGAGGATGGGAAAGGGTTGGTTGTAAAGAGGAGAAGCTGGTAATAAAGGGGAGGAGCTACTAGTGTAGAGGAGGAGGAGCTACTGGTGAAGAAGAGGGGCTGATGATGAAGAGGAGGGGCTACTAAGGAAGGGAAGGAGCTGCTGATGATGAAGAGGAGGAGCTGCTGCTCAGGGAGGGGAAGGAGGTATAAATAAAGGGGAGGGGTTACGGTTGAAGGAGAGGGACTGCATATGAAGGGGCGGGGCTACATATGTGTGAAAAACATATGGACACATGGGAGTGTTTTCCAGCATGTGCCAACTTTTTTAAGTCATACCACAGCATCTCAATTAGGTTTAGGTCAGGACATTGACTAGGCCACTCCAAAGATTTCATTACTTTTTTCTTCAGCTGTTCAGAAGTGCTCTGGATCACTGTGCTGCTGCAGAACCTGAGTTTGCTTCAGCTTGACATGAGACAAGTCTCCATGCCAGTTACTCATTTAATCAAGTATAAATTATTGTAGTAAAGTAAACTGAATCTGATGATTAATTAATAAACAATAGCTAATAAAGACAAACACAACAAATTAATAAGATATTAAATGAAAACCATACTGTCAATATAACTCAAACATTCATCAATCAGCAACAGCTTCATATTGAAACAGCACTGCTAATAATAACACAGTAAAGATATTAAAGGAAACCTGCAGCTGATGAGCATCCAGTGTTTCTGTGGAGTAACAACAGTTTCATTTGGAGAAGTACAGTATTAGACTGCAAACTCCACACAAGACAATGCGTCAGAAGCCTGCCTGGTCAGCACTGAGACCGTCACTAAAAATAGCCAGAAAAGGAGGAGAGTGTGTGTGTGTGTGTGTGTGTGTGTGTGTATTATTTCCATGACTAATAAATGAGCTTATAAAAGCATTTCTGGAGATTTTTGGAACTTACTGAAGTCATATACCAACTGTGCAGATATCAGAGAACAACATGAGCTAAACCAGTGCGCCTTAAAAACATCAGTCATATAAATTGAGCAAATGCGATCATGAATACTGTGGAATGAGAGCTGACCTTGGCGATGGTGGCCTCGTCCACTGCGTCAGGAGCGATCTCTCTGTTGACGTACAGCAGGGCGTACAGATACCCGGCCCGACCGTACAGAAGCTCATCAGGAACGTCAGAGTCTGGACTGAGCACTGAACGCTGGAGCTGCAGCAACCTGAAAACCCCAGCGGAGAGAGGAAACTGATGAAGAACACACACGCTGACACGCTGAACTGAAGACCGTACAGCACACACTTTAAACACCACCGCTGCTGTGTTCTGTGCTGATGCTAAACTAAAAAACTGTACTATTGGGCAAAGATTAATCGCATTCAAAGTAAAACTTTTAACATAATAGCATATATTAGTAATGGAATCAAATGTTTCCTCTCATATTTAAGCATTAGCATCAGAAAGTCAGTGAATTAAGAGACTAATGATGAGTTCTCACTTGCTGATGCAGTCCTGGGACTCGGTCTGGTTCTTGAGGTGATGGTGTACGACGGCTCCCACTGCCAGCGGTCCGGCGTCTCCACACAGAAAAGACACCCGGCGCCCGTTCAGGTTCCTCAGGGTGCGCTTGACGTAATCCAGAGAACGCTGCAGATGTGAAACCTCCTGCGTGGCCTGATACAGATGCAGATACAGCAGAGCCACGCCTGCAGAACACACACACACACACACACCATACAACACTGATGACACTCACACATACACGGTGTAAATACACTGATCATCAAATCAAACATGTCAAAATCAAACAAGTCATGTGAAATCGAAATATTCAATGCTTAGTTTAGTAGCTCACATTATTCTTAAAGGGATAGCTCACCCGAAATGACTGATAATGTACTCATCCACAGGTCATGCAAGATGTAGGAGACTTTCCTTGTCATACATATAATCAATACTGATTTATGCTTTACCTGAAAGCTGAAAAATGAGCTTTCCACCTATGAATATGTGTCAGCAATTGGCAATATTTGACTGAGACAACTGCTTCAACATCCGCAAATAAAATAAATCTAAATATTGTGAAAATTGCCTTTAAGTATATCAAAATATCAAAATTAAGCTGCTAGCAATGCATCTTACTAATCAAAAAATTATTTGATATATTTACAGTAGGACATTTATTAAATATCTTCATGATTTTTGGCATAAAATCTATCACTTTTGACCATAAAATATGTTTTTTGGGGGGCTGTTATATAAAATATAAAGATATCCCTGCAGCATAAAACATTGCTGTCTTGCATTTATTAAATATATATGAATTATTGTATGACCTACATTGTTATTTAATTAAATATAAATATTGTATTGCATTTAAATGATATATTAAATTATTTGATACATAAAAAAAAAACTTTAACACAATTACATTTTTGCAAACTGTTCATTTAAATTAACATTTTATTGGGCTAAAACATATATGGTGACTTCATTGACATTGATGATTACATTTTTTAAGCCACAATAACCTAATAACCCACAATAACACCCCAGCAATATTCTAACAAGTTTTATTAACTTTTTACAGTGGGTACAGACTGTGACTGTGGCCTAACCAGAGCCCTGACTTAAACCCAATTGAACATCAATATATATATATATATATATACACACAGTTGAAGCCAGAATTATTATCCCCCAATTGAATTTGTTATCTTTTTTTAGATATTTCCCAAATGATGATAAACAGATTGAGGAAATGTTCACAGTGTGTCTGATAATATTTGTTCTTCTGGAGAAAGTCTGATTTATTTTAGCTAGAATAAAAGCAATTTTTAATTCTTTAAACACAATTTTAAGGTCAATATTATTAGCCTCTTTAAGCTATAAATTTTTTCGATCATCTACAGAACAAACCATCATTATACAATGACTTGCCTAATTACCCTAACCTGCCTAGTTACCCTAATTAACCTAATGAAGCCTTTAAATGTCAGGGGGGCTAATAATTCAGACTTTAACTGTGTATATATAGTGTATATAAGCCAACTCTGTTTAGACAAATAAATGAGCATGTTTTATTAAATGGGAAACTATTTAGTATTCTGCCCTCTGAAAGTGCCAGATAAAGTCCATAAAGCCGGCTTAATCTCACCTGTCCAGCCTGTATAGGTGGAAAAATCGTGTGGATCTGCAGTTTTCAGGCCCTCCTCCATCTGTTGGAGAAGATCTTTAATCTTGCTTTGCACTTTCTTCTGAAAGGCGTCGCTGATCTGTTTCCAGAAAAAGAAAAGAGGAGAGTTGGTATGTGGGCTTCCAAGCTTCACTGGCAAAGAGCTGTTTCACTAATTAGTGCAGATTAAGAAACACTGGCACTGAGAACCGAACGGCATTAGCTCAAACACAGAATGCAAAACCCATGTGGGCCAAACACAGAGCCCTGGGGAATCTCCAGCATACATGTACAGCATTACACATTAAAATCAAAGAATTTGAAGCATCTATGCATGCATGCGGTTAGATTTTAGGGTCTGTGACATACAGATGTACACTTTTATTCAAATTATTGTTGCATTTATTTGCTCAAGCTTTTATTATAATTAACTATTACAACGATATTGACCCAAGCTGCAAAAATGATGACTTATACAGGTGTAATGACCGAAAATACTATTTGTACATACATAATCAGAGCAAGTAAATGTTTTAAACAAATTCAATTGCAAACAGGTAAATGTTGACAATACAGTCTTGTTTATCGGGAATAACTCTTTATTAAAAGTAACAGGTTTTTAAGATGGAATCTCTGTATGACAGGACTGTCTATTATTAAACAAAAGCATTGAAACTGGTCATAATGTTAGGCTGCAAATATGTAAATGCAGAAAAAAAATGAACAAATAGGAAAACTATAAGTTAAGAATGGTTTTGGAATTGCATCATGAGCCCAAAATCTGAATCGGATTGGATCGTGAAGTCTCTAAAGTTTCCCACAACTAAAATGAAGACAAGTTCAGCAGATGGCTTGAATAGCTCTATTCAGAAATAATGATTTCATTTAGACTGATGAGGGATCATTCTGGAGGTGAATCACGCATTAAATATGACACATTATTATATTAAACTATTTAAATAAACAGTGCTTTAGGGTTTTCTGGTTCAGCTATAGTCTTATAATGAAGCTGTGTTCCTGCAGAGAGGATGACTGACAGCTGAGGGACGCATATAAGAGATGCTGCTGAACCACAAGACATGAGGAGTCCAGCATGACGAATAACCAAGACAACACAGAGAAATCAGCACTCACAGAGAGGAAAAATACAAACAAACCTTCGACAGTGGATAAAGCAGAGAGAGATGGTTTAAAGGAGACCTGTTCTGCCTGTTTTTGCAAGCTGCGTCTCTGCTGTCTACAGAGTGTGTGTGACGTTTGAGCCGGGAATACACAGATAATGCTGTATGACTCTCTGAATCTGACCCTTTCAGGCTTTGATCCTAATTGTGGTGTTTTGGTTTTTGGTCGCTTTAAATGCAAATGAGATTGTGCTCTTTTTTTTTTAGAAGAGCAGCTACAGATAAACCAAAGTGTCAGATGTGACACAGCGGTGTGTGTGTTGTGAGTGCTGGTCAGGTGTGTGTGTCATTGATGCTTCTGTCAGTCTATGTGGCTCCTGTCTCTGTTCATCTAAAACTCCACATCTATAATCCTCTTAGTCTATGCTGACATTATCTTCTTCAGCTCAAACACTCTAATGGCTAATGGACAGACGGCTGCTTCTCACTCAGGGCTGCTGGACATGCTAATGAGATGGGCACTAGTGGGCGGGGCTTTCCCCCTCTGATGACACGTGCAAAGGGAGAATGCCAATCACAGTGTTCCTGCATCAAGTCTGATTAGAACAATTAGAAAGACTTCATCTTTGTTTTGTTTTGTTTTTTATAATTTATCTTTAACATTTTGATTATTTTTCCAACTGAAACACAAAGCAATTAATCACACATTGAGTAGAAAACCTAACTTTACCATCATTATATCAAAGGAGGAGTAAAGTGTGTGTGTTCGGCACGTCTAATGTGTAAAAATGCATATTACAAACTGCAAAGAAATTTTGGGAGAAAAATCAGAGAGAACCTGAAGTTAAATATCACTTTCACTTCAGTCTGATGACACTAAGGATGGGTGGTGCTTTATTTTTGTGCTGCTATGTTTTATTTAATGCATATTTGATGAATAAATGATTGATTTCATATATATATTACAGCTCCCAAAGTTTAAAATAGCACTAAATGAACAGCGAGCACACAATATCTGTTAATAAAAGCTTCTGTTTCAGCTGAATTAATGACTCCGTCCCACTGTTTAATGAGTATTCTGCTTAAAACACAACAATCAAGACCAATAAACTGTAAACCTAATATTAGCCGCACAATTAATCATCATAATCCTATAATAGACTGCAGAATCATTGTCTAATGTCTTTATGATTAATTCGTTTACTCCTCTTTCCATCTCAATACAATCTGGAATGAAACCAAGAAACGAGGCCATAATCAGCAGAGATAAACTGAGTTATTATTCATAATTCAGGTCACCTGAATATCCTTAATAAAGTAATAAAGCTCAGCTCATCTGAAGGGATTAAACTGATTATGGAGGATCTAAATAACACTATGATGTGACAAACTGACAGATGAAGACTGATGATTAATAAGTGCAGAATATTGTTGTTATTATTATTATTATTGAGTGTCTGAAGGCACGCCCACCTCTACATTACTGATAACTGATTAATAACTGCACATGCGCAGAGAGAAAACAAACACTGCGCGCGTGTATGTATGTATATGTAGTTTGTTTGTGTCTCAGCTGCGCATGCGTGAACTGTCAACGCTAACACAAACAAACACTCGGTAACGTTAAAGCGCGGTTAACAGACCTTTCCGGTGCGGTCGAAGAGCTCTCCGGTATCTCCGGTGTCCTCCGGGTCTCCGCTGTCCGGGCTCGGAGCCGCTGAAGGCTCGTAATCCGGGAACGGGTTGCTGAAACAGCGCTCCTCCATCTCCGAGTCTGCGCCCGCCACCAGCCTCAGCCGCTTCGACATGCCGTCACCCATCCCGACGGCGGCCCGCCAGGGACACTCGCGCTGCGGACGGACAAACGCGTTTCGCTTTTCCCCTGCACTCAGCGATACTGAATCTGAGCTGGTCCTGATGCTGAAGATGATGATGATGATGCTAATGCTGAAGATCAGGAGCCACTCTGACACAGTTCAGGACTCCAGACCTTATGGAGGAAACACAAATCATCAGACTCAACTTTAAATAAATGTGGTTTAATGTCAGCAAATTCAGACTTTCTCCTTAATAATATAATTCCAGAAAACAAGTCTTTCCACATTCAAAACAATGAAATCATATTAGCAGCTATCAAAGTACAACACTGTTCAGCCAACCAAACAGTGCTGATGTTGTTCTGGAGTCGTGCTACATGTGAATTCAGACCCGATATTTACACTGTGATGAACAATACAGTCATGTCACACGCAGACTCTAGTCAAAACTGAAGCCATGTGTGAATATGAAAGCAACTTTACCTCAATCTAAACTGCAGCACGGTGCCATAACACAAGCTGAGTCCCATGTACACGGCATTTCATCATCAATTATGCACAAATCAATTGTCAGATCCATTCCCTCCCTGCTGGACTTTAAACCACAATGACCAGAATAAAATAATCTCTATCAGCGTGCATCAAATAACCTGAGCTCTCTTCAAGACATCATTTTGGTAAATATCATTGGCCCAGTTTGATTAAAACATGATAATCAATCATCTTACCTGACACCTCATGAAAAAGGCTGTGCTTTCATCAGATCTGCTGTTAACAAGCGTCTGAAACTGCATCTGTTCTTGTTGAGTGTTGAGGGCTTTGCCTCATGTTTTGATTGTTTAGTATGTGATGTAGGTTGTATTTTATTTAGTATTGACTGTTTTCAGCACTTTATGCAATGTTGTGTTGTAATAAATGTGCAATATAAATAAACTAACTATACGTGAGATGCAGCATGAGAAGCTTCACTCATCATAGCAATAGTGAGCGATCTCTTGTGCTCTGACAGCAGTGTGGGAACGGTGGATAGGGAGAAACAGCTCATTCCCATTGAAGGCACAGGCAATACAGACAGCAGCAAAGCCAAAACCGCTCAAATGTCCAATATACACAAAGGTATAATGAATAACCTGACAGGTATTTTGAGGTGAAACTACATGCACACTCTGGAGACACACAAGACATATGAAATCTGGAGAGGTGCACTGTAAAACTCAATAAGATGACTGCTTTTTATTTTTACTTTGGTCTCTTATTGCTCCCTGATAGTCAAGTGTTTGTGCTTACTTCAGTCTAGACTGATCCAGTTCCACATATTAAACTCTGCTTGAAATCTAAATGGACCATGTTTGTTTTGCTAGCTGAAATCGTTGCCACTAGGTGATGAATAATGAATCTGTGCAAGGTAATCTACTGGAAAACACACTGGTGATATTCAATGAAATCTGACCATCTGCTTCTGGCGGTTTGCATAGCAACAGCATATTAACACCCTCGCTTACTTTAAAGGTGCCATGAAATAAAAATCAAGTATATCTATAAGCTAGAGCACTGACAAAACTCACTTTAACTTTGCAGTTTGTCTCTTCCTCCTAAATGCATCAGTGATGTTTCTGTCATCTTCTCATACTTCAGTTTCTCATCAAATCTCCTGACCAATCAAATGCTCTCTAGTGTCTGACACGCCCCGCCCCCTTCTCTCATTGCCTGTTCATTTGATGAGTTGAGCTAAACCACTCCCACTGGCAGAGCTGTGAGGAAAACACGCAATTGGATGTTTTTATTTTCTAAACGGGAGGAGCTACTATATGCCCCGCCCTCTCTTAATGATCCAGTTATGATTACGTCAAACATCAAATAAAAATGCACATTTCAGAGCACTGAGCTTTAATTGCCAAGACTTTTATTTTATATGTTGATGAACTAAAACTGAATATTGAGAAGGGGGCGGGGCTTCACCATTCCCTCGTGTAGAACTGTAAGAGGGGCGTGGCTTATTTTACCATTTGTTCTGTTAATATAAAACAATAACAGAAGGTATGAAAGTGTTAAACCAGCAGTGATAAGCCCACATATAAACACTACACTAATGCACTGTCAACATTATAGTGTTTTACACATTGTAAAGTGTATTATACTGTATATATATTACAGTATTTACAACAATTTGTTAATGAATGCTCCAGCACACTGTTATATTTATTATAGTGAATTAATAAACTGTAATAAAGTATGCTTTAGCTTTTACTATAAGCTCTGGTGTATTGAATTAATTGAAATTACTTATACCTGAATTATTATTCAAATTAAGGTAATTTACTATAGTTATATCACAATAGAATAGAAACTATAAAGAAACAGTACTTTACCCTGGTTAAACACACACACGCATGCTCTGTAGCACCTTATATGGTCTTCAGTATGATGAAAGCATTTCGCTGTGGCGGTAAAACAGTGTAAATGGCGCATTTCAGCCCATCAGTTGTTCAACAGTACACTAAACACACATTAGTCAAGCACGCAGTCATCAGAAGCCGGCACAGCTTTACCATGGACAAGTGGATGCGCCGCGAGACACACAGAAGCGCTGAATGCGTGCAGATGATGATGAAGAAGCACTGAATGCAGGAGTGTGTGTGTGTGTGTGTGTGTGTGTGTGTGTGTGTGTGTGTGTTCAGCCGATCATGAGGTCTGGGAACAGCAGAAACACATCAGCATTCTCACCCGCGCCTGCAGCTTTTCATCCCCGCAGAGCTCCAGCATCACTGCGGCGGTTCAGCGCTGATTCCCGGACACAGCAGCCGCGGCCACCGCTCCGCATCTCCGCATGGACTTTCTCTATCACACACACACACACACCGCTCAGTGGACACGGACACACACACTCACTCAGACCCTCACAACCACACACATACACGCACAGCGCTGAGCGAACACACACACACAAACACACACACACACAAAGAGCAGATGAGGATGAAGATCAGGTCTCTGCCTCTTTATCAGCGCATGTGTGCAGTATGGAAACAGATGGCGATCCCCGCTCCACCATCCGGGATTACACAAAACAAACCCATAAACCCCCCATCTCTCACTCGCACTGTGTGTGTATGTGTAAGTGTGTGTATGTGTAAGTGTGTGTGTGTGTGTGTGTGTGTATTCGCTCGCGCACACACTTTCATTTGTACACTACACTCTAAGTGCTTTAGTTGTGTTCATTTTTAGGTTAAATTTAATTTGCACTCTTTAACACAGGTTTTCCATTTGACCCAACACTGGGTTAAAGGGTTAGTTCACCCAAAAAAATAAAATCTGTTAAAATCTGTTATTAAATCTGTTAAAAATCTGTTACTAATATTCTAAAACTCTGTTAAATACTCGTCCTAATATTGTTCCAGTCATTTACGCATTTAGCTGATGCTGTTACGCCAGAGTCACACAGGGCGTGTCAACGCTGGACAGAGGGCGTGTCTGAAGCCGGGGCTGACACGATCGTCATAGCAGTGTCGGCCAGTGAAATTAGTCCGCAATCAGCCAATGTCTGAGCTTGGGTATTTGCAAAAAAGCAATCTGATTGGCTGACACTTCTATTGGTGCTTGAAAAGTTGATAAAGTCCCAACTTCAGCAGCGAGCAACACCTCTGAAGCGGCGCTGACGGATCCACAATGCAGTTCGGCAACGCCTGATGTAACACATTCCAAGTGAATGGGAAGCGTTGACGCTGATGCCCTGTGAACAAACAACTGGGGAGTATTGCTCAAGTGAATCACCTCAGCCATTGTTTTGATGGTAGTATCTATAGGATCAGATTCCCGCCATAAGTATTGTGGTCGTGGACAGAAAAATAACGCGACTGTCAATCTCTACCAGTGGACTGAATTCCGCCTGTGCTTTAAATAAAACTCGCATTGCATCTGTGGGAAACGCAAGTGCAGAATGTGTGAACGAGCGTAAGCACACGAAACATTCAAACATGAGCGGGACAACAGATCTTGTCTACACCTAAACGCGTTTTCATTTCTGATTCACGCTCTTTATTTTTCGGTACACAACCTCGTTGTTCTTATTCTGCATTTAGTGTTTGCTTTATAATTTTACATGCGTGTCAATATTTGATCCAAGCTCTGTATCTTTTGTAACACAACCTCGTTGTTTTGTATTTTGCGTTCAGTTTTCACTTTTCCCACTGCTGAAGCTTTGTTGACAAGGTGACTCCTTCAGAATCAGGTCCATATTGACCATATTTGGATCAGTCATGAATATTAATGAGCTAGCTCTGCTTCAAAACTGCTCTCTTTCTCTCTCACACACACACACTTAGTTAGTTTACGATGAGGGAATGATGCAATAGGAAAGCCCCGCCCCCTGCTCAATATTCTATTTCAGTTGGAAGTACATCATCAAACTGACGGAAGAGTCCGGATCTTCCGGTTAACACACACTTTAATCGTGCCCTATGAAGACAATCTGGGTATACCTAGGCAGAGAGGAGTTATAACACACCATTTCCTTTCAATTTCATAAATAAAAAATAGAGATTTTAAATTAAAACTGCAAGAAGGTCTCAGGTTTGAGTCTCGGGTGGGTCAGTGTGTGTTTCTGTGTGGAGTTTGCATGTTCTCCCCGTGTTGGTGTGGGTTTCCTCCGGGTGCTCCGGTTTCCCCCACAGTCCAAACACATGCGCTATAGGGGAACTGATCAACTACACTGGCTGTAGTGTATGAGTGTGTGTGTGAGAATGAGTGTGTATGGGTGTTTCCAAGTACTGGGTTGCAGCTGAAAGGGCATCTGCTGTGTAAAACATTTGCTGGAATAGTTGGCGGTTCATTCCGCTGTGGCGTCCCCTGATTAATAAAGGGACTACACTGAATGAAACGGATGATTTATGTTAAGCAACGTGAGTTTTAAAGCAGCAATGAAGAATCTTTCCTGTCGGATGACTTCAATACTCCTCACCTGACACTAAACTCTCTATATAAGGAGCCTCCACTGACCTGAAGCACAACTGGAGATGTCCAGCTGCTCAAACTGCTCACCTGTCAGACAGAGAGAGGGAGGACCGTGCCGTGTTTATGTCTGTAAATGTCTATAGAGATGAAGGTGAGTTCTCTACACATGAGCTGCTCGTGTTCAGGCTAAATCATCAACACTGAGCTATAAATATCCTCCATCTGCGCTCTCAGCAGCGCGTCCACCGTCCAGATCTGCAGCTCTCCTGCTGAACACACTCCACTACTACAGTAAACACTGATCTACAGCTGACCAGAGCTGCAGGAGTGACGTCACAGGTCAAAGGTCAGTCTTCACAAACTACAGTATATGAGCTTCTGTCTGCGCTCCCGTCTCACGCCTCCACATTCACCGTGTTCACTGCGTTTGGTCTTCTGACTCATGTATTAGAGGAGAACAAACAGCCCAGTGGAGAATCCCGACAGCGCAGCACACTCCACTCCTCTCAGTGAGATCTGTGCAGGAGCAGCAGGAGCTGAGGAGGAGATGCTCCACTGTGCAGCACTGATGGACACACTCATCCTCTCACTGATCATTTACGCAGTATTACAGTGATGTGCATGAGTCTAATCAGCATCTTTGGACAGAAACACAGCAGCAGGAGTTGTTGGATCGGTGTGTTTCTTCAGTCCTCCAGCTGGATCTCGCACCTCCAGAACCAGCAGAACAGCCAGCACTGACAATATCTTCAGTGTTTAAGTGAGAATAGATCATCAGTCTTGTCTTTGCTACTGACTAATCTAATGTATATGCACACAGTTACTGTATTGTCACTGTATATGTTAACAGCACACATTCTAACGTATGAAGATGGCATTAGTTCTGCTGTTCTTCAGGAAATGTGGGCTGAAATGATTAAAGATGTTTAAATGGATGTCGGACTGATGCACTGAAGCTCCAGCGCTGTTGATGCTGTTTTACTGCTTTAATTAATGCAAATAAAAAGGCTGGGTCGAAGTGGAGAGAGAAAACATGATCATAAGGGACTTTTGAGATTTAATATATTCTCTTTAACTCCATGCAGAAGAACTGTGGGCTGGAAATCAGACTTATTAGGCTGAGTTTGATTACATTACGATTATGCAAACAAGACCCACAACATCTCCTAAAATACAGCTGAATTATGAACCCGAACAGACTATAAACCAAAACCACACGTCTTATTTACACACACAGAAGAGCATATGAACATGATTAGAAAAAGTGCAGCATGAACATTTTGCCAAATATCTTCTTTTGTGTGCCTTGCAGAAAAAAGTGAAAGTCACAGTGGGAAAATGATGAAATCATTATGAACATGAGACTATGAGGAGCTTTTTTAGTTTTTGGTATTAAATCTGCACGAGTACACCATCAATAAGTGATAATGATGCACTCTGAAAATAACTTGGTTATTGTTATATGGACAAACACAAAAAATCATATCGAATAATTCATATTCAAATACATATAAAATAATAACTTTATTCTAAGGATTGGTTTGATAGATTTGACCCAATGTTTGTTATGACAACCCAGAATTTTTTCAAGTGGCATAAAAGATACTCTCAAAAAACTGCTGGGTTGTTTTAACTCAACATTATGCCATCAACCACACACACACATACATGCACGCACACACACACACGCATGCACACACAAACACGCACACACACAAAACAATTTAAATGATTTATGAATAATTATGGTTTGTTTTAACCCAATATTGCAACCATTTATGTACGAAACCAACAGTTGGGTCAAAAATTTAATTTAAATTGATTTTAAAAAATTAACCCAATCATATTTGATCCAACACTGAGTCAAAAAAATATTAATGATTAATTGTTATAAATTCGTATCTAATTATTATTATTTAAATATAAATACATTTATTTTTATTTTTTAGAGATGATGAGCAGGAGGAGAGCGACCTCTGCTGGAGGAACACACACGCGCACACACACACATACACACACACACACACACCATAGCAAAACCTGTCCGTCTTCTTCTGAGTTTTGTCCTGTTTCTAGTCTAAATATATAACAATTCTTCACCCAAAAATGAAGACGTACTCACAGTTCACTCTTCCAAGTGTTTCCATATCTTAATGAGTTGCTTCTTCTGTTGAACACTAAAGAAGATATTTTGAAGAATGTTGATAACCTGTAACCATGCATTGACTTCCATAGTAGAAAAACAAAAACTGAAATCACAAGAGAACATGCTCACAATTACTATTAAAGTCACATGATGGCTGAGGTTGAAGTCATCATTAAGAGAAATATACAGTGTTAGATATTAAAACCCTTTATTAAAAATCAGTCCGATCTAAAGCTTCTCTTACCTTGTTCTTCCTTCACTCTGAGTGGATCCTGTATTCTTCATCATCATCTGTACACAAGATGTCAAGTGAACAAATCTTCCCCCAAAAACTCAAATCTGTCATCATTTACTCACATTTCAAACCTTTATGAGCTTCTGTCTTCTGTTGAACACAGTAGAAGATATTTTGAAGAATGCTCTAAGCATTGACCTCCATTTGTCCTAGTGAAATCCTTTTCAGCATGATCTGATTACTGGGTTAAGGAGCTTTTATTATTTTATTATTTGTGTTTGTGGATTGTTCCACATAAAGCATGTCCAAATCTCTATATGAAGAACACAAATGTGCAATAAAGCTCACATTTAAAAGAGAAATCAGACCTTTTATTCTCACTTTGAGTTCACTGAACCATATATTTCATATTTGCTTCAGTATGTGCAGTGGTGATGTTGGGATGTAAACAGCACGGCCTAATGTATTGTACAGTTACTCTGCACCTAAATACAGCCTTCTGCTCATTCTGCTGAATAAACCACCATAGAGAAGGACTTAACAGACAAGGGTGTGCTATACTGACAAACTGAACTGAATAGGTGGTAAACTCAAGTCTGAGCAGTGAAATGAACATATTAGCCTAATGTGTCACCTACTTTAGCAAAAATGATCAAAACAAGGAGGAATGTTGTCTAAGTTAGCTGTTTCAGTTTGGACACACACCATAACTTCATAGTTCATCGCTGTTTTTCTGTCCTGTTTGA